ATAAAAAGGTTTTAAAGAAGTTTTTTTAATTTAATATATTTTAATTTAGAATTAAATTATTAATATATAATAGTATAATAAAAACTATATTATTTAGGTTTAGCTTCTAAATTCCCTAGCTACTTTTTATAGCTAAGCTATATTATTTATATTTATATTTATATTATATCTTTTATTTATTTATATCCTCTAATATTAATCATATACTTTATTAACTTAATAATAACTTTTAAGCCTCTATTATACTTATAAGTAGCTATATATTATTCCTACTTTTAATATTATTATTTAATAATTTAAATATAGTTTTAATAAATAGAGTTAAATTCCCTATATTTTTAATATTATTCAGCTATATAACTCTACCCCTAAAGTCTTAAAAGCCTTTTAGCTTTAGGGTTTCTACTAAAGTTAATAAACCTCTCTCTATAATAGGTTTTTTAGCTTTTATAATATAAAACTATAATTTAATATTTTAAATAGTATCTATTAAGGTCTTTAAGTTAACTAGCTTATTTTCTAAATCCTTATAGTTACTTAGTTATTTTAATATAAAGCTAGCTATATATATTAGCTTTTAGATCTCTTTAATAATCTCTTCTATTATAGACTTTTTTAATATATTTACTTTATTAGTTAGTATATAGAACTATAATTTATTAAAAGAGATATTATATATTATAATTACTTAATTAAATATTAAGATCTATATCTTATATAAGTTATAAGTATTTTAAATATAGCTTATTAAGTATTTAATATAGCCTCTTAGCTAAACTTTAAAATCCCTTTTAAGTTTACCCTATTTTTATTTCTTTTTTAATATATAGGCTTTATAGCTATAGATATAGATCTATCCTTAATATAGTCTTAAGTCTCTTAAAAGGCTAAAAAGTAGTTTTAGCTTATATTAATAATAATAATATTAAAATTATTTATTCTCTATTTAAATTAGAGACTTCTAGCTATATAATTTATTTAAGCTTATATTAAAGAGTTAGATACCTATAAGTATACTTTTAAGCTATATTAAATTAAAAAGTTTTATATTAAAATATCTTTTAATACTATAGTTAACTACTTTTTATTTTATTCTTTTAGCCCCTCTATTTAGCTCTTTAGTATATAATAGTATTAATTTAATTTTAATACTAATTTAAATTACTTATTTTTTATATTCTATTAAACCCTTAATATTAATAATAAAGTATTTAATATCTTAATAGATCTTATAGATATAAAGCCCCTTTCTTATTTAACTTAAGTTTTAAACTACTATAAGATATTATAAACTAAGTTATAGTCTTTTATTATAAGTCTAAAACTAAATAGTCTATTTATATATTTATCCTTAATTATTAAGAGCTATAATTTACCTAAATAAGATATACTTTCTAAATAATTAAATAGGTCTTAGTTAGTATAGTAATATAGATATATAGATTTTAACTTAAAAGTATAGTATAAAATAACCTTCTTTCAATAGGTAACTATATATACTTTATACTAAATTTAAAATAGTCTTTTAATTTTTACCCCCTATATATAGTTAACTAATTAAGCTAGAGTAATAAGGCTAAAATATTTAGTATAAAGATACTAAGTTATAGTATTATTTATTTATTCTCTATATATCTTATAGAATAATTTAAAAGGTTTAAATTATATTTTTAAATATATTATTACTATAATATTATTATTACTTATAGAAAGTTAAAAATAAAGTAAAATAGGTTTATATTTAATAAATATAAAATTATTCTTATAATCTAGCTTTTAAAGTATTATACTCCTTTTAAGTATATTATACTAAAGTATATAATTAAGTCTATAATATTAAATCCCCTTAGCTAAAAGCTTAGCTTTTAATATAATATTAATATAGAAGTTCTAAATATAAGCTATATCTTTTAGTATTAAATTCTTTATTTTTAGTTTATTTTTACTTATTATATAGTTCTTTAAAATATACTTATTATATCTATAAATTAGTAGTAAAGATAAGTTTATCTCTATAAAATATCTAAGTAGTAGAGGCTTATAGGAATTTAAGACTAAGAGGTCTAAAGTATTAATAAGATAAATAGTATTATAGTTATTTAAAATTATACTATTTACTAAAAGGTATTTATTAAATTATAGAGTTAAATATATATTATAGTTTACTTTAAAGTAATTTCCTATAAGCTTTAGAGAGATTAAAATAGTAATAACTATATTTAAATATTTATTTAAGCTAGTTTTATCACATAGCTTTTTAATAAATAGTTACTTTAGAGATAGAGAGATTCTAATTAGATTAATAAATAGTTTATTATTTTTAAGTTATTTAGCTTTTTTGTAATTCTCTTTAACTTATATAAAATATAGTTTAATAAGTCTCTTAATAGTTATAATTCAAATTTCCTTTATTATATTAAAAACCTTTTATTATAACTTACTAATAAAGGCTTCTTTAAGCTTAAAATACTTAAGGGGTTCCTAAAAGTATTTAATCTTATAGAGATAGTCCTTCTTAATATTAAAGTTATTTAGGGCTTTTCTATTTAGTATAATATAAGCTTCAGATAGCTTAATTTTATTTATAAAAGAGCTTTAAGTTATTAATATTAAGAAAATACTTTTAACTTATTTAATTATAAAGATCTTTTTTACTTTATACTCTTTATATTAAAGCGATTACTTCTTATTTATAGCTTAAATTAAAGTAATATAATATTTTAATACTAATAGAAAATTATATATTATAAATAGTCCTTTTATATTTAAAACTCTTTAGCCCTTATAGTATAAATAAGAGGCTTATTAATTAAGGTATTACTTATTTAAATTAATATTTAAATATACTCTTTTTAGAATAATATAATATTCTTTTTAAGTTAATATTATAATAACTAATTTAGCTTATTTAAATTACTTTTATATAAAATAAACTATAAATTAAAGTAAAGCTTTATTATTTTACTTTATTATTTATTCTATATTATTTAAAATAGGTTTTAAAACTATCTTTTTAAGGATTATCCTTTCTTTAGTAAGATTATTAATTAGGTTTTTTCTTTTAGCTTTAGTTATAATTTAATCCTTTTAAATAACTATATATTTAGCCTTAAGGTCTTTAAACTTAAGTTAGATTAATTTGATAAGCTTTAATTAGGTAACTATTATATCTACTTCTATTATTATAGCCTCTTTAATTCTCTATTTAGAGAGTTTAAGTTTTTAGTTCTCTAATTACTCTTAATTTTACTATTTATAATAGAGCTTTATTATAAAAATCTATTATATTATATAAGATTTAAGATTTAAAGTATTTAATATATTTAGATTAATAATATATTAAATATTTAGATTAATTATTTAATACTTAAAAGCTAAATATTAATAGTATTAATTATTTAATATTTTAAGAATAATTATATTAAATTAAATACTAAATATTAAAGTTAAAGAAGCTATTAAGAGAGTTGAAATAGGGGTTTTATTAAAATAAATAAATAAGAGTCTTAAATAAGTATTTTAAGTATTATTTATTAGTTTAGAGGTATATATTACTTTATACTATAAGCTAAGCTTATAACTATTATAATATATTAAATCTCTTATTAAGATATTTTTAGTTAACTCTCTTTTTACTTTTAATTAGGGTTTATATACCTCTAAAATATATATAAATAGTAATATTTTAAAATTAGCTTCTAATAGATAAATAGTTCTTTTTTAGCTAAAAAGTAGCTAATAGTACTAATTTAGAATTAATATAATAGAGCCTACTACTTTAATCTAGCTTTAGTAGTGCCTATCTAGAAATATATACCTAATATATAATAATATAAATATCTATTTAGTCAAGATTATTACTTTATTCTTTAAAGATAAGAGTTACTTAGTAATAGATTAGCCCTCCTATTCTCCTAATATAAACCTAATAGAGAATATATAGAAGTTACTTAAAGAATATATTATAAAGAAGTATCTCTATCTATCTATAGTATCTAAGTATTAAGAGACCTTAAATAAGCTTACTAATACTACTATTAATATATAGAATAATATAGATAATAATCTTATTAAGGACCTTATTAATAGTATACCCTATAGGATTAAAGCTCTTATTATAGCTAGAGGCTAATATATTAAATATTAAATATATTATTTAAAAGAGTAACTTTTAATATACTTATTATAATAATTTAGTATATTTTAGCTTAAAACTAATATTATTATATTATTTAGTATAAGTAGTAACAATTTAGGGTAGTTAGGGCAAATTTAGCTAATTTTAGGGTTAACCGTTTTTTTTATAACGTCACTATAGGTAGCTCAAGCCGGCGGGGGCTTAAGGAGGTAGGTCAGGTAAGGTACCTACTTTGGGTAAAATGGACGGGAACGTACCACCTGTCCATATCACCGCCTTTGGGCATGAGATTGTACCCGGCACGCATAGCTTGCGACAATACCCTTCCAAAACACATCGTCCTCCACATCCACTCCTCTGCAGCCTCTGCCCATCAACAAACATCTTCAGCGCGTCCCTCGACCCATTGCTCTCGTCATCCTCAAATCGCTGCGCATCTGTCCCATCCTGGCAGCTCCGCAACAGCTGAAACTCCCAATCCATTCTTTTTATTCTGGCTCTTGGTCTCCGCTACCTTGCTCTCTCTCTTACGGACACGCCAACCCGACTCGTTCCTGCGCAAAGTACTCGAATCGACCGACCAGACTTGACTCGACCCAAGCTCCCTGCCCTGTTCTGCTCTCCTCTGCAACCAACCCGCACGCCGAACTGCGTTGCATTGCGAAGCTTTGAGCATCACAAAATCGCCCTGCCATCGTTGTCACTAACACCATTGCTATCGCTGCACGACCCGGTCAACTGAGGGCACCGTCTCCCGACGCTCAAAGTCACACCATCACTACCACTCGTCCTCCAACCGGTGTCTTTTCCGACTTATATTCCCTCCGTACCCGCCGTTCCTATCACGAGAAGCTCCGACAACATGGCAACCAACAACATGCACAACCTAACAACTCTCATCAAGCGGTATGCATCTAACTCCTGAAAACTTCACTCAACCTCAACCATGCCCCTAAGATCTTCGAATCGACGACCCAGAGACTCTTTACGTTCTGATCAACATCTATCCCCGTCTCCGCGCCGTCGCTGACTCCACGACGATGCTTTATCAGCTAACCTCCAACTCAGGCTCGAAGCTGCCACTGCTAGGCTCGAAGACATTGCTTCCTCCTCCGTCGAGCTCCCCCAGGCTGTTCCTTCCCTCAACCAGTCCGTCGCCACACCGCCCTCGGCGTCCAATAATTCTCTGCCTCCCCCGCCACCGGCGCAAGCTGCTGCTGCCCCTCAAGCACCCCCTGAGCCGGTTCCAGAATCCGTCGAAGAGTACGATCAATTCATAACCACGTCTGTTGAGAAATATGTCAAGATCAGCAAGCAGCTAGGTGGCCTCATTGCCGACCAGGTCCGTTCACCGTCTACATGGGACTGAACAGTTGTGGCGATGCTGACGCAGCTCTCATCATACAGGCCGCCAAAGTTCTGCAGGGTTTTCACGCCCAGCGTCACTTCCTTCTGATCACCACCAAGGCCAAAAAGCCCGATCTGCACGGCGCCGAGATGGCCGTGTACCAGGATCTGTTGAAGCCCATCAACGAAGCTCTGGTCGCTGTCAGCAACGTCAAGGAGTCAAACCGTGACTCCCCCGTCTTCACCCAACTTAGCGCCGTCGCTGAGGGTATCATGGTCCTTGCATGGGTGACGGTCGAGAACCGACCTTACAAGCATGTCGAGGACTCGTTGGGCTCTGCCCAGTTCTTCGGTAACAGAGTGTTGAAGGAATCGAAGGACAAGTACGGTGCCTCAAAACACGCGTGGTTTACCCATCAGCTGTACTAACGCCAATCATCAGGGACGCACAGCAGACCGAATGGGTCAACGCCTTTTACCGCATTTTCCGAGATCTAACCGACTACGTGAAGCAACACTTCCCAAGCGGCATCCCGTGGAACCCCAAGGGCCAGCCGGCTCAGGAGGTTGCCAAATCTCTGTCTGTATCTGCACCAGCCGCCTCAGCTCCACTACCTCCACCTCCCGCAGGCGGTCTGCCTCCTCCGCCTCCGCCCCCGGGCCCTCCTCCGATGCTTGAAATCAAGGAGGAAGTTGGCGGAAAAGGCGGTCTGGGCGCAGTCTTCTCCGAACTGAACAAGGGCGAGGCAGTCACCAAGGGTCTTCGCAAAGTCGACAGGTCGGAGATGACGCACAAGAACCCGTCGCTCCGCGCCAGCTCGACAGTACCTGACCACGACGGCTCCGCGCGCGGCAAGAGCCCGGCGCCTCAAAGGAAGCCCAAGCCAGAAAGCATGCGCGTTAAGAAACCGCCCAAGAAGGTGCTCGAGGGCAACAAGTGGACTATCGTATGAACCCGTCACTGTCAACACTTCATCATACGTACTAACTCAGTGACCAGGAAAACTTCGAAAAGGAGCCTGCACCCATTGAAATCGACGCCTCCATCTCCCACTCCGTCCTGATCAGCAGATGCAACAACACCACCATCATTGTCAAGGGCAAGGCCAACGCGGTTACTATCGAGAACTCTACGCGCCTATCCCTTATCGTGGAGTCTCTTGTGTCCACGGTAGACGTGATCAAGTCCCAGAACTTTGCGTTGCAAGTATTGGGCGCTGTGCCTGCTGTTTTGATGGATTCGATCGATGGCGCGCAGATCTACTTCAGTAAGGAGAGTACGGGCACCAAGATTTACTCCAGCAAGTCTTCTGGTATTAATCTTAACGTCATTTCGAGCGAGGACGAGGATTACAAGGAGGTGCCCTTGCCGTCTCAGATCTGCTCATATTACGACGAGAGCAAGCGTGATTTAGTGAACGAGATTGTGTCGCACTCTGGTTAACGGGAGGAAAATGTCAAGCTGGCTTGTAGAATTCGAACCTTGCATCTCTAGAGTCGGGCGGCATTTTGGGAGTCAACACGGCGGTGTCATAGTCTTTCTTCCCGTCTCAATTTCCCACTTACGCCGAGGGTTCATCCTTCGCTCGTGTTTGCATAGTCAGTTGGTTTCACGGGTTTTTGTCCTATTTGACACAGCGTGCCTCTTTAAGCTTCTCGATCTATTCTCTTATGTTCATTGAAAGACCGTACCTATGGAAGATGACAACCAAACACAAGCACCAACGAAACGTTATCATCCCGTCGCAAGTCGGTATTAACGTACAATCGGGTCGCTGCTGCATACGGAGGACGGAACCGCTGATGTGGGTGTAATAGTCATGGTTGTGGCCAACCCACCGGGTCATGTCTATTGTAAAAAACGCTTCTATATCGATGCTAAACACATCCGGCCGCCCAGACACAAAGGCACATGCAAAAATGCAAGCACATGGGACGTATTTTTGGTCTCTCGCCACAACATCTATAGCTTCGCCTTGGCCGGCTTAATCGTAGGCATCAAGAGGTCACGCATGTCACCAGCAGCCTCGTTGAGGAAGAAGCTCATCCTCTGGCTGCCGAGACCCTTGGAAACAACATTGAAGTTGATGCTAGTTAGAAGGTCAGTCTACGCACGGTAAGGGCGGATTGGGTGAACCGTTGGGTCAGAACACACCTGTTTTCGTTGATCATGTAGGCAATGCCAAAGCCGGCATCGATTACCTGACTCCAACCGTACCCATTGAAGAACTCGGAGCTCAGTTGTGACGTCGACAGGTACCAAGAGGCAGAGTAAGAGAAGGCTGGGTCCTGGTAGATGGCGGGCAAGTCTTGACCGGGCTCGAGCAGCTTTTTCAGGCCGAAAAGATGTCTGTCGACACCCTTACCGTCCGAAGCAGCCGTGATGTACTCCAGATGGGCGTCGACGGCCTGGCGGAAAAGATCAATTTTGTCCTTGTCCTCCGTGTTAGGGTCGGCCATGGCGTTGCACCAAGCGACAGAGGCATCCGAGACAGTTCTGCACGTCTCAGTGCGACCTTGCTGGAAGCGACGGGTAGCAGCGGACTCGTAGGTGGGTCGGTTCTTGCCGTACATCTTGTGGTAGGCCAGCTGGATGACCATTTGGACATAGGCATCGGGCGAGCACTTGAACTTCTTGATGAGACCCTTTCCGTAGCCCTGGTATGCCTGGACGGCGAGCTCGTGTTGGCCAATAACATTGTGGAAGTCCTTGGTAGCCCGGTCAATCTCGGCCTGGACTTCCTTGGTGACTTCGAACTTGACGACCTGAGGGTCAGAGAGGTTGGAGCGAATTGAAGGGTCAGAGAGATCCAGCTTGTTGTTGAAGATGAGGTCGTTGATGAAGTCGTTGAGACGGTGTGTGGGTGTTCCGTCCATCATGGAGTGCTCCCCCATAAAGCCCGAGGTAGCGTTGTCGTTGACAATGAATTGGCACGGCTTGTCGTACCAGCGATTTGCGCCGTCACCGTGCCAGTATTGGTGGGCGCGCTCCTCAAGGGTGACGGGAGCGGCGTCATCGAGGCAGACGACAAAAGATGCGGCCTCGATAGCCTCCAGAGCGGCAGCGTTCTTAGGACTGGCCTTGAGCAGAATCTCCCGCGCATCGGCCCAGACGTCACGGTTCTCGCTTGTCAGGGCACCAACGGCAGGAACGCGCTGGGCCAGCTCATAGACTTTGCTGAACTGCTGCTCAAACTCGGATGCATTCAGCTGCTTACCGTCGACCTCGTGCAGGATTTTGAAGAACTGGTTCTTTCGGATGGCGATGATGTGCTTGTGCTCCTTGTGTGAGAATTTCACCGGGTAGTCGGCAGGCTTCGCAGCGACACGGCTGGTGTTGAACATCCACTTGTAGCTGTCCATGCAGATGGGCAGTTTCTTCATGTATTCGGGCTCGAGGGTGCCTTCGTCGACCTGCTTCTTAAACTCAAGAACGGCCGAGGTAATGGCGGCGGCTCTCTTGGCGGGATTCCTTCGGCGGCGGTCATCGCGATGGGAGTAGAAGTAGCTAACGTAGGGGACGACAGGGTCCCGGTAAGTGAGGTATGCGGCGTCGTTCCACCACTCGTACAGCCAGTTTCGGTGGGCTGGGTCTTCTCTGCGTGCGACCAATTTCTCTTGTAGTTTTCTGCCAACACCGCCAGGTTTAACAAAGTCCTCGACGGCCTTTTTGCTGGCGGCAAACTCGGATTCGGAGAGAAGAGGGTGCAGGGTCTTGACGTAGCGGGCTGCTGTCTCCTCCAGCGTGGGTACGGGCAGGCGAGGCAGGGAGTCCTGGAATCTCAACATCGGGCCCTTGGACTTGTCCTCGACGTAGCCTGGATAATGGCGACGTGGTCAGTGGTCGTTCGGTAACAGGGGTGGGGGAGCGCATGGACGGGCGCATGCAATCTTGGGAACAAGACGTACCCGAAGGGAGGGAGCTGTTGTTCCGTTTCGCTGCTGGCGCCATGGCTCCAAAGATCTGTTGTCGTCAGAGAACCGCGGCTCGAGTTGTAGAAGAGAGGAAGAAAAGGGAAATGAGCGAGCGCCGTGCGACGGCGACAGTCAAGGTAGCTGGGTGGAGTGTGGGGGACGACGACCAAGGTGGATGGGAACAGACAGCGACAAGCGGGAGGATGACGCCTGAAGTAGGACGTGAAAGTGAGCGTGAACGTGACAACCTACAGGACGATTGAAGCTTTGGAGTCGTAGATTCGTTCTAGCGGTGGCACTCCTAGCCTCTAAAGCTCGCAGGATGGCCGACATGACCAATTTTGTAGGAGAAAAAGCTGGTGGTGTGTATGGGAACGCAGTATTCGAGTGGTTGGCACACGTAGCCGCAGAGATCCGCGGTAGTCGAGCAGCAAGTCAGTCGTTACGGATCGGAGCGGGTCCCAGCCGTCGAAAGAGTGGCTGCTTGTCACAAGCCAAACAGTAACCCGGCACCCACGCGGGCCTTAGTCAACGAGAGCAAGGATAATAGCAGTAGGTAAGTAGTGTGTACGCAGTACGTGAGTGAGTGAATATGGGCGGATGGGTGGGTGGTAACGGGCTGGCGGCTGGCGGCGGACGATTGGAGGCAACAGTAGCGCAGCGTAAAGTAGCGACCGGCAGCTCCAGCGGCGTCGAAGAGATTGAAGCCTCGGGACGATGGCTGTCGGGATACGACGGTGAGAAGAAGCCGGTAGTTGCGGTGCGGTGTAGCGGCAGAATGATCTTTTCTGTAGGTTCAAGTTCAGTCTACCTCGAACTTATTGATAATTGGGGGCTGTGCGACGATAAGGTCCCTAAGGTAAGCAGGCTGCGATGAGAAATTGAAGTATGAAACCGGTGGAAGAAAGAAGCAGAAATCTGGCTGTTTGATCCGGGACTGAGTACGGATATGTGCCTGTGATATCGTGCTGGTCATGGGGGTCTTTCGTCGTCTTCTTCTTCCCTCTTCTCCCTTACTGCGGAAGGACCCCGGAAACCTCAGGTCGCGCTTTGGTGAGGTGCAGATACCTACCTACATGCCTACCTACAGTACCGTCACATACCTGGGTACGAATACACGAACTCCGTATGGAGGGTGGCCCCACGTGCCCCGGTCCATTGACACTGGGTCAGTCGGCGGAGAAGGAGCTGGGGGAACAGCAAAGGGAAACGGGTCCTGGGGGAGAAAATGGACCTTACCTAGGTTACCTACCTAGCTTACCTTACACAAAGGTACTTTGATCCTGATTGTGCGGAGTACAGCGTACCTACCTTACGGAGTACTGCTGCTGATGCGCTAGTGCGTCTGCGTCTTCGTCTGCGTCTGTCCATGGACCTCCATGTTCTCTCACTATTATCCCTCGGTGCTGTGTGGTACACTCGGCGAGCTTGGCTTTGTTGGCGACGCGCAGCGGCCGATGAACCGTCGAACCGAGGTAAAACAGGGGGTTTTCTGTTCCCGTTACCCCGAAATTTCTTTACGTATCCGTACTACCTTAGTGTACCCTTACCCTATTGAGCAGCGACGCCGGCCCGGTACGTACCCCGCATTGTGCAGAGCCACAGTGGACATCACGATGCAGCCGCCGGCCCCAGGAACCTCGACCTCCAGCGTTGTTCCGGTACCGGTCAGGTCGGGTCGGTCACTAAGCAGCCCAGTTGCTGAGAATAGGGTCTTGATGTTTAACAAACCACATATTGGGTACGTAGGCATATCATTATAGACGCCGTTCAGAGCACCCGCAGTAATCTATTTGCTTGTAGCACCCATATACCTGGGTTCCAGCCCAGATAAGCGTGACCTTACCAAGTGGTGATGAGCTGCGCCGCCGCTGTAGTAATCTGACGCAGCTGAGGTGGGCCCGCGTGCTACTTTCTATCCCGAAACTTATCGCATTACCTGCAGAGATTTGACATACCGGAAGCCCCCCAAAATCATTCAGAGATACGAACGGGAGGACCGAGGCCGGACTGCGCCGGACTGGGCCAACGGAGGAGGTCCGGACCCGAGGGCGCAAGTCTCAGACACTCGACACCGCTTCAACGCTGATGCCGCGCGCACTTGTGACTTTGGTGCGAGGTTGGTTGCATACTCCGCAGTCCGCTGCACCGCGTCGCTCCTATGATCGCCCAAGTCTGGACGAACGGACCACGGAAACTCTTGTCATGTCGGGCTTCGGGCATCTTGCATTTCACCTTGGGGCCATACGTTAGCCTATACTTCTCGTCAAATTCACCGCTTCACGTGTACCCTCTCCGCCGGATCATCAAGCTTCACCATGCAAGACGCACCCCATGTTGGCAAGTAGCTTTATGTAACAAATACACGTGCTTGCACAACGCGACAGCGCGTTGCCAAGCCCTTAGAATCCTCGGACGCCCTGAAGGTACCTTGACTAGATAAAATCACCGCAATTAATCGTTCCATTTCCTGTTCATCGCCAACCCAAACCCCTCTGCAAAGTCAAAAGAAAGAGTCCTAGCCGTTGCCTCTGACACTCACGTCCGTCCTTTTCGACGTAAACACCGTCATCATCCCGGTCCAACACTAGCGATTCTGTTTCGCAGATCAGGCTTCGAAGCTCTTGATCTGCCCCTCACTGCTCAGCGGCTGCACTGCACTGGATCCTGGCCCCGCCTGAAATGTAAGATTTGCGCCGTCCGTCATCGCGTCTTGGGCCAGCTTGAGGCCCTGCTCGCCTCCCGCCTCAACTGCGGTCTTGAGCGAGTCCTGCACTTCTCGGACGCGGCGCTTGAATGCAAGGCGGTCCAGGAATAACTGTTGACGGCCCCGCTCGAGTTCTCGTCGCTCCGCTTGGAGGATGGCCTCCATTTCATTGAAATACTTCAGCTTCATTTCCAACTTCTGCAGGGTGAGGTTGGCCGCCGCAGATACAAGTCGTGTCATCTCCCGCTCCTCGTGCGACACAAGACCAGCTGCCCGCGCGCCCATCGTCGCCATTGGGATCGTCGCCAACGTCGTCGTCGTGGTCGTCGTCGTGGTCACATCTTGTCTGATGTCGATCTCCATCGAGTCTCCATCTTTGTCCTTGCCCTTGCCATTGGTAATGGCATGTTCCTCCGCATCACCGCCCTCAAGACGCCTGCGGAGTTTACGAGTAAGCTCCTCGGCCGACTTGTTTGCAGCAGCAGCAGTGCTAGCAGGGTCTGCGAGGCCGGCAAGGAAGCCAACCACAGACATGACTGGGTTGTCTGCCTGGCTGAAGGGGAGATGGCCGCCCTGTGTTCCAAGCATCGCGAGACCCGTCGGCGCATTCACCGCGAGATCGTCAGCATACTTGCCCTCAATGTCCAGGGACAAAAACTGCAGGACGCACTCCTCACGGGTGCGCGTGCCAACGTGATCTGCGATCTCGTTCCAATCATCGTCCATCCTTTCAATGCCCTCGAGGAGTCGTAGGATTTCGGCGTCACTCCAGGGGGCGTCCCGGTCGAGGACCGTCGTATACGTAGGGTTTTCCATCCTGGTAAATTGAGCACTGGTCTGGTTGCCCGGCAAGTGGCCCTCGAGATAGCAGCTCGGACAAACGTCGTACTTTGTCTTCGAGTTAGGGTCGGTCTGAGAGCTGTGGTAATATAACCTGGTGCAGTCAATACCGCACGTGTGGCAGTTGACCTTCACAATGGGAGTCTTGGTCGCTTCCTCCACTCCCGAGATGCCGTTCATCATTGGCGTCTCACCATTTGTCTTCGGTTCGGTCTTGTTGAGCTTTGTAGCCTTGGCGCTGGCCTCGTAGATATTGCGGCTGACCTCGAGGTTGAGGTCACTCTTGGGAGCGGGCGCAGCCGTGGCCTTCTTCTCGGTGTCTGCGCTCGGCTTCCCAACCGAGACAGCGGCATCGGCAGACGGCTGCCACGGCTGAAGCCCACGAGGAGTGTCGCAAATGATCTTGAAATGGCCCGTGAAAGGGGGCCCGACGTGAGACGGCCGCTGCTCGGCATCAACCTGAAATTTTGTTAGCACGAGGGAAGAGAATTGCGCGCGACCGAATACTACCTGGTAGTTGATGAGACCCCATTGCTCGAGGAAAGAGTGTACGCGCATAATGGCGCATACGTCTCCAGCAAGGTTCCGCCGGCAAGCCGTGACGGTCAGGTACTCGACAGGATTCAATCGATAGGTGTTGATCATGAAGTCGCGGTAATCCTTGTACACAGCCGGAGTCTTGCTGCGGTTACGGCTATTGAAGAACTCGGACATGGCTTTGCGCTCAATATCGTTGATGGTGTTCATATCAAACCATGTGCTGTAGCTAGGTAAGACGATGGCGTGTGTCTGCGAAATTAGATGCTCGCGAGCTGCGTTTTCGAGCGTCTCCTTGGTCTTGGAGTCCTGTCCGTCCGCATCGGTACCAGCCGTGGCCTCATCTCCATCTTTTGCTTGACCGTCCTTGGCCTCCTCGCGCGCGCCTCCCATCTCTTCGTCCTGGGTCGCTTCAGGCGCAGGGCCATCGGGGGCATCGAGGGGGTTATCGGACGTCACGCCAGGTGCTGGTGTAGCGCTGTCCTGCTTGATATTGGGTTCGGCGACGGGGCCTTCAGTCATCTGGACGTCTGGTTCGGCGATCATGATTAGCTTGTAATGTTTCGGAGTGGACATGCCATGCCAATGGAGCAACGAGAAGGGCACGTACCTTCGGTGCCATCTCCAGACGTGGACACGGCAGGTTGCAGAGGCGGCTGGGAAAGGATTGGGTTGCTGCCGGGAGAGGCGGCGTTGGATAAGCCGTAGTTCGTGTGGTCCTCCATGATGACTTCTTGGTAAAGACCCTCAGGAGATGACGAACATCAAGACTGTCGGAAAGTCGCGGAGAAATACAATCGCGCGACGCGCAATTCAGGATGTAAACCAGATTATCGGCTTGATCTATGGCATGCGACCGTTGAAATTGGTAGTCTGATGATACAGCCCACAGACGTGCACCTCCTACGGCGCGAGGTTTCGATGGTGATGGACGAGGTGTGGTGGTTATGGAGTCGCGTCAGGACCTGGAGAAATTTTGGCGCGAGATGCTGGGGAACAGCGGGCAGTTACTGGCGTCCAATGCTCTGCAAGCTGAGGCGCGACGCCCGGATCAGCTCAACACGTGACTTGTAGAGAAGCACGTGATGGAGCTGCTCGCTCGCTCGCTTCGTTCCTGAGGCTTACGGGTTCCTTAGGTAAGGCACGATGAGATGGAATAGCACCTTATCAGAGGAACATACAGCCGATTCAGCGGGCTTATTACAATCACCCCCAGGGTCTCAAGCCCAAAGTCCCCAGATGACGGCACCACCTTTTAGCAGCTGAAGACCCAAGGCTTCATGCGAGTTCAAGTTCGGCGTAGTAACCTCGGGCCGTGTCCAACCGTTTCTCTTCAACCTGCGTCCACCAGTGTCAACACATCAGTCGTCTCTAGCAATACCAGCTTGTATCGATTCTCTCGTCGTCGGCCGTTCAGCTTGAGCACACGAAAATCGTCGTCTCTATCCCTCATTCGTGCCAGCCAAAATGCTGTTCTTAGCTCGACGGGCCGTAGCCCGCGGGGCTGCTGTGTCGACCTGCGGTTTCTCGGGACTCCGATCAAGGTCGACAAGGAGTCTGCTGTCCACTCTTGCTCTGTTGGAGCAGAGAGAGGGCCAATTGAACCACGGTTCTCTGAGCGCTATTACTGCGGCGAAGAAGCTGGGTGGTCCTGTTCACGGCTTCGTGGCGGGAAGCAACATTAAGGCTGTCGCCGAGGAGGCAGCCAAGGTCGATGGTGTCGAAAAGATTATTGCCGTTGACAACGCCGCGTACGAAAAGGTTTGATTTGGCTCTAGCCTGGGCTCCTCACCATGCTTCTAAAAGTAACCTACCTGACGCGACATCATACAGGGCCTCCCTGAGAACTACGCGCCGCTTTTGGTCGAAAACATCAAGAAGGGCGGCTACACCCACGTTATCGCCGGACATACTGCCTTTGGCAAGAACTTATTACCCCGTGTTGCCGCACTCCTGGACTCCCAGCAAATTTCCGACATCACTTCCATTGAGAGCGAAAACACCTTTGTCCGCCCCATCTATGCCGGCAATGCTATCGCCACTGTCGAGTCTGCCGATCCCATCAAGATCATCACCATCCGAGGCACCGCCTTTCCCGCGGCGGAGGTCGCCAGCGGCTCGGCTGCCGTCGAGGAGGGTGTCGATCCAAAGTCCGAGTCTACCACCGAGTGGGTCTCGGAGGACTTGGCCACCTCCGACCGTCCAGACCTTGCGACCGCCAGCAGAGTTGTCTCTGGTGGCAGAGGCCTCAAGTCAAAGGAGGAGTTTGACAAGATTATGCTGCCCCTAGCAGACTCGCTAGGTGCTGCGGTTGGTGCATCCAGAGCAGCAGTGGACAGTGGATATGCAGACAACAGTCTACAGGTCGGCCAGACTGGCAAGGTCGTCGCACCTCAGCTGTACTTGGCCGTCGGCATTTCGGGTGCCATCCAGCATTTGGCGGGTATGAAGGATAGCAAGGTGATTGCTGCCATCAATAAGGATGCCGACGCGCCTATTTTTCAAGTAGCGGATGTTGGTCTCGTTGGCGATTTGTTCGAGAAGGTCCCTGAGCTGACCGACAAGATCAAGCAGTGAGACAACATGATGTAATACATAGAGACTGCTCTTTGCTAAGATACAACTTCCAGCATCGCCCTGGTGGACGTGAACTTTTCCCTCAATTTGCCTGCGGCGCGACCTCTTTCCTTCTCCGCGCTATCGATTTTGTGCCAGTCGTCCCAGCTCACCCTCTTCAAGGCATTGTGGCCGATGTCTGTCTTAACGCCGTCCCAGCCAGCGGCAGGGGTGGTCTCAGATCCAGACAGGAACTGCAATCCAGACAACCAGTCTTGCACAATGGAGTCCCCAGTTTCGAAGGCATCCTGCATGGTCGAAGCAATAACGCCCGTGGGTCCCCTCTTTACCCAACCAGCGCAGTAAACGCCTGGGAAGATACCAGAGCCCGGTGATTCCATGGCTTCTGCTTGGCTGTTTCGGAAAACTCTACCGCGCCCGTCATGCACAACGATCCCTCGCCGGTCGTCGAATGCAAGGCCGGCAGCACTGAAGCCTGGCAGTGCTACGGATTTGTAGCCGATAGACCGGAATACCAGGTGCGAAGCCATCGTCGTCGTGTCTCCTGTGAGACGAGCTTGGGCACCAGGATCAAACTTGGAGGACAGTTCCGTTCGCTCGAACCGAGTGTTGCCGACATCGGAAGGGGAGTCTTTCCTGGCCAAGAATTCCATGGGGCTTAGGCAAAAATCTAACGACCAGGACCGAGAAACGTCATTGGGTCGCGCCATCGAGCCCTTCGCTACCACCTCCATCAACCTCTTTGCCGCTCTGGGAAGGGTCTTGAGATCAGGAGGAATGAGCGTTTCGTCGACAGGATAGAAGGCGGCATTCGAAATCCTCATCAGCTCGCGCACTTCTTTGATGGTGAACGCTGCCTGTTAGGAGCGTATAGTTAATGTCTGTATGTGGAGGCTGCGCCCGTAGAGCTGACACGCTTACCTGCATAGGCCCGCGCCTTCCAACTATGTGAACTCCCTTGACACGAGAGGCAGCCAGCTGGGCCAAGGCCGCCTCCGTAATGTCCGTCTTGCGCAGAACGTCAACATCTTCAAGCAACATGCGGGCTACGTCCAATGCGACGTTACCCTGGCCGACGATGACGGCCTCGTCACCCTTTGTCAGGTCCGGCGACAATCCAGCATACTCAGGAAGGCCGTTGTACCACCCTACGAAGGAACGTGCGGAATAGATGCCCCGCAACTCCAACTCCCCTGGAATGCCGAGAGTTTTGTCCTTTGCGGCACCGTACGCCAGCAAAACGGCATCGTAATGACGCAACAGGGAGTCAAACGGAACAGTACCGCTGTCGGGATGGAGACCCGAGTCACCTATCGATACGTTCCCGATGAAGGTGAAGTTTGGTGAGCTAGCGACCTCTTCAAACTTGTCTTGACAGTTCTACAAGACATCAACCAAGTGTGACGTTTTCAAAGAGAGGCAAACCAACCTTGACCTCCGGGTGATCTGGAGCGACACCGAAGCGGACAAGACCAAAAGGAACCGGCAACGACTCGTACATGTCAACCCTTGTCTGCGGCAGTTGGGACATGACACGATAAGCAGTATAGAAACCAGCGGGACCGGATCCCACGACGGCCACGCGGAACGGGTGATTGGGGGAACGGGTTTGCCTCGCCGCCGGCACCGCGGTGCTCATGCGGCAAATCATTGGGGGGCCGGTGCCCACTCTGGACCGAGCATGGTTGCATGTCGGGCCCAACCACGGCCGCGCTCGGGATAGAACCATTGAGGCTGGTGCTGGGCGCAGCGGGGACACCGAGGAAGACAGGATCGCTGCCTTGCTCATCAAGGGGAACTTCAACGTAGCTCGCAATCAGTGACTGGATGATGAAGGTAATTAGAAAAGGGGGAGGGGCGGAGGGCTTGGCAGTTGGCTCCTGGAGAACCCAAAAGCAATGAAGTGGGAATTGTCCAAACAGCCGACTAAAAGAGTGAAAGAATCAGCCAGCCGGGGGGGTTTTCGGATATAACACCGGAGTCCGTTGAAGACGGCATGTGGGCCTGTCGGAGGTTTGCTGCACCGCCGGCACCCGACAATGTAAAGGGACCGAACCGCGAGGGCCGGATGCTGTCGGCCGGCGTCGCTGGTTTGTCACCAGATCTGAGTAATCAGAACCTGGAAGCCACTCCCCAACGGAGATCAGGCAACCCAATCAATTTATTAACCACGACCAAGGACAATCAGGCGACGCGGGTTTTGTGAAAATAAAGGACAAGACCTTTCCCGGACGAGACTAGCGCTCCGGGAGGCATTGGGCCTCGGGATGAAGTACCTTAGGTACCTTACCGCGACCTTACCTTGGTAAGGTACCTAGGTTAGGTTCCGATGCACCTAGGTATCTAGGTACATATAAGGCGGTTGCTGTGGCAACCTCCTGCAACGACACAAACTGGCAATGGTGGTGATGACGGGCAGCAACTTGCCATTTCAGGCATTTTACTGACCTTATCTCTCCAGTATGGTTTTCTTTTCTTGCCTCCTGGTCGTCTCACCCACCGTGTAAAGGTACCTTACCTTAACTATCACGCCGCTTGCTCCCACCATTTCACAGTCATTCCCCTCCTTTCATCCACACATGCTTAACCTCTCCGACGAGCTCCAGACACGGCCCCAACAACACAGACCCTACTGTGACTGAATTCCGTCGGTGGCATTCCAGTCAGCTTTTCTTCGGTGGCTGCGGCTCTGCGCATTCCTGACGGCTTCCTCACTGGGACCGACCGAGGCGGTAAATAACGTTAACCAGGGCTGCCGTGGGTGGGTCGTCACAATGGCCCAACGTCCCTATCTCTACAATGTCGTCGACAACAGCTCGCGCTTTCCAGAGACCAAGTTCGATCCAAAGGCAGTGACACGGGCCAGCTGGGAGCCAAAGCCGCGTAAACCAAAGCCAAATGGGCCGCTTGTTACATTTAATCGTCACCCCGAGTATGTCTTCCAACTTCACCCCATACCAAGTCAGACGCATACTGACAAGACTGCACCCATAGTGCTCAGATGGTGCTTTCACATAGATCCAACAACTACGTTTCTCTGAGCTCCAGAACAAAGAAATGGATCAAGGCTATGCGAGTGGTACAGCTGGTTGTCCGAGTTCTCCAACTGTTCGCGGCCACTGGTGTCCTGGCTCTCCTCATCTTACTCAACAACATCGAGGCTCTGGCTGGCTGGGTCATGCGAATCACGGTCTGTCATACATAACTGGTTGCGATTGGCTCAAACTGTTATGCTGACTGAACATGTAGCCCGGTGTTGTTATGGTACACTGCTTCTACGCTGTCTATCATCTCTCTAGGCCGGCTGGAGACAGAAGCCCTGCGTCATCTACCGCTTACCAGCTTTTCTCCGGCATATCTGATCTGGGCGCCATGCCTCTCTACGCATATGGCGCCCTGAATGCGATGAGCAGCAGCGCTGCCTGGACGACACGATGGGTCGCCGAGTACCTGCGAGATTACTTTGTCCCTGCCGTCGCTTACACATTCATTGTTGCTGGAGGCCTTCATCTGGTCACTTTCTGCATCTCTGTCTGGCTCGGCTTCATGTTCCGCAAGATCACCAACATGCCGCCTGATATGAATCCGTTGGAGGATCACCTCACCTCCCGAGCCAAACACAAGAGAAACAAGTCTAGCGTAGCGACAAGCCTGACTGACGAAAGCGAGAAGCGCCTATCTACACCTCTCGAAGAACGTCGTCGATCCGGTGCCCCCTATCAAGACCTCTCGCGACCCCCCAGTATCCCCTTCCAGCGTACACGTGCCGGCTCCGATCTGTCGAACCACACGCGTGACTCTCGCTCCGATCTTCCTAGTCGACAGTACCAGATCCCTCTGAATGCCTCTCCTCGAACCTCTCTAGCTGCCAGCGAATACAAACGTATGTCGCAATACCACGCCTCTCCCCGTGGCACCTACACCGAGGTGCCGCTGCATGAGACGAACGAACACCGAGATTCCATTTCCTCTGCAGCGCCATCTCCCACTCAAGCTCGTCAAACCGGAAAATTTACCGAGACTTGGTTCGCCACTGACTCCCTGATCTCTCGTACGCAGAAGCGGAATCGCGCCATCGATGCCGCTGCGGCCGTGGAGCAGAAGCGGCCCTGCGATAAAGCATACGAAGCCTTGGGGCAGAAATACAACGCCGAAGACTATGATTTGGAGAATGACGAGAACGACCTCGCCGGCAGTGACTTCGAGAACGACCTCGGTAACCCGCATCCGGACCCCTTGGGATCCAATCCCCATGCGACAGCTCCAAGGACCAAGACGCCGTACCAACATTCACGGTATTCCACTCTCTCTGAGGTGAATATCAACTCCAGACGTGTCAGTGGTAGCAACGACATTGCCGACGCAAGGCTGTCGTCACTGGCGCCTGCGCCCTGGCCGCGCAACCGTGACAGCTCTATTCAGCCCGAATCTGACTTTTACTCCAAGCCTTATGGCGAGCTCAAGCCTGCGACACCGCCTGTCATGATTGGTAGCAATCGCCAAGTGTCTTCCGGCAACGACTATGAAGACCAGCCGTACTCTGCGGCCTATGGACGGCGGAGCGTGAGCGGCAAAGTTGCTGAAGAGGGTCTCGCTGGATCGAAGAGAGGATACTCGCGATTCAGCGTGCTGCAGGGCTGAACTGCGCCGGGATTTTGGTTTTGGGAAGTGATTAGGTTGGTATAACGGAGTCATCTGCTTTCAAAATGGCGAGGACATGGGTACGATGTGCGACGTCTTGTCCAATGTAAGTGTAGCAGGCTGGAGCGATTGCGTTATGACGAATGGGATCAGAGCAAAGTACAGATGAGATATCCACATCCTTGAGGAGCAATGGTAAAGTGCAAATGGCCTCAAGGTCACAAGACTTAGTTCGAATGTCCGTTGTCGTTATCTATTTGCTTTCAAGTTGTCGATTTCCGCTTTCCGACTTCCTTTTTCTACTTTTGATTACCCCGGTGAACAACATTGAACCGTTTCTGTAGTCATCAAACGCCAAATCGAGAGAAACATCGACCTAGCTTCGAGCATATCTGGCCCAGTTAACACGACTTTCTGTTTCTCTCCACCCGTTCTCGTCCCAGGCACCGAGCCCGCTCAAATGCCGCATTGTCGGCCTCCCATGAGGACAGTTCCAAGGCTTATCTAGTTCACCCATGTGTCGCACGAGCTTTTCCATCTGACGATGAGCTAGAGCCTTGCCAATCATGACGCTGCTGCGGCAGGCACGCATGGCAAACATGGATCGCACTTTGGACGGCCGTGGAGCATAGCTAGCGTCGCTTGAATGGTGCTCGCCGAGCAGAGATATCAGCTCCTCGAGGTCGGAGAGAGTGAAAGTCGTGTCGCGGCTCAGTGGCAAAGCAAGTAGTTTGCACCGCGACCCGACGGGAACATCACCTGAATCGTCCAGATGTACTTTGAACCCGTTGACGTCCAGGGCCGCAACATTTTCCCTAACAATCTCTTCCTCCAGGGCCGTGAGCTCCAGCTGCTTAGGGTGAACAAGTCGCTGTGACTGAACAACTGTCGTTGTTTGCAGCCGCTCAAAATTGTACTTCTCGTCCGACGCATGCTGATCAATTATAAAAAGCTCATCGGCTCCGGTCGACCCGCCGTCATCAGGATCCCGTGACGCTTGTCGAACAGCAATGATGAAACCCAGATTGAACTGACCGACTATCCTCATTTTCCCAAAATCTGCCTTCGAGATGATGAGGGAAAGAACTTCTTCGGCGTCGTTCGAATCAATGCCAGAGGTGCCTGCAGACGTCTTACGGCAAGAAGCTGTGCGCTCTGGCTCTGAGACCCACGATTCCACGCGTGACTTCAAATCTGCCTCACTCATCTTCATGCTCTGCCTATACTGTAGAGTAGCGTCCTTACGTTTGACCACTGTCCTCAGCAAGTGGGGTCTGTTGCTCAGGTTGTTGACCTGATCCGGAAGGGGCCCTTGAGGTTGCTCGTTTCCCGTAGCCGGCCGGATCAAGGCTCGTTCCTTGTCATAGCCTGGCGAGTCTGCCACAATGTCGCTAACAAGACTTGAAGGCTCACTGCGGATGCCTGAGGTTGCTGGAGGTTCTTCATCGACACTAGCGGTCTCCAAAGCTTGGTCTGAGGATTCCCTCACCGGTGAGCTATTTGAGTTGGGTTCGTCGACCGTTTCGTGTGCATCGCCGTCGTCAGTCTCAACTGGCCTTTCTGAACCGACTTTGGACTTCGTTTGCTTCCCTGATGATTGGGCCGCTGAGAACATCTGACTTAGCTGGGTTCCGAACGATGAACTTATGGGTGTCTGATGCGAGGGAGATTTGAGAGGGACCTGCTTTGACGCTGTTCCAAAATCAACTCTCACTCGCTTCGGTCGACTTTCCTCTGAGGCAGCGACTGTTGGATCTCCAATGATGACAGTGGCAACTTCGGAAACAGGCCGCTTTGACAGTCGCGATGTCGTTGTCGATGACGTGTCCGTATCTCCAGGGGCCCTGAGAGGTGTGATAGCAGGAATTCCGGCTTGTTCCGGATCCCTATCTTTGTTCCGTGCTTCTACCACCCCCGTCAAAGGCGTCTCAGCACTCTCTTGACTATCCGCGTCAGCGAGACGGGCACGGAAGTCGAGAACCTTTTGGGGCGTCTCATTTGTTGTGACTCGTGTAAAGTGCACTTCTCCTGTCAGAGACTCTGGAGCTTCTTCTTCAGGGCCCTCGTCCTCTTCTGAAGCGACCAGCTTCTGGCGAGGCATAGGATCCTCCGCAACGCGTCCTCTGTCAGACGAATTCCCCCGCCCGAATGTTTGGTTGTCCATGCCCTCTCGTTCGTCCGCTTTAAGACCTACCCATCTGCGGATCAAACTCTGCGACTGCGGGTCTGCAACAGCCAATCTCCTTGACTTCGTTTTGCGAGTTCTCCGTGCTTGGGCGGACCTGCTGGCCGATTCAACTTCGTCATCTTCTTCATCGGAACAAGAGTCATCGGTTTGAGGTGCCTGTGCAACCTTTTCCACGGCAACGGGGGGCCGTTTCGAACTTCGTTCTTCGTCACCTGAGTCGTCCTGGACCAGAACCGCATGGGCGCCTCGCTGTGCCTTTTGGGTGGAGGGCTGTGCAATCGGTATGGAGTAGTCTTGAGATTGAAATAGACTGACCAAAGCCTCCCTCAAGTTTTCCAGCATTCTATTTTGATCATGCATAAGAATCGTGCGCTTGTCGGGGCTGACGTTGACATCGTAGAGATGGGTGTCGAGTTGAATATCTGCAAAAATAAAAGGTGACTGAGACGAGTTATACGCTCGGTAGACCTCGTTGAAAACCTTGGCGAACTGCGGTAGACCGCATGGTCTGGCATTCACGAAAAACATTTGTCGATCGGGTGTCTGGCGTCCCTCGCCGTGGGCGGGCCGGCTGACGTACCCCTGAACACGAACCTCGGTAGAGACGTTGTTGTCCTTAAGAGCACTCTTCATACCAGGACCGGGGGTAGGCTCAAACTCCAGTGTCATATCCAACTGGACCAGAACGGCCATGGTCTTGGTGCCGAAGATGTTGATGAGGTTTTCGCGCGTTGACGGATTGCCTTTGGTAGAGAAGAGAACGATGCGCTTGCCTTTGCTGGGCTGTTGCGATACTGTGAACTTGACGCCGGTCTGGATGCAGGCATACTGATTCAATAGTGAAATGACCTTGTTCCACTCCCTTTTGATATTGCGCTCCAGCTCGCGGCGGCGAACTGGAAGGTTACGGAACAGATCTTCCACTATAACATTTGTACCTTTTTGGGCAGCAACGACGTGAGTTCTCTTCAGCTTCCCTGAAGCCTCAAACTCGAGTTTGGTTCCTTTGGGAACGTCCTGGGCCAAGCAGGTCAGGATGCTAAACTGCGAGAGGGCACACAGCGAGGACAAAGCTTCTCCGCGGAAGCCAAAAGTCTGAAGGGTTGCGAGGTCGGAATAAGTTGAAAGCTTCGAAGTGTAATGCTTCAAAGCAATAGTCTCATAGTTGTCGGGCGAGATGCCGGACCCATTATCCTGGACCTCGATGGAGTCGAGTCCCTGGTTCCTGAATCTCACATCTATGATGTTGAATGTGTTAGCCATGTGAGCGCGGCGATCGAAAAGCTCACCATGGAATGGCGGGAGGGGCTTGAAGGTTGGGGGACATAGGTGATGGGTATAAATACCTATGCTGGTGGCACCAGCGTCGACACTATTTTCCACCAGCTCTTTGACAACTGAGCAGAGGTCAACAATGACTTGACCGGATTGTATTTGATGAACCTGTGATTTAAGTTAGTGATACGCCACCGACTTGTTGATGTTCACTGGTAGGTAGCCTTGGGGAGGATGTGAAGACGTTGACGGCAGGAAGTTCGGATGCGTCCCTACCGTGCGACCCTCGATGGGTTTGATGGTGGCCATATCCGCGATGAGGCAATCAAAGCATACTAATACTAGCCCGAGCTTTGAGTATTCACGCAGTCAAAAAAAAAAAGGACGGGCGGTGAGCGAACTGGCGGAATTGAAGTTATCTGCACAACAGACACCAGGGTCGTCGGAACGATGCCGTAGTAGGTACGCGAAACGCGTCGACGATACCTTACATAAGACGCGTTAAGTGAGGTGGGGCGTGCTGGATGAGGTAAGGTAAGACGAAATAAACTGCATGATACGTAATACCTTCCCTAACGTACGTGCCTACCTCATGTTACTAGGTACGGTAAGGTAAAATAAGCCCCAATCAAATCCGATGGATCGCCGAGCAGCCTGCCTCGCTGATTCGGGAGACAGCCCGTCCAGGCCGTTGCCGAAAAGGCACTTGATTACAGATAACGACGAAAACAAGCCAAGCCAAGCCACTGCCAATTCTGAAAGAAACCTAGAAGAGAGAGGAAAGCTTGATCTTCGGGACTTACAGGGAAAGGTGGGCACTCCAACGTGGGTCGTTAATCCGTTAATCTGTCTGTGTTAGGTTGGTAATTAGGTAGTATAGTATGTAGGTCGACCAGCGCCTGCGATGAGAGTGTGGCAGGCATATTTAATTACGTGCGCGTGCAAGAGTGGAATACTGAGAAAAATCTCGATAGGATGCCTTTGGCGCGGGCGAGGCGCCGCGCGACGCGGCCTCCGAGGACACCGCGAGATGTATCCGTATATTCCGCAGCAGCACATCGACACAAGTGGAGTTTATCATTGCCCAATGCCTTAGATAGCTAGCTAGTGCTAGTTACCCAAGGTAGGTAAGGTAGGTAGGTAGGTACCTGCTTGACGTGTCGTTGGCCTTCAATGTTGGGGGGTTATGTCGACACGCGCCGTGCCATGCGTCCAAGAAAGTCAGATTGTCAGAATGGACGTCGTTGGCTACATCGGATCTCGATTTCGTCGGGCTTGGTGAGAGCTCAATGGGCAGCCTTAGCAGCATAGTAATGATTTTGCTTGTGTTGGCAACCCTTGTCTTGTGTGTTCAAACCATGTGTATTCGTACTTTTGGACCGACGCGGGAGCGGGTAGGAAAGGAAGGCATCAACATAGCGTTTGTTGGAGGAAGACGTTTCATGTCACATTGAGGCAACGATGGGCGCTTCGATGGCCAGGGATGCCCGGGGCAGTGCGGGAGATGAGAGGACAACGGGAAAATTTCTCATCACCAGGTCGTTAATGCAGGGCCAGCTTGCTGGTCCATATAATCACATAGTAATTACCCAGAGCGGACAATTAAAGAGATGCCCTCCCGAGTACAAGATGCCCTTACCTAGTGAAGTGTTGCGTGTCCACGGGCGGGCACTTTGATTCAATGTCGATAAACGACAGCGAGCTGATTAGATTAAGTTTTTGTTGCTAACATCTGAAGCAGACGGAGGACTCTGGAGATAAGAGGTGGAAGCAGTAAAAGTCTAGGTAGGTACACATAGCACCTACCTACCTACCTACCTACCTTAGTAGGTACATTAAGGTGCCTGCCATAGTACCTAGGTAAGGTAGGTTGGTAAAGAAGAAAGGCATGGCTGGTCTAGAATTCCATGGCAAGGTCGATATAGATAATTACTCTTGGGCACAACTAAGATGCTCCTAGGTACCCAAGTCAGCAATTCATGCCGCTCGTTGTCGATTCCAGGTAGGTAGGTGCCTTTACCTTTAGGTGCCTTAGGACCTTAGGTAGGTACGATTACCTTAGGTACCTTCCAGGTTATGTATGTAGGTACCTAGGTAGGCAAGTGCCCGGCTTCCTAGGTCCACACTTTCCATAGGTACTAGGTTTGGTAGGTTAGGTTGTCCCCTCAGGTTAGCACCACCTCACCCTTCCTGCCAGTGTTTCCAGTGGAGTCGGGTTGTTCAAAGGGTCCAGGTCCAGGTGTAAGTAGGTAGGTACCTTAATCCAGTGTGTTTCTTCCCTAGGCTTTTTCTGATCCCATTAGATTCCTTCTTCCCGCTTGGCCACCTGGGCTCTCCTCTCCGTCTTGTCGCCTGTACCTTACCTCCAACGTTAACGTTTAGTCTTCTCCCCCCCCTTCCTCTATTCTCCTTTCTTCACTTTCTCTTTCGCCAGACGGAGACGAATACTCCCTCGGCTCAATCGACCGACTCCTTCCCCTCCAGGAAGACTCGACCGAGCCCTCTCCATCCATGAAGAGGCGCTCGTCGGGTTCGACCGACGACAGCGACGATCCTCCCATCACCAAGCCTCGGTCTCCTGCCACGAGTAAAGTCACCTCAGATACTGCTCGCACCCGCAATTCTGCCGCACACCCCAAACACCCGCCAGCTGCATCAAGACCGGCCTCTGCGAGGAGCAGACGGTCGCCCTACACCAATTGGAAGTTTGAACATGGACCGAATGGATCGCTCGAGAACCATTCCATAACTGTGTCGTCGCCGTCGACGTCGCCATCGCCATCTCCATCGTCATCGTCATCGCCATCGCCATCGACGCTGTCTCAAGCACCATCCCTAGCCGTGCTGTCACCCGCATACCCAAATAACCTTCAACAACCTCCGGACCACCAACACCACCAACACCATCGCCACCACCCCGAAGGCGGTGCCCCTCACGTCGAAATCCGCGACGAGTCCGACGACGACACCGAAACAGACAATCACCCCGGCGCAAAAGCCTCCACGGCTTCCGAAAGAATGGCCGAATTGCGCTTTGCTGGCCGTCGCTCTCGGTTTCGCGGCCCATGGTCCATCACCATTCTGGCCCTCGCCGTCACTGTGCTTGGCATCACGCTGCTGTGCGCCATTCTCAACTCCTCTTGGACTCGTCAACTTGACGCCAAGGGATGTCGCATGTCTTACATGCGGCCCTCGTACATCCGCTTACGCGATTTCGACACGGAGCACACCCGCTTCGCAACCAAATACTCGTTATATCTTTATCGCGAACAGGGCGTTGACGATGAACGAAAGGCATGTATCCTCCGACAATAAGCTCGAGCACTACATGGAACTGACCAGCACAGCTGAGAGGTGTTCCTGTCCTTTTCATCCCAGGCAATGCGGGCAGTTACAAGCAGGTTAGACCGATAGCAGCTGAAGCTGCTAACTATTACCACGAATCTCTGCAACACGATGAAGCCGCTGCCGCAGCTGGCGCTCGAAACCTCGACTTCTTCACCGTCGATTTCAACGAAGACATCACCGCCTTTCACGGACAGACCATGTTGGATCAGGCCGAGTACTTGAACGAGGCCATCCGATACATACTGTCTCTGTACATGGACCCGCGCATGTCCGCCCGCGATCCTGACTTACCAGACCCCACGTCCGTTCTGATCTTGGGTCATTCCATGGGTGGTATTGTAGCCCGGACAATGCTCATCATGCCGAATTACCAATCCCATTCCATCAACACTATCATCACCATGTCCGCACCACATTCCCGGCCCCCAGTTACCTTTGACGGTCAGATTGTAAAGATATACGAAGACATCAATGATTACTGGCGTCGAGCCTACTCGCAGAAATGGGCCAACAATAATCCTCTGTGGCACGTCACCCTTGTTTCGATAGCTGGCGGTGGCTTAGACACGGTAGTTCCGTCCGACTACGCTAGTGTCGAGTCCATAATCCCCGAGACGCATGGCTTCACCGTGTTCACCACAGGAATTCCTGGGGTCTGGACCAGCATGGATCATCAGGCTATCCTCTGGTGCGATCAGTTTAGGAAAGTTGTTGCTCGAGCTCTGTACGACATAGCCGATGTCCACAGATCGTCACAGACGAAGCCGAGGGCTGAGAGAATGAGGGTGTTCAAAAAATGGTTTCTTACTGGGATGGAGTCCATTGCCGAGAAGAACTTGCCCTCCGAGGGGCCAACAACGCTCCTGACTCTTGAAGACAACGCCAACGCCATTATGGGTCAAGGGGAGCGCTTGATTTTGCGAGAATTGGGTCTCGAATCCAAACCCAGAGCTTACTTGCTTCCAGTACCACCCCAAGGATCACCGGAAGGCAAGCGGTTCACCCTTTTGTCAGATGTCAGTTTGGACAAGTCAGGAGAGCATGGAAAGCTCGAAGTTCTGTTTTGCAGCGTTTTCCCCCTACAGCCTGGTCAGGCTACGACCATGTTCTCTGTGAACATGGATCTCTCGGGAGACAGCACTGGGTCCACTCGACTGGCCTGCAAGAACACAGCATCCGATGCTATGCTTCTGCCCGCTTCGACAAAATCTCTACACCACCCGTTCGCATTGGATAATGAGCCTGCGACTCGGCCCTTCTCGTACCTCGAATTCGATACCGAAGACATCGCCGATCACCAATTCGTGGCCATAATCGATAAAGCCGTCAAACCCTCGCACAACTTTGTTGTTGCTGACTTCAGCGATCATGCACAATCACACAGAACTCGCAACATCAGTCTGCGACGTCTCCTAGCGTTCGGAATGACGCTCAGACTGCCAGCTGACCGTCCCATGGTCGCGGAAATCAACATCCCTACTCTTCAATCGAGCTTGCTTGCTTATAATCTGGAGATGAGCAACCAAGTTTGCAACGGAGCCCCCGAGATGTTCTCTCCTCTCATCCGACAACATCTGGCTCAACCGTACGAATCAAAATACTTCGTCAACGCCAGACACGCGAGCATCAGCATGCACGGCGTAGCACCGTTTGTTCCTCCACCATTGCGTCAAAAAAGGCACGATGAGCAGGGCCTAAGCTTTCAATTCTGGACAGATCCCACGTGCGAATCCAGTATCCAAGTCAAGTTGACGGTAGATGCGTTGGGAAGTTTGGGAAAACTGTACATGCGCTACCGAACCGTCTTTGCCGCCTTCCCTTTGCTCGTGGTCACCCTAGTGCTACGAAAGCAATTCAGGGTTTACGATACCACAGGCACCTTCATATCATTTTCAGAGAGTCTCGACCTCTGCCTACGTCAATCCCTGCCTCTGATGTTAGTTTCATTGACGTTTCTCTCTTTGTCGATGACGGGATCCTGGCCGGCAGGGCCCGGTGGTTTCTGGCATTGGCGCAACACGACGTCGCCAGCGGGTGACTTCCACGGCAATGATCTTCTCACGGGCACGCAAGACCCATTCTTCTGGTTTCTCGTGCCTCTCATCGGGGTTGTCTGCGTTGGCGTTTGTGCCATTCTTCATTTTGTAACTTTGGCTTTGACGCAGCTGCTCGGATTCGTCTACTCATCGGTCGTTGTCCGCTCCTTCGGTCAAGCTAGAGATGAGCGACGACGAGCACACTCGCCGATGTTTGCCTCTTCTTCGCCTCGGCGGCGGATGATTACCACCGCCATCCTTCTATTCATGGTGTCGACCTTCATCCCGTACCAGTTCGCGTACTTGGTGGCATGCCTGGTTCAGCTCTTCACCGTGGTTCGTGCTCTCAGGATAGCGTCGGAGCTCAAGTCGGGGCCGAATTACGACTTTTATCACTACGCCCATTCAATCCTGCTCCTTATGCTTTGGGTACTTCCCATCAATCTCCCCATTCTGGCAGTTTGGATTCGCAATCTAGCGGTACATTGGCTGACGCCTTTTTCTTCCCACCATAACGTCCTGTCCATCATGCCATTCATTCTGCTGGTGGAGAACCTGACAACAGGTAAGATGGTTCCGAGAGTCGCCGGTAAGCTGAGGCATCTTACCAGCGTCCTTTTGTTTGGGACCGCAACTTACGCGGCCATATACGGCGTTTCGTACGCCTACATGCTGCATTATCTCGTCAATCTCGTGGCCGCATGGTTGGTCGTGATTCACTCAACCTCGGACAACTGGCCCCTCGCGGGCTTTAGTTCAATATTCGAAAATGGTCTGAACGAGGACCGCAAGGGTGGCAAAGCACCTTGAGGGACAAACAGACTGGTCGGAGAAGCAACCAGCTTGGGAAGTCGAGTCACCGACGAGTATCCGCTCCGTCAAGCGCTTCTTCTATCTCTGTCGTCCGTCACGCTGTACATACCATGAGACGGCTTGGAGACTCATTCAAGACAGCTTATACTATGGGGACTCTCTGGTGCGGCAATTTTGTTTTCTTTTATATAGACCACTGCGACTATCTGTGTCTTGATTCGAGGTATTTTTAGGCCCTCCTTGCCGCTGTCTGAGCGGCAGATACGGCGGACCTTTTGAACCATGACACCGGCGTTGGCACATGTTTCGGATTTCTCATTTTCGTTCATCTGCATCTTGCATCGGCTGGGAGTTTGTACGGTCCATGTGTTTTGGCTAGAGGCGTCGACACGAACATGATTTTCAACGGACTGAGCGTGGCGGTCTTGGAGTGGCCTTACGTTGAACATGTCGCCGACCTAGGGTCTGCAGCGTCATGCAAGGCGTCCACTCAGGGGAGAAAAGTCCTACAAGAAAAAGAGGAAGGGGTATAAAGGAGGCTTTTCACTTCAGATGATTCTTGTATAATGCTGCGACGGGGGACTTTCTTGTGTCAAACCCGTCTTTAATGAGCCAGCTGCCCATAAGGGCTTGCTTTGTGTTTTTCGATCGAGAAGTCAGTCAATGATTGGCGATCGCAGTGGGGGAGACGAAATGGACGTTAGCCGATCATATCAGGGAGGTATCAGGCGATGCTTCAGTCCGAGTGCGGATTGTATATGGTGCGCGTCCTTGAGGATCCAGAGACGGAAATTCAAAGGCACTTCAATACTACCGATTCAAGGACGTCACTCAGCACATACATTTAAAGAGTACTCAAGCTGGGCATCTCTCCGTACAGTTCGTCGTATCACTGCCACGTTGGGTGCCGGTAAAGACTGAAGGCTTTGCGACTGAGATAAATAAAGGAGCCCCGCCGTCTTGTCTAGTAAAACATGCCAATGCCCCGTGAGTTAGCAGTCTAACTTAACGCCTGCCTCACACATCTCTCTATCCTGGAACCGCGCCAGCTAGCCTTGCGTATTATGTCACAGGTAGAGAACCTCCCCTTCTCCCCTTTTTACCCCGATGCCCCGTTTCCGTCGTTCACAGGTGTTGTGCCTCTTGCAAGGAGAGAGTTGAAATCGTGTAGATCGCCAATCTTGCACTAATCCACCTGCTCGGCCTTGTCCTTTTCCTCCTTGGCCCATTTCACGCGCTGGTGGCGAATTACCCAGAGTGTCAGGACAAGACCAACAGAGCACGATGCCAGGGTCATCAGGTATGCAGCGCGATAGCATTCTGGTCCATCATGGCAAACACGCTCGCCATCTGGTCCAAGAATTGAGTGCTTATCATAGATCTTGCCGTAAAAGATATTGAAAATATTGCCCGAGACAACGGGAGAAAGTGTCATGAGGCCCCAGTTCTGACTGAGGCCGTGAATCCCGAAGGTCTCGGCCACAATGGAGGGGAACACTCCGAAGAGAAAACCGTACGCGATGCCGGACAACCCCGACACTAAGCCCAGGAGATGAGGGTTGGTAACGTTGAGTGCTACAACCTGGGCAACGAAGAAGACGGCACTAGAAGCAACGAGGCACCAAACCCGGCTTCCGTGGAGTACTTTGACAATGAAGTCCGACCCAACACCTTGGTCATCGGGGTCAGCCTGAGACTTGCCTAACTGGAGGCGGGAAACAAACCGCTTAATAGTCTACCGGCAAAACTGCAGATAGACAGTATAGATACGTGCAGCTGTTGCATAGTGATGAGGTAGGCTTCGTCAACCGACTCGTCCCAGTGACGCCAGAGGGCTTTCACGTCATTTCCGATATTGCTGCAGATGATGTTTAGCACATTAGATCATTTGAACGGGAATGGCCCGCATGAGGCTGGGAGACGTACTTGATTGTCATCAAACCGATGCCGGTAAGAATGCCCATGATGCAAAACAACTGCCAAAAGTCGAGCTCACGAAACAGGTTCCAACCACGGATATCTACACGATGGGAACGATCCATATCAACACTACTCTGCACAAAAACATCACCAGGCATAGAAGAGGAGCTCGACACTAGCGAGGACGTCTCATCGGGCTCATAATCATCGGCGTCGTCGACGGCTTCGATTTGCGCCTCATCAGCCTCGTGAGACGGCGCTGAGGGTTCGTTTCGAGGGTAAACCGGCTCGCTGTCGGTGTTGGAGTCGATTGTGGTGGTGGCAGTAGTATTTGTAATTTTGGGCGACGTACCAGGTTCAACCAACGCGGCGCGATGCCCATGACCGGGGCGGTTGGGTTTGGCCTCCTCCGAAGACGTACGGTGAAGAAGTTGGGAGCCCGTCAACACATCACTGGCGGGCAGGCTTTGGTAGTTGGTATGAGGATACACACGCAGGAAGAAAAAGCCGAGAAACGTCAAGCCGCACGTGCCGAATGAAAGCAGGGCCAGAAAAGCACTGGTGTTTCCCGGGAAGAAAAGAGTGCCAAACGTCGAGAAGAAGAAGGCGCTCAAGCCGAAGGCAGCGAGGGGAAAGGCAGTTGCCGTACCGCGATGATGTGGCCAGTTCAGGGCAGACGTCTTGACGGCGGCGGCGAACGCCATACATCCGCCCAGGCCGGTGAGGTATGAAAAGAAGCAGAGAAGCGGAACAGCACCGGCCGCGCGGTCGTAGGCAACATGGAAGGGGAAATAGCCGAGGGCGAGCAGGATGGAGCCACTAATGACGGCAGAGCGAGGTCCTTTGTGATCAACCAGCATGCCGACAGGAACACCTAACGAGTACATTCCTAGGTTGGCCGAGAGCCCTATGACGTTCGTCTCGGTCGAAGACAGCTTCAATCGCTCGGCGAATTGAGGCGCCCATGCCGAATATACATACTGCGCAAACACCATCAGTTAGCGTTGGATCGTAAGAAGGATACAGTCTTTGGGGAAACGATCCAGGCGCCAACAACACTCACGTTGGTGCCACAGGCGAGAGATATGATTGTTGCTGCGACACTGGCGACAAGACGTGCGCGATGCAGCTGCTTCTCTCTTTCCTTTGCGTTGGCCATGGTATGCAGACTCGTACAGGGGGGGACGTTGGCCTTCAGGATATCATGCTTCGAGAATCGGGGGCAGGGAGAAATCGATCGTCAACGCCGGGAGACGGAGGGCGAATGGCGTGGCGGCAGCGATGACGGCGATAATGGTTGGAGAAGTTCGATTCAGTGTATCGGGGGAGCAGTACTCATGGCGTTGCGGGCGAAGCCGAGAGTGTGAAACATCAAGAAGAGAGGGATAGTGACTGAGTGGGCAAGCAGCGGCGATATGGAGGGAGGGAAAGAGGAGAAGATGAATACGCGGGCGAGGATGGTGGGAAGCTTCACAAACGGCTAGGTAGGAAGACGGGACGATGCCGGATCCCTTATCTTTGGGATCTCGAATCCTTTTGCAACAAGTCCGTAAGGCAAGGAAGGCACTTTATTTGGAAGTCGGGCGGATAGATACCTACCTAAGGAACCTACCTACCTGGGTAAGGAAGGTACTGCAACCTACCTAGGTATGTAAGGTACCTTTCGGCAGGTACGTTATCTGGGCTCGCTCCCTAAGGCACGCCTCCGCCTGCACGTGCTAGGTAAGGGAGGAAGGCATAAGATACCTACGTTCCTTAGGTTGCTTTGTATCTCCGGTGCCGACCTTCCTTCCATTAAGGGGCTGTCTCCTTGGACGGAGCGCTGGCCAGTGGGAAAGCAGACGCATTGCGATTGTCTTGTTTGCCGAATCGGCCACTGCACTAAGGTACGTAACGAGTACCAATCGCGGTGCCGTCATTACATATTAGATACGTAAAGAGCGCGCGTACCCGCTACATTTCGACTTCTGGGCACCTGGGCGTTCTTGGCTTCCGTTGAAGGTAGTCCGGGACGTAATGATGCCAAACCTCCATCTCTCCAACCCGTATGGGTGGTATCCATAGGGCAGTTGGAAATCCCATGGTACGGATAGCTGTCTTTGAATGTCGTCTGGGTTGCTTCTGTCGCCTGACAACTTTTGTACGTAAGCTAAGGCAGATTATAGGCCCCCATCTCGACTAACTAGGTATAATCACTCACCTTCATCTTACAACGGACAATCTGTCAACTTGGCCGTCGTCTCATCTGGGCGTTGGACACATGGTTCTTGTCAAGTCAGTTGACCCCATTGAAATATCATGAGGTAACGCTAGCCAGCTGCACATCTGAAACATCTGAAAGGGTGCGACTAACAAGAAGAAGTACGAGGTCGCAACCTGCCTCTTCTGGGAGCAAAGAGAATCCCACTGAGCAAGCACGACCCAGGGGTATCTCTCAGGAGAGCAGAGACTGAGTAGGTAGTCGCTTTATTGTCTATAGATAAGATGTGCAGATGGCGAGGGGCGCAGCGCTGGTTTGCTGTGCACCAGGCATGCATGAAGACGTCGTGTCGTGTCGTGTTGCAGTGGGTTTTGGCTGATAACAGACATGGCACGCGAGACAACTCAACATTGCCGTACTCCGTCCTCAGTATATGCCGAGCCAATTTGAAACCCCACCAGCAACGCTCAGTCCAAGGGTGGTTTGGGTGGAAAGTGTGTTCCGTTCAATGTTTTCGTAGGAATGGCCAGTATCGACCAATCGCCGATCTCGGCCGCCCCTTATGCGGATGGATTAGAGAAATTGCAGCCAAGATCCCAGGCTGCTACGGAGTACCGACCTGCGGATAGGTACATAGGTACACGTGTAGTCTAACGTAATCGTGCAGGAGCCCCGTATTTCCTCTTCAACTAAGGTACTTACCTAATTATCGAGGTCCCCGCCGTCCCGGGCAGTGGCGTGTCACGTGCACCGCCGCCTCAGCCTCATCCAGGTCACGGGCACTCAAGCCCAGCCCATCCGACCTCGTTCCGGTTGTCATGCCGCCGTTCGCGCAAGCGCAGCAACACTCCCGTCGCGCCACCTCGAACCGCAGACACGTCGGCGCCATCACCAGCAACACCACAACTTCTACTTTTCCAACGCGTTCCATCAATCCATCCGACAAACACAAACGATCGATCGCATACCCTTCCAACAGCTGGCGCCATGGGTGCTCTGCTTTCTCTGCCGCTGATGGCGGTGCCAAGTATGGGCACGGTATGTTCACTTCCGTTCTCCGCAGCCTGTGAGCTGTGTCGAGGCTTCGAGGCTGCATCCGAATCAGACGTCGACTAACACATCTCAGGTTATTGGTTTCGCTGCCAGTTGTTGCGGTGCCGCCACATGCTCTGCTGTGTGCAGCGCTTGCGGGAAATGCGGCAACAGGTATGTTCAGCCAATACCGCTTGACACAACGGCGAGCTAAGAACAGTCACAGTGTTGCTACTCGTATCGGCTACGCCCTCATCCTTCTGGTGAACTCGATTCTCTCATGGATCATGCTCACGCCTTGGGCCATCGAGAAACTCGAACACCTTATGCTCGACTACGTCAAAATCGATTGTCCGACGGGCACCTGCTACGGCTGGATGGCCGTTCATCGCTTCAACTTCGCACTCGGTCTTTTTCACCTCATCTTTGCCGGTCTTCTGTTTGGTGTCACCTCCTCCAAGAACCCGCGCGCCGCGATTCAAAATGGATACTGGGGTCCTAAGATCATTGCATGGCTTGCTCTGATCGTCCTCTCGTTCCTGATTCCCGATGAGTTCTTCCAGTTCTGGGGTTCATACATTGCCCAAGTTGGCGGCATGCTTTTCCTCATTCTTGGCCTCATCCTGCTCGTGGATCTCGCCCACAATTGGGCCGAGTACTGCCTCGAGCAGATTGAGGAAACAGACTCCAAGGTCTGGCGTACAGTACTGATTAGTTCTACGCTGGGCATGTACTTGGGTTCCCTCGCCATGACCATTGTCCAGTACATCTTTTTCGCTGGTGATGGCTGCTCTATGAACCAGGCTGCAATCACTGTTAACCTCCTGCTTTGGATCATCATCTCCTTCATCTCCGTTCACCCCACGGTCCAGGAGTTTAACCCCAAGGCCGGTCTAGCCCAAGGCGCCATGGTCGCCGTCTACTGCACATACCTTACTATGTCGGCTGTCTCCATGGAGCCCGATGACAAGAAGTGCAACCCCTTGATTCGGGCTCAGGGTACCCGGACGACCTCCATTGTCATCGGTGCGATTGTGACTATGCTCACGGTCGCATACACAACCACCCGAGCCGCCACCCAGAGTCTTGGCCTGGGTTCTTCTGGCGGCATTCGACTTCCCGAGGAAGATGAGCACGATCTTGTGACTCAGCAACCGAATGGCCATAAGGCCATGCGAGCTGAAGCACTGCGCCGTGCTGTCGAAGAGGGTAGTTTGCCTGCCGATGCCTTGTTATCTGACGATGAGAGCGAAACCGGAACCCACACGCCTGGTGACGATGAGCGCACTAGGACTCAGTACAGCTACAGCGTATTCCACATCATTTTCTTCCTGGCCACCACCTGGATCTCTACCTTGCTCACTCAGAGCTGGGACGACCAGAATGACGGGGATTTCGTCCCTGTCGGCCGCTCCTACTGGGCCAGCTGGGTCAAGATTGTGAGCGCCTGGGTTTGCTACGCCATGTACGCCTGGACTCTAGTTGCCCCAGTGGTCTTGCCAGACCGCTTCGACTTTTCGTGAGACCTTTAACACAAAACCTTAGCTGCGCAATGATATTTATGCCAAGGAGTTTATTCGTTCATTCGTGGGCGACCGGAGTTCACAGGAGGTGGTTTTCTGGTGGAACATTGAACTTTACAGTTTGAGCAATAGTCGAGTACCAATCACAAACACTGCTCAGGTTATCAAGTTGAGAATCTGGACCTGAAGGGTGCGCCGTGAGTCAACAAGCCTCGACTAAGAAGTCCTTCAACCTCTGAACGTGAGATTCGTAATAAGTACTTCAGTTTTTTGCCTCGTCTAATTTTGATGTCCACCTCGGCCTCGCAACCTTCAAAGTACCAAAACGACGGAGGTCTAGTAAGATGAAATTTCTTTCACTCCTTGCAGAAAGCCTCTGATTTTGTCCAATCCGGGTATCATGCCAAAGCCTCTCCGGCTTGTTGGACGGATTCGGTCGCACGAAATCCGTCGAGGGTCACATTGACCGCCCCGGCCTGCACAAGCTGGATATTTTATTAGCCTTGACTGATATATCATAATGGTGGGATTTGATGACTTACAGCCCGAGAAAGATCCTCAATCAGGTCGGTGACATCCTCGATACCCACACACAGTCGGATGAGGTCCTCTGGCATCTGCCTCTCCTTGCGGGTTTTGGCATCGATGCTGGCGTGGCTCATTTGGCAGGGCATGCTAATGAGACTATTCACGCAGCCAAAGCTGACACTGATGCTGTACAACTTGGCAGCCTCTACGATCCTCTCCGATAGAGCTGCATCTCCTGTCTCAAACGATAAGACGGCGCCAGCGCCCCGCGCCATAGACCAGTGAAGGTCATACTGGGGATGAGACTTGAGCCCGGGGTATCTGACCTTGAAACCGTGGGACTCGAGGAACTCGGCAATCTGTTGAGCGTTGGCCTGTTGCTTCTCCATGCGGATGGCCAAGGTTTTGATGCCCCTCATGAGCAGAAACGAATCATTCGGCGAGAGACCGCAGCCCGTAGAGTTGATTGTGAAATAGAGCTTGTCTCCAATAGAAGATTCGTTGACGCCGATGACACCGGCCATGATATCGTGGTGGCCCGACAGATACTTCGTGCCCGACTCGTACACGATGTCGGCGCCAATGTCCAAGGGGTTCAACAACATGGGCGAGAGCATGGTGTTGTCCACAACCACCAGAGCCTTCTCGTTGGCATCATGAACCAGCTTGGCAATAGAAGGGATGTCGACAATCTTGATGAGAGGGTTCGTCGGCGTCTCCAGAAGAACCATCGCAGTCTTGTCAGAGATGACATGGCGCACAGAGTCAACTTGAGTTGTGTCGACATGGTGAACAATGATGCCTTGGTTAGAAGATAGGTACGTCAGTAGGCGGTTCGTGCCCCCGTACAAATCGTCTCCGGTGATGACCTCGTCTCCGGGGCGTAACAAGCGGCTGATGACATCCAAGGCACCCATGCCAGAGCCAACTGCAAGAGCTCTTGTCGCGTTCATGATCTTGGCCAGGTGACGCTCCAAGTGAGTGCGCGTCGGGTTACCCGACCTGGTGTAGTCGTACTCACCTCCACCAGTGGCGCTGCTCTGCTTGAAAGTAGCAGACTGGTAGATGGGAACGCTGGAGGCGCCGTACTGGTCGTTGCTTTCGGTGTAGACCAGTTCGGTAGCAAGAGCATAACGGCGACGGCCATTGCGAGGGCTGGAGGGCGCAGGAGATGGAGGCAGGTCGTGCCCATCGAGGTCAACCCGCTTGAGCGGATTGCTGGGCTTTTCCGCGGGTCCGTTGTTCGGTGGTGTGGCCATGGTGAGACAGTCCGACGGCGTCGATGGCTGGGTAGTATAGGTGCAAGACGGAATTCGAATCGATTTGAAACTGATTAGTGTGGCGAATTCGGATACAGAAATCTCTCCGTACGAATATGCCGTTGCAATTGATGATTCGATGGGCAAAAAGGGATGCGTTCAAAGTGACGATACCGAAATTCGGGGGGCCGGGTAAGTCGAGTACTCTACCGCTGGTCTCGGAATGAGCCAGACTTCTCGCCGCGGACAGACCGAATTGCTCAGCAAGTCAATTGTCCAACGCAGCACCGGCGTACTCGAGTTAAGCAGGTGTTTGGCGGAGAGATGGAGTAAGTCGACGGTTGACGATGTGAACGAGAGAAGTTTGTAAAAGAAAGGGTCGTTGGGGGATGACTGCGCATTAGTGACGGACATGGGCGTGACTGGTAGTGTGGGGCCTCAGAGATGACGTGATTTGTCGGTGTACACTGCATCCCCCGAATACCGGCGATGGCGGGGTTGCTTGAAAACGCGGAGTAGCCAATGCGCTTGCCTTTTTACGGGCTTAGGTAAGCCGTATGAGGGGAACGGAGCGGTGTTTGTCCATACGGTTCTTCTCGCGGCGCCGATTTATGGTCCCGGAAGAACCATTCACGGTTACATTACCTTACTGCCATCCCTCAGCCCGAGAACGGAGGGCCGGCTGAGGTTCTATTCCGCGGTCATCTTCCAGTGCTCCTTGGGAGTCTCAGCAAACGGCAGCTCACCGCCAAGTGTCGCATCTAACCAGCTTGTCTTACACACTATAATCGTACATGGGCAAGGTACGCCGTTCTATGATGCTTCTGCCATCCCGCGTTGTCTCTGAACAAAGGCATTCCGACCCATCGTCAACTGTGTATACACCGCGACCATGCCAATGGGAATTATCATGCTTGAAAGTCGTGTACCAGAGCAGACAGGCGGTCCTCTACCCGCCAAATCCATCGTTTCGTTTAATCATCTGCTCAGCCCAGCTCCTCAACCATGTCTTCGTACTCGTCCGCCGATGTCCCCGATGCCTTCGCTGATTGTTTCGCGTGGTTTTCCATGAGGATCTGGCCACCACCCTTCCTCCCAAAGAAATCCTCCGTCCGAATGCCACGGAAATGATCGGGCGTGATGCTGGTCATGGAGTTGCCGTTTGCGCGATGTTCGCGCATGTACTCCCGGACTGGTGCCATGGCCGCATCGCGGCATGCTTCCTTTATGTCGCTACCCGACATCCCCGCCGTGACTTTGGCAATGTACTCCAAGTTGAAATTTTCTGGGTCGGTCTTCGTGTCCTGGAGAATAAGCTGCAATATTCGTCGCCGCTGCTCCCTGTCAGGAAGCGACACGGGGAACTTTTTTGGCATACGCCTCAAGATGGCCTCATCGATATCATGAATTCTGTTAGTGGCTCCAAGAACGACGATTCGCGCCGGCATTCCGGAAGAATTGGATGACGTCAAACCGTCCCAGAGGGTCATGAACCTGATATGTGTGAGTCGTGGCCTCTGGACGAAAATCGTTGCGCTGAAAAACCTACTCTGCCTTGACCATGCCACTCGCCTCATGTTCGCCACTTCTCCTTGTGCCCAAGACGGCGTCGATCTCATCGATGAAAATGATGGCGGGTTGCATCTTGCGCGCCAGCGAGAACACCGCCCGAACCAACTTGTTTGAGTCGCCATACCACTTCTCCGTTACTGTAGAGATGTGAAGGTTGATAAAAGAGGCGCCGCTTTCGCGAGCGACGGCCTTGGCCAGCATAGTCTTGCCGCAACCAGGAGGGCCGTACAACAGCACACCAGATGGTGCAGAAAGCAGGGGTGCGGCATGCGAGTACAAGTGCGGCATAGTCAGAGGGTAGATGACAGACTCCTTAACTTCATCAATAATGTCCTCCAAACCACCAATATCTAGCACGTTGTTAGCGGACAAAAAATCTTGTTCTGATTGCGAATCATTGCTGCTAACCAGAAAATCCCACGGGAATATCCTCAGAGGCCACCATTTCTAGTGCAATAAGATTTTCATACTCGTTCAACACCAGATCTTCTGGCTTGGGGCCGCGGCGGGAGGGATTGCTATCCTCTGCTGCATCGTCGCTTGATCTGCCGATATTCTTGCCCTTTCGCAGGCGCTCGAGGTGGGCTTTCGCTTGCAATCGCGCTTGTTCGTGTTTTTCTCGGTCGGGATCGGCAAGAGTATTTGTGAGGGATGAGAGAAAGTTGCGGGCCAGGTAAACTCCAGTTGCCATCTAATAAGCCATCGCCGTCAGTCTTGATAACCGCCGCGCAAGTGAGGAAACAGTTTCACGCACCATGCCAGCCACCAACAACAGGTCCAGGGCAAAATCACCCAAACCCCTCTTTCGGTCGCCCATGCCGAGAAGTTTTCCGACGGAGCCAACCCAGCGGTCCAGGTCGCCCGTCATCAGAGTTGGCGTTGTGGCAAAGAGCCGACGCGATGCAGTCCACTCGGCCTAGAACGTGCCAAAGTCGATGAGAATCGTCGAAGAAGACAATTTTTGGTTTCTTACTAGAGTAGTCGTCGTCCGAGGCGTAAGAGTAGCAAAGGAAAGACGACAAATGATGGACTTTGCAGAACTGAACCAAGAGAGCGAATAGTAGGAGGCAGGTAGACGTGGCCCCCAGAATCTGAGCCGCGCAGACGCCACCCGCGGCTTGGAACTACCTAACCTACCTACCTAGGTACCTACCTACCTTGCGGGGATGACAGTGACCTGAGGCGCCGGGCGTAACCTGTATTGCACCGCCACCGAAGAGCACTGACCACCCGACGGTAAGGGGTGCTGCCAGGCCGTTTGTTTACTTAGGTAGGTAGGTTACCTAAGGTAGGTACGTCGTGTTGCGCAGGAAACCCTTCCGCTTACCACGGTTTTCTTGAACCACTGTGCGCTCCTCCATCACTTCTAACGAGGACTCGAACGCGACGGTCCGAACGCGACGACAACTACAAGCGATTTCCTCGCCTCTCTGCGAATTCGCGCGACTGGCCGCTATCTCCCGTTTCCATCACTCCTAGCGGCGCGAATGTCACAAGCTGCTCGCCCCTCGAGGTTGTTAGCATTGGTGGATTCGGACTCGGACGAACTCTCCGGGCTGGGCGCATTGGTCAAAAGAAACAACAACCCCAAGCCAGACAGAATGGCGCCTGCGAAGAAACCCCGTGGAAGACCGGCGACGAATAAAGTTACGAAGCCAGCCCCGAAGCCCACGCGTCGCTCAAATGACAAACTTGCGGCCGCCGTCGCTGCTGCCCGCGAAAGCGAGGATGATGTCGACAAGCTAGGGAAAGAGGGGGGCAAAGTTTCCAAGAGGGGCCGAAAAGCCAAGCAGAAGGAAGATGACGGTCATGTAGATGACAAAGAGGAAGACGACGCCCCATTCACATCGGCGAATGCTGCTAAACCCAGAGGCCGACCGAAAATGAAGTCTGCTGGGGAAGAGGCGGTTGAAGAAGTACCGGAGTCCGCTGTCAATGCCCACAAGACGACAGCCAAACGCGGGCGTCGCGCGGGAAGCAAATCAATGCGAAATGACGATTCCGAAATCCCAGAGACACAGCCGGCGGCAGATATGGATGTTGATACCGAGCAAGACAATCAATCCGATATTCTGCCCACGCTGAAGCATCCTGCTCGGCGCGATGCTAGGCCAGGAATCAGCACCGACTTGGAGATGGGAGAGGTGCAGTTGCGCCGACGACTAGGGGAGGCGAACAGAAAATACGAAAACTTAGAGCAAAAGTATTGCGACCTACGAGACATTGGCATTAAGACGGCCGAACGCAACTTTGATATGTTCAAGAAAGAGAGCGATGAACGGGCAAAGAGTGAGTATCAAAACAGAAACATATCAAAACAGAGGGTATACCGCTGACAGAGACAAGCTGCGACCGAACTCATCAGCCATCTTAAGGCTGATTTGACGACGCAACGGACCTTGGCTAAGGAGGGACAGGTTTACAAGACAAGACTCGAGGAGATGGAGGCCAAGGTAGCAGACTTGGCAGCATCCTTAGCCGAAGCGAAGCAAGAGGCGAAGACACTATCAACGAAATTAGCTGCGAGTAGGTCGGCGGAGGCCGCAGCTACAGCAGTCACTGCCAAGGTCCCAGGAAGCGCAATCAAGGGCGGGACGGCAGCCGCTCGGGCTCTGGCTACTGCGAGCACAGAGGCGGCACAAACAGCTCAGCTGAAGGAGGACCTCTACGGCGATCTGACGGGGTTGATTGTGAGGGTGGTCAAGCGTGACTCGACGGGCCAGGTCTTTGACTGCATTCAAACGGGACGAAACGGAAGTGAGTGCTCTCCGTCGGCGGGGCTTTGTATTTACAGTAGACAAAGGCTAACAGCATCTCCAGCACTTCACTTCAAGCTTGAAGTCGAAACTGATACATCGGGCGACAACTACGAAGAAGCTCATTTCACGTACAAGCCACAACTAGACTCTAATCGGGACCGAGACCTGATCGATCTGCTTCCCGACTTTCTGGCTGAGGAGATTGAATTCTCTCGGCCACACGCTGCCAAGTTCTATTCGCGGGTTACGAAGTCGTTGATGGATTGAATCGAGAATCGATTGCATGGTGGCGGGGCAAGTTTCGTCAGCGATGTTGGAGCTCTGTCGATGAACGTCCCACATGTGGATACTCCCCAAGGACACTTTTGTGATTTCTTTATTGGATGTTGGGTGGTCAAAGAATACGCCCTGAGTCTCAGTGCGACCTAATGTTTGGTTGAGCCGTGGCGCGATGAAGCCAACAGCGTTGATGGTTTATTAAACGCATTAAGAATACCCAGTTTGCCAGTCGGCTGGATTATCAAGGGAACTGTTCGATTAAGCGAAGTCGGCCTGGTGAAGGCATGTGATACCTGATATGAACATAGTAATCCATAGAGGTTCGCAAAGGGCATCAGAATACCTTGATGTCCGTAGAAATCAAAGATCCTTGTCAGATGTAGGGAAGATATCCTCGTTAATAGGTACCTAGGTAAGGTACCCACGAATACCTTACCATACCATCAAGTGTCCCACCCGTCAAAAGCAAAAATGGAACTGGCCAGTCTAGCATTCGACGTCACGCTCGTGGGCGCAGGTACGTACCGGCGACACAGGCACGAGCCGCACTACGGGCAGGGACTAAGTGGTCTTTCTGAACACCTAATCCCTGTCTGCGCGCACCGCAACTCCAAAATGGGTTGCATCGGGAGAGTCGAAGACGTGTCGCGAACCAATCCAAATTTCCGCGTCGGTACAACAAGCGGGACTGAAAACGGTGCTTCCGTTTCCCATGGGCAAGTCTTCCACTTCTACCATTACTGCTGCGCATCACCGACGACGACCTTGGAGCCATGCGCAAGTCGTGAGAGGAGTGTGCGCCTCTACCCTCTTTTTTCCATCTTTTTCTGCAGCACTTTTTCTTTTCCTTCGCGAGAGTGAAGCATTCCCATTCTATATAAGCTGATCTGGACGCCTCCCCCAGCCGAGCCTGTACATCTTCCCCTGGATCAGCAGTCAATCCTTTGATACAGCCCTTCGGAGCCTGTACGACAACACGACGACGGCGACGGGACAGCACTCCGGACGAGACGATACCAAACGCAACTTGCGTCTCAGCCGGACAACCAAGTCCAGCGGCCAATCTTCGCTAGTCTGCCCGCCATGGCAGTCTTTTCGCGGGTCGGCTTCCTGGCCGTCGCACTCGTCTTCCACCTTGTGTACATTTACTCCATCTTCGACATTTATTTTGTCAGCCCAATCGTCTCGGGGATGCAACTTGTCCGGATTGAACGCCCAGCTGGCGTCAAAAATCCGGCTGACCGACTGGTCCTCTTCGTCGGTATTCGACCCCTCAGCCCAAACTCAATTGCAGTGCATTCACTGACCCGATAATGTAGGAGACGGTTTGCGAGCAGACAAAGCTTTCCAGTCCTTTCCCGACCCCTACCCGAAGAACGAGGAAGACTTGGCTCCACGGCCCCTGGCCCCCTTTCTACGATCCCGCGTCTTGGAGCACGGCACCTTCGGAGTATCGCATACGCGTGTGCCCACAGAATCCCGTCCGGGCCATGTTGCTCTCATCGCCGGTCTTTATGAGGATGTTTCGGCCGTCGCGACTGGGTGGAAGCTGAATCCTGTCGATTTCGACAGCGTCTTCAACCGCAGTCGCCATACCTGGAGTTGGGGCTCTCCCGATATCCTACCCATGTTTGAGCAGGGTGCTGTGCCTGGCCGCGTGGACTCTTACACCTACGGCGCCGAGTTTGAGGATTTCTCTTCGGACGCCTTGGACCTAGACTACTGGGTCTTCGATCACGTCAAGGACCTCTTCGCGGAGGCATCCAAAAATGAGACCTTGAATGCAGCTCTGCGTGAAGATAAGGTCGTTTTCTTTCTCCATCTTCTGGGGTTGGATACCACGGGTCATTCGTACCGACCGTACTCGAAGGAGTATTTGAGAAACATCCAAGTTGTAGACCAGGGCGTCAAGGAAATCACGGAAATCATCGAGAAGTTCTACGCCGATGACCGAACCGCTTTCGTTTTCACTGCGGACCACGGCATGAGTGATTGGGGCAGCCACGGCGATGGCCATCCGAACAATACGCGAACTCCCCTCATCGCCTGGGGTTCGGGGGTCGCACCGCCAGTGCTCTCATCCGATGCGATCGCTCCTGGTCATGACGAGTATTCATCGGACTGGCATCTGGACCATGTCAAGCGACACGACGTTGCTCAGGCTGATGTTGCCGCATTGATGGCCTATCTCGTCGGTGTCGAGTTTCCTGCCAATTCTGTCGGCGAACTTCCTTTGTCGTACGTCTCTTCCAGCATCAACGAAAAGGCAGAAGCGGCCCTTGTCAACGCTCGCGGAATCCTGGAAATGTACAGAGTCAAAGAAGAGCGTAAAAGAGCTACCGAATTACGCTATCGGCCATTCCGTCCTCTGAGCGAGCTAAGTCCAGGTCGCCGGGTGACTGATATTCGCCGTTTGATTGAGGCTGGCAACTACGAGGAGGCCATTGAGGAGTCGGCTGCTCTGATGAAAATCGCCCTAGACGGTCTGAGATACCTCCAGACTTATGACTGGCTCTTCCTTCGCACACTCATCACGGTAGGCTATCTCGGCTGGATGGCATTCGCAATGACCGGCGTCATCGATTTACATGTATTGCGGGGAAACCGCACTACTTCGCGAACAACACTGAGTACAACTGTGTTTGCATCCATTCTCACAGCGCTGTACGCATCCTTCATCATCTCCCATTCTCCAATCATGTACTACGCCTACGGCTTGTTCCCTGTGATCTTCTGGGAGGAGGTCTGGGCTCGGCGTGAATCCCTTGTGGAAGGGCGGAGAGTTCTCTTCGGGCATATCAAAACGGGAGGCCGTGCGGTTTCCTTCATTCTCAACGTGGTCGCTTACGTCGGTGTCATAGTCTCCCTGGTAAGCGGCTTCCGGTTGACTAGCAGTACAGATTCCGCTGACACCACCTAGGCTCTAGGCTACATCCACCGGGAGATCCTTACCCTAATCTATGTCCTGGGAGCTTTCTGGCCCTTGACGACCGGGTTCAGCTTTGTCCAGAAGAATGCAATCATCTCAGCCATATGGTTCGTCTCATGCATTGTCATGGGCGCATTCACTTTGCTTCCACCAGCTATGAACAGCGAGGACGTTTCTCTCATGTATGCTCTCCTTTGATTCGAGTCAACCTGAACTCAATATACTGACTTATTAATAGCGTAGCTGGTGGAATCATTATGGCTGCCATTGGACTTACCTATCTGGTCTGGGAAGACCCTCTACTGGCGAAGTCATCTTCGAGGGAGGGCCAGGCAACTAAACAAGCCATGCCGATTGCGAGGGCTCTGACTGGCATCCAAGTAAGTGCCAAGCCTCTCGGTAGGCTGCTTTTAAACACTGACTCGGGGCTGTTAGGTTGGTCTTGTGCTTTTGGCGGTTTTCGTTACTCGATCCAGCGCACTTTCTCTTCAGGCCAAATCAGGTCTGCCTCGGGGCAACCAAGTAGTTGGCTGGGTTGTACTAGGTTAGTGGCATGCTCGAATCAATATCGGTCGATAGTCCATACTAACTTGATCTAGTTGCTTCACTCGTTATGCCCCTGACTTTCCGGTTGCAACCCAACAACCATTACCTGCATCGCCTCATGAGCATGTTTCTCACGTGCGCTCCAACCTTCGTGATCCTGACTGTCTCGTACGAAGGTCTGTTCTACGTGGCTTTCAGCATCCTGCTGGTGGCCTGGGTTACTTTGGAACACCGGGTCTTTGCCTTCAAACAGACTGCGGGAGAACACCGACGTCCCGTTTCCAATGGAAGCGCCGGCGAGGCCAAAAGAGAGCGACAACCAGCTTTCAGGGCCCTTACACTTTCAGATGCCCGCGTGGCCTTGTTCTTCTTGGTCCTGCTACAGTCAGCCTTCTTCAGCACAGGCAATGTTGCCACGGTATCTTCCTTCAGCTTGGAGGCTGTTGCCCGTCTGATCCCGATTTTCGATCCCTTTTCGCAGGGCATTCTTCTCATCCTCAAGCTCATGATTCCGTTTGCCCTCATTTCGGCGAACCTCGGAATTCTCAATGTCAGACTAGGCGTTGCTCCTTCGTCTCTGTTCATGATTGTCATGGCCATTAGCGACGTGCTTACCCTGTACTTTTTCTGGGTGGTCAAGGATGAGGGCTCATGGTTGGAGATAGGCTCCACTATCAGTCACTTTGTCATTGCCAGTGTACTCTGTATCTTTGTGGCGGCATTGGAAGGAGTCAGCGCCCTCTTCATCGGCGACATTGAGGTGGCGGGTCTGCAGGGAAGCCGTGACCAGAAACGGAACGAAACAGCGACGTCTGGCTCTGTCGTGGGAACGATGGCCAACGGCAGAGCGTCGTCAGAAGACAAGTCGCAGTGATGTGTGGCATTGACCAGACAAGACAAATGATGTGTATATATGACATGGCATCTCTACATAATTCAAAACTCGAGCTGTTATGGATCAGGAATGACGATGCTTGGCTGTATTGAGTAATCAAACGCTGACCGCAACGCACAGCTGGTGAGGTTGTTTTTCAACCTCGGCATCGTTGCGGTGTATCATGGCAACCTAACACGACCGACCGACTTGTGAAGCTCAAGAGATCTACGTCAGATCCAGCTTGGGTGTGCTGCCATGAAAACAAACCGGAAGCTTGGAAGGGATGTTGACCTCTCGACTTGAAGGACGTTCAGAAGATGGCAGGGGTTCGGAGAGGCCATGTGGTGCCTTGCGTGGGTGGTCATCGACCTCAGGTTCACTAGCCTACTACGATTTGCTGTTCATACCTAACGAGCTACAGTCGGAGGAAGAACAGTGGAGAGCGGGCCAAGTTTTGTTCTCGCCTGTGCAGAATATTGTCCGTAATCTGAGAAGTGCCCGTAGGCATTCCTGACAAAGCTTTCAGTCCGCAATACGATAGGCAAACTGCGAAGGATCGCGCGTGCCTTTCCAACTCGATGACATTTCCCAGAAGGCTACGCGCTCCTGCAAGTCAGGCGAGGGGTAAATGAAAGCCGGGCTTCGGGGAGCGAGCAGCGGTGAGTGGGGGGTTGAGAGACCAGACGGGTAAGATAAGGCTGGCAGGACCATGTAATCGCTCCGTCGTAGACAAGTCTGGAAGTCACTTGGTGATGAGGCTGCGTTAGGATAGATAGATATCACGATAGTTGTCGTGCGAACAGGTGGTCTAGACGCGAACTGGATTTTTTTTCTTTTTCCCTCCGTCCATGGTAGGCTGTTTTGGGTGACGGGCTTGGAGGATTCCATCTGAAGTGTCACATTCTGTCTCAACTTCGGTTTGGGTGTCTTGATGATGGGGAGATATAAAATGTAGTGAGCCAGCAAGTCATTCCGGTGCATGGTGGAAATTCCCGTTAGTACCTACCTTGAGGTACGGCCAGAAGGCAAAGGAAAGCGGGGTTTGGGGTTCTTGATCATCCCAAGACCTAACATCGGCAAATTGGCCGCCGTTGCAAGAACAAGCATAATTAGACGTGTCAGTAGTATTGGCGTAGCAGGTTGGCATACCTATGCTGGCGTCCGAAGTCCCTTCCGACATTTGGAAGACTGACGTTCGTGGAGGCGGTACTACCGCCCGATTCGCCGGACCTTCATGCCTCCAACATCCACGGGTTCCGCGCACTTTTCTGCTGAACATGGCCACTACGTCAAGCCGGTCAAGGTCATCGCATCGCGCTTGTTACTGAAACGCGCGCGCCGTCGTAACACCACAGCGTGACAGCCTCGACAACGACGACCAGCCACACAAGATCCTCTGCGCGTGGGCAGTGCTCCACGTCGTCCGTGATCGACGACACGCTGTCTCTTGATGAGAAGGCGACTATCTCTGGACAGTCGCAACCCAAAAACGTCCGGCGCAGGAGCAAAACAGGTGCACCAAGCCAGAGGCCAGCAATAATCATATGCTTTTCTCGGCAGAACATGTACAGCAGCCGGGAGGAGTCAACACCACACTGAGGCATAACGTGATCCTTACCTCAACAGGAAATGCATGCGCGGACCAAGCCGTTTCGGAGCCCATCCCCGATCCTTACGAACGCATATTGAGCCATACCACCCACTTCTGTAGTGTGTTGAGTTGAGTACATACTGGTGCCGGGCAAATGCAGGTGCTGTGCATATACGCATGCACCATCCATTCACTTTACCCCAGATCAAGCAGATTCCGCCAACTATGTATGGCCAAGGGGATTGGGATGGGGAGGGAACCCGGGCAGGAATCGAAAGGGTGGGTTCACTGCCAATTCCCGCCGTATAGCAGCCATGAGACTGTACTGGATTTCGGGTGACCGGGACTGGAGTATTCTAAGAGTACACGCCTTGGTACGCCAGGTTCTGGGCCATCAACCCATTCTTGGGAATCGAGAAAAGCGTGCAGTCGACATGCCTCCCTGCAAGGCTACAATCATTTCGCCGGTGAGATGGCTGAGTATCCGTATGTATTCGTATCCAATCCCTAGAGTGTTGGGAGGAGGAGCTTGTGCTTCTTAATGCTTACGCACCGCCGTTGAAAAGTCTCACATGCTTGCCAAGCCGTTATACCAAGGGTACTTTCTCCTTTGTCTTCAATATACACTACACGGTCACTTGGGCGAACGTTGACCAGGCCAGCACACCCTCCCACGAGACCTGATCTCGTCGTCGGTAAACTCGTCGTCGGTAAACATGGACGCAAGCAAGTGAACCGTTCGTTGGTGGCGGCTTGGGCAGAGCAGCATTTCCGTACCTTGGTCGTTGCATGCGTCGTTCCCGAAGCCTTGATCTTAGGAACCTAAGGAGCCTTTAGTGTAATATTAGTTCTGCTGGTCTCACCCGGAAGTCTGCACCCCACACCGCGCATATATTTAATAGGGACTTGATTCTCGATCCTGTCTCATAACAGGCAGGACGTTTGTCGGAGAAGATAGACCGGACACGGAGCGGGCGAAGCGCTGCATCAAAATCAAACGACATCCATCAGCTCTAATCGCCTGGCAGTCCAACACTCGAGCCACATCGCGAGCCGATCTCTGGAAAAGAAACGAACATAAGGACGGGACGAAGCCGATTCCCTTTTTGGGGATTAACCTGGCGGACACGCCGGTGGACCAAGAGGTTTACCGGGAGGCTACAACCCCCAACAACCAACGACCAGGTGATTTGATCTCTCTGATTCCGATCTATGATCTCTGATGCCCCGTCGTCAGCCGACCTTTTTAGCCTCCGACCGATAACTCTATTCGACTCCCAGACCATTTGCGTGTGCAGATAGGACATACAAGGCAGGGTATCCAAGAAGATAGAATGGCAAGGACCAAGCAAGGCCGAACATCTCAACGGAGTGTATGACAACAGCTACATGGATCACTAGTCTAGGCATCACAGGATCGCATCAGGAGTAACAGCTCAACTATCAAGGTACCGGAAGCAGCCGACTAGTTCTCCTTGTCTTCGTTCCGGCTCTTTCTTTTGATTTGACAGGCAACTCGTTGAACCAGCAAAGACCGAAAGAAGAAGAAGAAGAAGAAGAGACAACATACGGGAGCTCGACGGTCTCCTGATGAGCGAATTGGATGGCTCTGCTCGAGTGGCCACGCACGCCGAACCTTGAAGTGGACGACGAGAACGAGTCTCCGGAATCGCTCTTGTTGCAGAGTGAGAAGAAGCAGACGCGGCAGAGTCGTCAACTGCAGGTTCAGCGGGGACAGCAAGAACCTCTTCATCACCATCACCATCACCATCACCGTCATTATCATTATCATTGTCATTATTCCGCCGACCTTGCTTTTAGCAGCCTTGATCTCGGCTTAGAACTAGACCTCAACGTCGACCTCGGCCTCGACCTGGACTTGGCCTTGGACTCGGACTTGGAAACACGCCAGGATCTTGACACGACAGGATTCCGGGCCGTGGCAGAGAAGACATACAACGCCATTCCCGAACATAATCACCATCAGCAGCGGCGGCGGCGGCAGCGCCAACGTCAAGACGAGGTCGCTGTAACGTCAGTGCTCTTCCCGCCGAACCAATCTGTACCAAACAGGGCGTATACTACGTCGCCGTTGACTGTTAGTTGCAGTAGCGGGGAGGGTAGAAGAATAAGAAAGAGAAGAAGAAGAAGCAGGAATAGAAGCTGAAGTAGAGGGGGGATAGGGATACGCCATCCGGTGCTGCGCCTTCATCCGCATTCGCACCTGCAACTGCAAGTGCAACGCAACTGCCACTGCACATTGAGAGGATCGAGGTCCAGTCCTCTTTTACGGATACTTTTATAGCGTCTGAACCACACCCGACCCGACGGGACCACGACCTCAGTCGCAACAACGGAACCTTCACCGACTGAAGACCCACTCTTCTCCTTATTGCAATTACCAGCAAGACCGCGACCACGACCACGGCCACGACCACGACCTTGATCCACGTCCACATCTACTCCTACGGTTAGCACAGATCCCGATACTGGGTCTTTTCGTTCTCGTCGCCCTCGTCGCCCTCGTCGTCGTCTTAGTCACTTTCACGTTCCGAATTCCAATTAAACCCATGGCAACACCACTCACGCGAACAACACCAGCACCAGTACAAGTTCCAGCTTCCGTTCCATCCACCCAAGGAGAAACATCTTTGGCTTCACCCCCCTCCATCCGCATCCGCATCCGCACCCGTACCCGCACCCGCATCCACGCCACTTGAACATCCACGGCCACCACCATCCTGTTCAGCAGCAGCAGCAGCAGCAGCAGCACCAGCACCAGCAGCAATTCCTCCCTGAGCATCAAACGTGCCAAAAGTACCTGCGTCAGAGCAACACGCACCAGAGGGATCTCCCGCACCGGCAGCGCATACCACACAACCAAACCCACCTGTTCCGCCAAAGACACCACTACCCCTACCCAGCCCAGCACCACACCGAGAGTCTCCCCTACGGATACCGCAACTAGGACAAGGACCATCTGATTCTCCAATTCCCGTCTCCCCCGGCAGCCCCGACAGCACAAGTGCCACTGTCGTCGCCAGTGTCAGCATCACTACCAACACCCGCGCCCGCGCCCGCGCCCGCGCCCCTCTCTAGGTGTGCCAAAGGAAGCGTCTCTTCCAGTACTGTCGGTGGTGCCTGCAGGACCTGCGCCTGGGCCAGCCGGAGTTCCAAAGTCAGTGCTGCTGCCGCTCCTATTCCCTACCGGCCCAGCTCCAGCTCCAGCTCCAGCTTCTATTACTAGTCGGCCAGAGAAATTCGTTGACGATCTCTTTCACCATTCTCCCGTCTCCGACTCTTCCTCACGGTCGCCGGACCAAGACAAATCAGTCATGGACGTCGACATGTCCTCCACCGATGTTTCGACTCAGAAACCTCAGCAGCAGCAGCAGCAACACATCCAGAAGGCCGAATCACCATCCCAGGCAGGGGGAAGTTCCAGTTCAAATGTCGCCAACGCGAGCCCCAACCCCCAAGGTAGCTCTGCTGCCTCGGCTGCCGCCGCCGCCGCCGCCGCCGCCGCTGCCAACCACATGAGTTTTCGCAGGTTCGTCACCAACAGCCAACTCTCGCCAATCTCGAGTTGTGATGGTTTGTCTCTGTCGACCATGATTCAGTGCGTGCTGACGTCTGCTCTTGAAATCAAAAAAGGCAACGAGCTTCCAGAGCTTGCGAGGTACGTAGACTCTAAGCCTTACCCTGCCCAGCACAGCGCCCGCCATTCCGTGGCCCCTCTGCCCACTTTGCTTTGTGCCGAGGCATCTCTACGCGCCGCCGCGCCGTTGCGTTGCGCTGCAAGATCGATCCCACCATTCTGACCTTCGATGCCGAACCATGCTAACCGTTGACCTCTCGGTCTATAGACGTGTCACGCACGCAAGGTACGATTAGCCCACGATGCTCAATTTCCCCCCCGCTGTCCAAATGTTCGTGGACCGAGGCTCCCGCGCTCATCGCTGTCCACTGTCACATCTCCCCCCCCCCATCATCGCGCCAGGTCTTACTCGTGTATTGACACTCCGTCCAGGTGCGATGCGATGCCGCAAGCCTCGGCGTACCCTGCACGAACTGCGTCGCCTTCCAGATCGAATGTCGCATTCCGACCCCCAAGCGAAAGAAGACCACAAATGCGGGAACAAGCAAAGATTCGGATAGGTCTGCACCAGCCTCGCCGCTGCCATCTGTTCCGAGCACTGGGCTAATGGAAACTCGTCCTAGCGAGAAGGGTGAAACTGAGGATCGCTCGCCGAGAGCTCTCGCCACCACCACCACTGCTGCTCCGGGCACTTTCCCGCCGAGAACTCCCGCCGTATATCACACCACCGATGGTACGCCGTCTTCAACCTACACCGAATCGCAGGCGCGGAAGGAGGAAATCGACAGCAGTACCTACCTCAACCTGGTCATGAAGCCCAAGTTCACGCGAGCCCCGATCACCGATGCTGGCAGAGTCGCATATCTGGGAGAGTCGTCCAACTTGACCTTGTTGGTACACGATCGTCAGGGTTCTTCCGATGTTGTCCATTATCCTCTGCCTGAGAACGTCAGGGGCTCGCGGGCCCGCCTCACCGAACTCGATAATGTTGAGATTGACATTCTCCATCAGCGTGGCGCTTTCCTCCTCCCGCCGAGGTCCCTCTGCGACGAGCTGATCGACTCGTACTTTAAATGGGTTCATCCCATCGTGCCTGTCATCAATCGTACTCGTTTCATGAGACAGTATCGCGACCCCAAAAACCCGCCTTCCCTCCTGTTGCTGCAGGCTGTGCTGCTGGCCGGCTCTCGAGTCTGTACGAACCCACAATTGATGGATGCCAACGGCTCAACGACCCCTGCCGCCCTGACGTTCTATAAGAGGGCCAAAGCTTTATACGATGCTAACTACGAGGACGATCGTGTGACCATCGTTCAGTCATTACTGTTGATGGGTTGGTACTGGGAGGGCCCGGAAGACGTTACCAAAAACGTCTTCTACTGGAGTCGTGTGGCCACCATCGTTGCCCAAGGATCTGGAATGCACCGCAGCGTGGAGCAGTCGCAACTCAGCCGTTCTGACAAGAGGTTATGGAAGAGAATTTGGTGGACTCTTTTCACTCGCGACAGGTCGGTTGCTGTGGCCCTTGGACGACCAGTGCACATCAACCTGGACGACTCAGATGTTGAGATGCTCACGGAAGATGATTTTATGGAGGACGAAGGCGACCGAAACAGCGAATACCCTCCGGATCCGATACATGTTCAATTTTTCATGCAGTACGTCAAACTCTGCGAAATCATGGGCCTGGTGCTGTCGCAGCAGTACTCCGTGGCGTCGAAAGGACGTCAGCGCAACGCCATCGATTTAACTCACAGCGACATGGCTTTAGCAGACTGGCTCCAGAACTGTCCGAAGATTGTGTACTGGGAGGTGGCTCGACATCACTTCTGGTCTGCACTACTGCATTCGAACTACTACACTACTCTGTGCCTGTTGCACAGAGCCCACATGCCCCCGAATGGGGGCACTCGATTCCCCGATGATTCCCCATATCCATCCCGCAACATTGCGTTCCAAGCTGCCGCCATGATTACTTCCATTATCGAAAACTTGGCCGCTCACGGCGAGCTTCGCTTCTGTCCAGCTTTTGTCGTCTACAGCCTTTTCTCTGCGCTCATCATGCACGTCTACCAAATGCGGTCGCCGGTCCCATCAATCCAACAGGTCACCCAGGACAGGCTACGAACCTGCATGCAGGCTCTCAAAGAAGTTTCGAGGGTATGGCTGGTTGGGAAGATGGTTTACACCCTTTTCGAGTCAATCATCGGGAATAAGGTCCTGGAAGAACGTCTTCAAAAAGCCGCAGGCAAGAGACACAGGAAAGCGCAGCAGACTCTGGCTCAACTGGAACAGCAGCAGCAGCAGGAGCAACAACAACAGCAACAACAACAACAGCAACAGCAGCAACAGCAACAGCAGCAACAGCAACGACCTCAGGAGGCGGCGAAGAGGAAATACGATGACATGGCGATTGATTTCAGCGTCAATACACCCACGCCTCAGGAATCTTATGAGCGATCCCGCCCTCAGACACCTAGTCACATGAAGAGCGATGGGTCTTCGCATCCTCAAGGGATGCCACCGCCAACGTCTCCGGGTGCCCGGCAAAATGCAGATACCTTCATGGGCGGAACATCGTCGAGACCACAGACGAGGCCTGCGACTCCATTCAATCCTTCATTCTCTGTACCGGCCACGCCGCCGGACCTGTACCTGGTGACCCGAAATTCACCGAACATTTCCCAGTCACTATGGGAAAACTTTCAGCCAGATCAATTATTCCCTGACAGCGCCAGTATGCCAGCCTTCCCGCAAACGTCTCCCCCGCCCCCGAACCAGCAGGCCATGGATGCCAATCTTATGGCACAGCTTCAGAACCCTACCCTGCAGGGCGGTCTCACAGGACCGAGTAACCAATTCCAGCAAAGAGGTTCCAACAAGGGAGGCCTGAGCGGTAGCCCTCCTCAAGGCCACAACGTGGTCCCGGGGTTGCAGGGTTTCCAACAACAGCAGCAATCACAACAAGGGCAAAACAACTTAAACAGCAACCTGTGGACGGCCAACTTCGACGGTTTGATGCCAGATGGACACAGTCCAAGCGACAGCTGGAGTACAGGATCGGCCCAGGGCCAACCCGTTCCCAACACTCTCAACGTCGAAGATTGGTAGGTGTTTTTTCTCGACATTTCAAAAGGGTCAGATGCTGACGAGCAATATAGGTTTCAATTTTTTGGTATAAACAATGGCGATTTGGCCAGTATGAACATCGACTTGGGTATGGGACCTCAATGATATGAAAAACAGGCCATGGGCTATTGTGCTTGTGTGTGCGTTGGGCCAGACACTGTCTCCATGTTTCATGCATATACGCGCCTGTTGGCGAGGAGACGATGGCTGTACAAGGAGCTGTGTCGCAAATTCAGGAAACGCAGATATAAAATCACGTGGATCTACCGATGAGATAGATTCCCCAATACTATTTATTAGTGAGCTAATGCGAGGAACCTATACAAATGCGAGCGAGCTCGATTCACACCCTTCAAAAGAGATACATCCATCCTGGCTGTCTTCAACTTGCAAGTTCGACAGGTGAGTAGAACGAAGTAACACTGCCAGTCACGTAGGGTGCTGCCAGCAGCTCTGACATCCAAGTTTGGCATATTCAGGCCTAACTGTAGCCCCATTGGCATGAGAGCACGCCGACATTCGGGCTAACATGACGTATCGCACAGGTCTGGAAGCATGGTCGTCATCCGAATTGTATACAGCCTTCTTCGCCTATGATGTCGCCCCGTCCACTTAGTCCCCTCTCTAATCTGCAGTTGAAATAAAAAGACCCCCAGAAAAACAGAACAAAAAGCATCCAGTGTCCCAAGTCTAGTATAGTAAGTTCTTAAAGTAAAGCTAAAATTGCCTAGGAATGGTCGAGAGGCTCTGTCGCAGGGTTTTGCGTCGATACTTCTCAATAGACAAGACGTTCCGCTTCCTTGGCCCTCCCCTGATCATGCCCACTAACGCCCTTTTCTATGCACGATGTCAATGAAGTGAAGTGATAGAACACCACAGCCAGCCTCGGCGCCTGGCGCAGCGGGCTCCTTCAATATCTTAACCGGTAAGGATGTTGATGCGGAGGTTGTGGTTGTTGCAGATGCCCTCGCAGTGCCAGCCTTTGACGAATCCTAGTCGGACTTCTTGCCTTTGGCAGAAGTGGAGTTGCTGCTCAGATTCCTCCCCCTCATGGTCCCGTCTCCGTCGCTCCTCGCCGTCGAGCCAACTGTCATCGGCGTTGCTTCTAGCAGCCCGGTGCTCGTGACACCTCCACCGATGGCAGAAGTAATCAGCCTTCCGTCGTCGCTGTTGGCGTCGGTCAACTCTATTAAGTCAAGTTCGTCCAGTTGACGCCCCCGACTACCTAACGTTGGCGTCCCTGGCGACTTGGCAAACGCGCCGCGAAGCCACGTTTCAACAGCTGCTGCAGCGCGGTCAAGCCCAGACCCTTGCCTGGTTGTTGATGCGAGATCTTGCCCCTCGTCGAAAGGACTTTCCACGATGCCACCGCTAGATCCAGGCCTGAACCCGAAATGTGCTGTCTCGGACCCCATGACAGAAATGGACGGCAGTGATTCATCAATGGCGATCCCCGGCAAGTGCTTCTTGGCCCACGTGTTGAAGTAGTCCTTATCGGGGCCAGGAGCTCTTACATTTCTTCCCATGGAACCAACGCCGCCGGGTCGCCTCATCCACACAGGTCGACTATCTCCAGCGTCGCTGTTCATCCTACTCCTTGAGGAGGCTGGCGTTGATCTTCCTGGCGTACTGGGCAAATTTGGTCTGGTGCTGAGATTGCTCTGGCGTCTAGAAGAAGGTCTCCCTACTTGCTCCGGGCTTTCCGTGAGTCCGGCCGCTGCAATTCCAGACACGTCAAGCGAGTGCCTGGGAGTGGACAGCGTTGAAGCCGAACGAAGGCTCTTCTTCCGTCGAGGCGGGAAATACCCTATCGATTTCCTTGACACACGGGCGATCTCAACTGGTTTTGGGTTCGAATCTAGGGTGACCCATCGGACGTGCGTCCATGGAGGCTCCTCCTGTTCTTCGTACTTGGGTTCCAATGCCGAGCTTGAACCGTTCGTGCTGGGAAAACTGAAAAAGTCGGCCTGTAGCGGCTGGTCCGATGTAGGCCCATGTCGTCCGTGAGCGCTCATGGGTTCTGGCGTTGGTGCCAAGAGGTCGACTCGTTGACCATCATGAGATGGGGCTTCGCATGGGCGGCCCTTGACTTCGCACGCGTCGACTGGTATGGCTAGCCACTTGCGTACCTGGATATCTCTGGACCATAGGCCGTTGGCTTTCCTGAATGCGTCTTCTCTACACCGGTATTTGAGCACTATGCCGGCATATGTGTCAGTTGGCTGAACGTGGTGGATGTAGACGAGTTGGTCTTGCACTTCCTCCTCTTGCACGCGGTCTCTTGCCATCTCATCCGAGTTCCTCCTCTTGTAGTTACCGGTCACATCAAGCCCCCCATTGACGCCTTCGTGGCTTTGCAAGACGCTTGCCGTCCGAGCTGCCTTGAGAGCAGCCTCCCTGTCCGCTAGGGAGCCTGCTGCTATATCATGATGACCTGGCCGGGAATTTAACGGCGGCTCGGGCCCCCAGGCTTTAGGCGCCTTCCGTGGCGGGGTAGAATAATCTCTTTTCAAGGGGTTGATACCTCGCCTCCCTTCTCTGTGATCCGACTCGTAGCCCGCATCATGAACACTTCCACCAGACAAGAGGGAGGAGGCCAGTCCTTGAATGGAAGCCCAACCTTGAGACCACGAAGTATCTAGAAAGCTTGCAGTCGAGGGGGCAGTATTAGTTCGGCGATTTGTGGCGGAAGTACTGCGGGCGGTAGGCTTTGCGGAGGTATCCCGGGACAAGTGGCCGGAAGGCATAGGGCTCGGTTCGCGGCCGGTCGGGGAACGAAGGGCGGAGAAGGAAGCTGGAAGCCTCTCGACGGGACTTGCGGGAGACTCCTCGACCGCGCTGATAAGGCGACGATTCCGTGGCCGAGCTTCGGTATCGTGGCGAGCTGGCAGAAGGGCGGACGAAGACATGTGAGATGCTGACCCAACGGGTTTTAGGGAATCCGCCATGATCGAGGAAGGCCGCCCACCTCGTCGGAAAGGTGGCAGACAGTTTGGGGAGAGGGCATCAGCGCGCTGCTTCGGTCATGGATGACGGTCGGTCGGTCGGTCGGTCGGTCGGTCGTCTTTGGAAGTAGTTGGAGAGCGCGGTGTGGATGACAGTTGGATTGCAGCCCTCGCGCGCAAGCGCACGCACCCTGTCGAGGATCGGAAGGGTATGGGAGACGTGTACGGTCAAGACCAGTCGGCGAGAATTAGGTTTGAGAGGACGTCGGAGAGTATGCGCACTCGCTCTTGGGTGTATCGGAGGGGAATACAGGGCACGCCAGGGAGGAGCTGGTTGGGTCGTGGGCTGGGTGAGGAATGGATGAACGAAAAGGACGGAGATGGGACTCAGTCGCGGTCGACTATCGCGGACTCGCAACAGCGAGGTATGTAGGTCGGTAGCTGATTGATGCAGTGTAAGCGTATGGTACTGTTTGTCTAGTCAAGACACATTAAGCCTTGGACGGAGAGGTGGCAGCCAGCACCTTGGTTTAGCACAGCGTACGTGGACCGAACTGGGTCGGGCAACTGGCAACTGGCAATTGGCAACTGGCTAATACCTAATGTACTGTTGGACTTGAGCTGGACGGGACTCGAGTCTGCAAACCAGGAGCCCTGTTCCATATGGAATAATGATTAGCACCGTATTCCTTGCAGCAGTGGACTCTCGGCGGGCTGTGGGGGAGTGGACATGTGTGCTTCCCAATTCGCTTCAAGCCTGGGCTGTTTTAGGACCCGAATTAGGGGCCTACGGGTTCTACCTGATTGCGTCGAACCCCCCACCTTATGCTCGCCGCCCTGCTTGAAGAGGTGGCGGCCCTCAAAGACGTTTAGGTATCCGTATTCGTAGGTAAGTTGCTGCAAATGTAGGTATTCCAGTATCTTATCATGGTGATGAAAGCCACATATCACATCCAATACCTATCTACCTTAGGTAGGTAGGTGCCTGAAATCTCTCCCGCGGCGCGTTCCGTCCGACAGCTCCGCGCTGGCACGAGGCCGACTACCTGTGGAAGGCACTTACTAGGTAAGGTATGGTAGGCAGGTACTTCGTACATCATGCTGCTCAGTGACACTGCACAACCCCTGAATACGCAATTCGCAGCAGCCCCACATTCGTGAGAGGAGGCGTGGAGAATCGTAGGTACACTTAGGTAACCCTCGCGTGCGGATACAGTGTACATAGCAAGCTTGACATTTGGCAAGCTAAAATACCTACCTAGAGCTATACCTACTTGCACCGCTTGGGACAAGGCTGGGCTGACTGCCATATCATCACGGCCGACAATACCGACCAGACTCGGCCATGCCAGACGTCTTTCGCAGCGCGTCAGAACCTCCACGTCGCCGCACATAGCAGCCCCGACCCACCGCGCGATGCCCATCTGCATCGAATGTCGCCATCCGGTCAAGACACTATGGACCAAGTATTCCAATGCCGATGACAAGTCGAGCGGACACAACATCCGCCTGACCGTCTGTAGGAATTGTGGCCAGTTCTGCGACAAGTACGTCGAGCATGACTTTGTGGTGCTATTCATCGACTTGGTCTTGATCAAGCCCCAAGTCTATCGTCATCTGCTTCACAACACTCTCATGAAGGACGATGACCGCTTCGATGTAGGTCCCACCACCTGAAAATCATCACGGAGAACGCCTTGGTTTCTGACAACCTTTCCTGAACATTAGTCTTCAATCATCCGCTTGGGTGTGCTCTTATTGCTGTTCGATGTTTATCTTACTTGGGCTCGCATCGAGAAGCAGACCGTACCCAAATCGCCCCAGGAAGAGGGCGCCAATCTGGGCAGCTTGACCCAGCAGTCCATCGTATCCCAGTACCTGTTCTTTCGTACGTCATGCCCAATTTGAAGCAATGGCTGCTGTTGCAGAATCGGGCTGTGAGCTAACCATCCATGCGCCAGTCATTCTGTGTGCTCTGTCGACGCTCGCCTTCCACGTAAGCATTCGCTTCTTGACCTCCTCGACACTGTCTCCCCTGAGCATTCTCAACGTCTTGCCTCGATATTCCCGTCCAAATTCCGTCTCTACAGCATTGCTCGTATCCTCTTCAACCAAGCTGTTCCCGATCCTCATGGTCATATGGCAATACGACGTTCCGGCTGCCGCGCGATCCTTGGGTTGGGCCGTGGTTGCAAACAATGTTGAGGCGCTTCGAATACTCCTCGACTGCGGTTACGGGATGGCAACGCTACTCGCAACAACCGGTGCCCTGGCACGCTGGGCAGTAGGACGCGGCGTGCTTTGGGCCGCCGGCATGGACGGCATCGACTCCATAGGGGAAACGAGTATTGCCGCGGACGGCAAGGCTCTCTGGGCTTTGCTCATGTATTTTAGAGAATGGGCGAGCGATTTAGCAGCAGGATAACACTAGATCACGCCGAAAGGGTGTTGAATTTGCCATGGCATTCAGTATTTGACGTTGCCTAAATTGATGTTGCTTGCATGCCCTCCTCGCCCGTCCACTTGCGCGTGTGACGCATGCCCGAATCCAAGCGCAAGCTTCGGCCTTGCCGGCACCGACCGTCGTTGGATAGAGCTCAAAATACACAGCGCTCGAACTCGAAAACCGGCACGTCCATCATCTATGACAGAACCCGAGGTAATCCTTAACGCCGTCCATATGGATTTATAGTTGTGCAAAGTCGATAGTAGTACATCGGTATCCCGTTGCGGCCCCGCGCCGCCATCGATCCAATCTCTCAGTGATGCTCGAAGCCGGGTCGGATGTCGCTGCGTCGCGGTTCGATAAGGGGGTTGAGCTGGGCAAGGAACGTGATGGCCCACATGAGATAGCAGCATGCGAGGGCGAGGAGGAGGGAGGATCTCCAGATGCTATGGCTGACGTCAGTCACCTTGCAACACGACATGTCCCAGGTGGTCATCACGGGGGAGCAACAAACATTTGGTTTTCGCCCTTGGGGGAGAGGAACCAGGCGCCCGCAGCCATAGCCGCGACGATGACGAGGCCGACAAAGATGCTGTACCTGTTGTCCAATAGTCAGTCAGCGGTGCGCGCGTCAGGAATAACCTCTTGAGAGGGTCGCACCCTTGCGCCATTGTGGTATTATATCAGGAGGCGTCGATGTGATGTGCAGATTGCCCGAACGAGAAGTGGTGCAGTCGTGACGCTTCGTCGGTTGAACCTGTAGGTAATGTCGTCGACTGAAGCTATGAGGTCGGACAGTGGTTGCGTCTACAGGCACAGTGCGGGTGCGGCTCCTCCAGTTAGAAGGAAGGGAACCTGGAAGATGCCTAAGGTAGATATCCAAGTAGCCAACAGCTTAGTCACCTGACCCGCTCTTTCCCCGTCCCGTCCGTTGTCAGGTCGGGTACGTGACTACCAACATGCGCCTGACGCCTTTGCATTTATTTGGTTTCACAACTTCTTCAAAAGATGTCTCTTCAACGATGCCTGATGATCTTCGAATCTTGGGTTCCCTACGAATCATTCTCAAAATCGAGTCCAGCCTCCTTTCTGACGGCACCGTAAATGCCGGCCATGTCACCCGACGGCCCCGCGTGATCCTTGACAATCTGAAGGTGCTTGTCGGCCGTCTCAATGTTGTGCAGCCGCGTACCAGCCGTTTTAGCGATGGCCATGGCATGGCGAGCATCCTTTCTCGCCAGGTCGACGGCGAACAGAGGTTCCTCTCTCTTGTAATAATCGCCCTGAAGCATGCGATTCGTGTACGCAGGGTATGGGCTTCCGCCAAACATTGCCTCAACGAACTGCTTCAAATAGCCAGTTCCAAGACCACTCTTCTCCGCAGTGACATACGTCTCGGCCAATTGCTCAACCATACCAAGAATGACGGTGTTGCCCAGCACCTTGAGGATCGATGCCTTGCGGTACGGCTCATCGGCCATGTTGATCTCTCGGGCTGCCACGGCGTCGATGTAAGGGCGGATCTTGTCGATAGAGGCTTTCGGCCCCGCGAGAACCAACGTTGCATTGCCGGCAGCCACCATGGCTGGTGCGCCAAAGATTGGAGCACAGATGAACTCGGCGCCCCTCTCCAAAACCGACAACGCGGCAGCCTCCGTTGTCTCGGGTGCGATGGTCGAGCACTCCACAAAGACCTTGCCCTTGACGTCTCCCTTGATAGCTGTTGCAAAGACCTCCTCCACAGCCTGGTCGTCTGCGATGCACGAGAAGATGATGTCGGCCTGGCCAATAGCGTCGGCAAGGGACTCCACAACCTCCGTCTTGCCCTGGGGAAGACTCTGACCGAGATCTGTAGCTCGCTTTAGGGTACGATTATGAATGAGGAGTGGCTTATCAAGGCCAGCCTTCTCCACGAGATTCTGGCACATGCCCTGGGACGAGTGAGCTTCATGGTCTCGATTGATGGGATTCTATTGATCAGAGACGGTGGGGAGGCTCACCCTCCCAATGTTGCCGAGGCCGATCCAGAGAAGTCTCGGGGCCATTTTAGCTGTGTGTTACTATGAAGTTGATGGTGCAGGGTAAGGAAGGAAAGCAGTCAAGCTGAGCCGGTATTGAGTATGATAACCGGCTTGATATATACTTAGGTAGGTAGCTGCGGTGCAGTAGCGGGTGGGTGGCTTCTAAATTCCGTGTGATTTGTCTCGAGGTACGTAAGCGGCACTGAGTTCGGGACTTGTGCAATGATATAAGGTTGGTTGTATGTACCTTAAGCTTTCAGGAGGTGACGACGTTTAATGCACTTCACTGGAAGCGGGGTGGCTAGGTAGGTGTCAAGTCTCGGCTTTCATGAACTAAGGTAGCCCTCGTATTCCAGGTTAACTACTTTGGACTATCTCACTTCAGCAATGAAACTGGGAATAACGCAAATCCATCAAACTGGGCGGGAGCAGCCGGTGTCTCTTGTATTACCGTAGGTAGTAAACCCAGAACAGAACACAACTGTCCAAATGGGAAAAAAAAAATTCCACATCGGACAGATGGCATGATCCAGTGCCATATCCTTCGCGTCTTAGAACCCGAAGCGCTCGCTACACCCGACCAACGGAGACCGAGGTATGTTTTTTGGCTTGGATTCGTCAGTAGGTACCTGGCATCCAATGCCTTGTGGGCAGCGGCAGCTCCCGCCCTTGCAGTCAAGTTATTGCGGCACGATAATATCGATGACTACCTCCGTCAGTCCTTTATTGCAATTGCTGGGTTTAAAAAAAAAAAAAAAAAAAAAAAAAAAAAAAAAAAAAGGAGGGGGTGGCGGCTCGAACCGCCATTCCCGTCACCTGCTGAGCTATTTTCCAGGTGTATTAACGGGGGCTTCGTTCCGAGGATTGTAACCGTCGCGACAACTCCTGAGCGAATTATCTATTGCCCTCGTGTCGTCGTCTACCGATGTTGCTTGTCCGACTGCTCGCCTCGGTGCTACGGGAATACAAGACGGTCGCCGATGGCCGGCACCGTGATGGGGAACTTGCACACCTTATCGCGTTATCAGTACGGCTTCTGGTAGGTTGATTGACTCACAAAGTGGAAAGTCTTGATCCAAACCTAAGGTCAGGGTCAGGGCCCGGCATCTCGTCTTCGTTGTCGAACTTCGTCACCGTCTCCTTAACTTGTTCCTACATCCATCATAGCAATACTTGGTTACCTGTCCAAGCGGTGATCAACTCAAGCTGCAACGGGCGCAACCCACATCCGACCGTCGCTCTGCATGGCCATCTGAAGAGATGGCTGGGCTTTGACCCTTCTGCTCCTCTTGACACGCTGCCTGCCTTACGATAGGGCTTAGGACTTCATCAGCTTTCAACTTTTCATCTTACTTGGTACTGGTACCCTATAGAGCGAACACCTGGTGAAGGCTCAGCACCAAATCACGCCAGCTTTCCTCGGGCTTTGATCGTGCTTTGGGGCAGGATTTGGGGCTACTCACGAGGAAGCTTGTTAGGACACTTGACGATATTATTCGACCCTCGACTTCCCGCTTCTCGTGCTATATTCTATTGGCAAGATGCGTACACCTGTATTGAAGCAAGCCAGTCAACTGGTTTCAAGGGTCCGTTTCTCTCTCACCCCGCACGCCGCCTTCTGCGGCTAGAGGAATTATTTCTTACTCTGTACCCCAGGCACCTTTCGCTCTCGACTCATGCAGCCCACCCAATTGCAGGCTTTACCATCGTCCTAGGTCTAGCAGTACCCGGCAGGATGAGGCTCTGCAAATCGCGCTGTCGGCTGTCAGACATTCATCCAGCTCCAAGGCGAGAGAGAAGAAGAGGGCAGAAGACCGTGTATGTGTTCTCAAAGCAAGATATGCGCTTCTCAGGGCAGAGTCTAATCCATGCCCAGGACTTCATTGTTTCAGTGCTGGAAGCCTCGGCTACCCGACGTGATGCCAAGGGCTATCTTCAAAAGTACGCGCCGCCGGGCGAAAGCGCATCCAGGAAGCGCAAGGTAGCCGAGACTCGAGGAACGCCAGATCAGCCGTACTCGTCGATCCGAGTTGTCAATCAGGCACCGAAATTCATTCAGGGCAATGGCAATCAAAAGAAGGAATTGGCTGTTCCCGAGGACGAGCCTATCAACCTCGCTATTGTCAAGATGACCCTCCCACAGGACCTGGACGATCAAATGCTGGGCGCAATCGCCAAGACATTTTCACAGCTCCGCAAGCTCGGTCTTGTGAGCATCATCGTCCTCGACGGAGGATCTCAGTCGTCCCGCAAAATTCTGCGCGAACAGTCTTGGAGAATTCAGCAAGCCGTCGAAGTCTACGGCGAGCCGGGTTCCTTACTGCTAGACCAGTGCGTGGCCGAAGCGCAGCCCCAAACGGCCGACGCCAAAGGCTTCATGCCTTCCAGCGTTTATGTCCAGTACCCGCATATGGTACTCAGAGCGTTACAGGACAATGCCATCGTAGTCATACCTCCTGTCACGATGGCACCTGACATGAAGAGCGTTGAGTTGGTTGATGCCGACGAGACCATAGTTGCTCTCACCAAGTACTTCTGCGGGCTACAGTTCAACCCCATTGAAAGTCCCGCGGGATCGCCTGCCGCAGGCCGCAGTACAGGGGCCAAAGTCGCCTCAGTAGAAAAGGTTATCATCCTAGATCCTGCGGGAGGAACACCGCTTGCGGACGAAAACGATTCTTGTCATCGCTATATCAACCTGGAGCAAGAATTTGAAGGCATCATGTATGCACTCACGCACCCCTCGGGATCAGAAGCGCGACGGGGTAAGGTGTCCGAGAAATTGAGACAAAACCATGCGCGCAACCTGCAACTAGCCAGGAACGTGCTGGCGATGTTGCCTTCGACTTCATCCGCCATTATCAGCACCCCCTCGGCGGCAGCCAATAAGCCTATCCAAGAATTCACCAGAGTTACAACTCGCAATCGGCAGAACCCTTTGATTCATAATCTTCTGACCGACAAACCCGTCTTCTCTTCGTCACTGCCAATCGAACGAGTTCGCTCAGGAAAGAAGGGGGACGCAGAATCGGAAGCTCACGTGGCCACTCTCATTAAACGAGGGATGCCCCTTACGGTGTATCCTGATCCTACAATCAGCACTTGGCTACCGCCTCGGCCAGGCGCACCTCGCCTGAGGCTCACCGATACCTGCATAGATTTGCCCCGACTGGTTCACCTCATTAATGATTCATTCAACAGGGAGTTGGATGTCCAGCATTATCTCGACCGTGTCAACGACAATTTGGCTGGTATCATCATCGCCGGAGAGTACGAGGGGGGGGCAATTCTCACCTGGGAAAAGCCGTTTGGCCTCGACGAGGAGACGGCGTACAAGACTGGGAGACTTGTGCCATATCTTGATAAGTTTGCCGTTCTCAAAAGCCGTCAGGGAAGCGGCGGTGTCGCCGATGTGGTCTTCAACGCCATGGTGCGTGGCTGTTTCCCGGAAGGAGTATGTTGGCGCAGTCGACAAGACAACCCGGTGAATAAGTGGTATTTCGAAAGATCTTTGGGAACGTGGAAGCTCAAGGAGACAAACTGGACCATGTTTTGGACAACACCGCACCTGCCGCTGAGCGACCCAAAGCTGCTAGACTATGAGGACGTCTGCAGGCACATCGAGCCGTCGTGGGCGGACACAAAACCGCCCGATTGAGACATGCAGATTCAACGTCGAGTTAGACGTTAAGGACAAGCCCCTGGCGTGAATAGGACAGGAAACATTCAGCTAAATTAAAGGACTCCCAACGAGACCTCGTTTCGCACCTCCAATGCTAAGTCTCGGAGGATATAATCAAGCCACCTGGTGTGAACGTCAGGTAGTGTTTGGTTACGCGGCCAGGTGGGATTGAACCCAGCTTGGTTCTGAATAGGTCAGTAGATATTGTAAGGTAGCGGAGTGAAGAAGCAGGAGCTCCAAAATTTCTTGGAGGAGACCGCGACTCTAGAATGACGATCAACAAAGAGATTGTCTGCACAATGAAAGGATACCCAAGCTCCAAGTCGTGTTGGATGTGCAAAACTAAGGTACCGAGAAAAGAATGATCAATAAGGTGCTTATCACTCGATCTGTACACTGTCTATATCACGTGCTACTTGCTGCCTATCTAGGTACCTACCTTAAGACGGTGAGAGGTAATTAGGCAGTACCTTAGGCACACTCAACTCACCTTACCTACCTACCTCTAGGTAGGTACCTTAGGTAAGGCAAGGTAAGGTACGCAATACCTTACCCCCTGCCGCGTTGTAGTGTGGGGCTCCAGGTAGCTTGTGACAGCATGCTGGACTGCGACTGTGCCAATTTGATACCTTAGCACTGGACATCAACTGGATACTTGTCTGCCTTTGAGCTGATAGCAGTGCAGTAGAACTTCCTCTACCGAAACCACCATAGACACCAACACCTCTGTCATCATCATCTTTGGACAGGCACCACAACAGTGCCAACATTCAGCCTCATCTAGTATTCTCCTTGTGCCTTCTTAACCCTAACCCACGGCCGCAAAGATGGATTTCAAGAATTTTGGAAAGAGCTTCACGTACGTATTTGTCGCGCATCCGCCAGATCCCTTGGCCAAAGGGGTTCTAGGCTGACGAATAGGCCTCAATACAGCACCTTCGGGTCGTCAATCACCCCCTTTGCTTCTCGTACTTTCCAGTACACCAAGGAGCAGCTCGGTCAGGCTGAGGACAAGGTAAGTCACCACAGGCGCAACTTCGCTCGCACTCTCCACGCTGAAAGCTAACCCTCCCGCGCCGATAGACCCAGCTTCCTCCCGACTACATTGACCTTGAGAAGCGAGTCGACGCCCTCAAACAGGTCCACCAGAAGATGTTGGCTGTGACGTGAGTGTTTTCCAACAGCTACCGTAAATAGACGCCGGCCAAGACGGAGACTAACACGGTGTTTCGCCAGCTCTCAATACTCGAACGAGGCCTACGACTACCCGCCCAACATCAAGGAGACCTTCCAGGACCTCGGTCGTACCGTTAGCGAAAAGGTCACCCTACTGTCCTCTGCAGGTTCCCCTGCCGAGGCTCAGGCCGCCCTCACCGCTCCCCCCAGCGCGAAGCCCCAGCCCAAGACCTTCAACCACGCCATCGCCCGCGCCAGCTTGGCTAGCAGCCAAGTCCTTCACCAGCAGCACACTGGCGCTGGAGAGGACCCCTTGGCTACGGCTCTGGAGAAGTATGCCTTGTCTATGGAACGCGTTGGTGAGGCTCGCATGGCCCAGGATGCCCAAATTCAGAGCCGCTTCCTCGCCGGCTGGAATACCACCTTGAACACCAACCTGATGTTTGCTACTCGCGCCCGAAAGAACGTGGAGAATGCGCGCTTGACGCTTGACGCCGCCAAGGCTCGCGCACATGGCACCACGTGGAAACTCGGCTCCGGATCCCCCCGTGCCGACGACGGCCAGCCCCAGGAGCTGAGCCCCGAGGCCCAGGAGGAGATTGAAAAGGCCGAGGACGAGTTCGTCACGCAGACCGAGGAGGCCGTTGGCGTCATGAAGAATGTACGTTGCCAACCTGGCTTATGCACCAGGACACAATCAGTTGCTAACAATCTCATCAGGTTCTTGACACCCCTGAGCCTCTCCGCAACCTCGCCGATCTGATCGCCGCTCAGATCGAGTATCACAAGAAGGCTTACGAGATTCTCAGCGAGCTTGCCCCCGTCGTTGACGGCCTGCAGGTCGAGCAGGAGGTTAGTCGCGCCGCGAATTACGATGTATAACGAACGACCCATCGTGCTGACGCCCGTCGCTATAGGCCAGCTATCGCAAGAGCCGTGAGAGCGCGTCTTAAGCAGCTTACCACGCAACGCCAGCCCATCATGGCGATGATGCTGTCGGCTTCTCAGCGCCGGCAAGCGTGTATTAGGTTCTGCACTTTGAGGTGTTGCTGGGCTGCAGGTATGGAGTCAAGACCCCGTTCGTCATATTTGAGGCCATTTTTGGCTGGGGCCGCCTCTGTTGCTATACACCGTGTTCCGTTTGGGAACGGCTGTGTTACCTTTCGGGTTTCCCATGGTTGCTAGGGTATTACATTTCATGCTTAAAGCGTGAAAAATCACAAGAAAGAGCGTTTCAATTTTTGTCAACCCTTCACCGGTTTTTACCAGTTGCGGTTGTAGAAGAAATTCACGCTTGTTGTGTGTCCGAATTTATTCGTCTGATCTGTGAGGACGCACCTGAAGTTCCGTGTGTCGCAACTCATGACTAGCTATACACTCATCAGTAATGCCTCGATGGTTTGATAATTGCCGCTGCGATATATTTCTGGACAGAGCCGTGGAATTTCCCCTCCTCCCTAGCAAGATTGGACAGCAAAACTGCTCCGGGTAAGTGCACGCCACAGCAAGTAGAAGGGTCCGGTCCGCAAGTTCTGTGCAAATCCGAGGTACGCTGTGTTGCTGCATCACGTGACTCGTTGGTGCTGAGTTATGTAAGGAAATCTACTGGTCAATGAAATCAGCGCGACCTGGCTAGCTAGAGCCGCCCTCGACTTCCCGATCCACAGCTCAATCCCCCTTCGCCGCAACACGAATTCGAGCCAACTGATACCGCAAACATGCGAAGGACATTTCGCCTGCTCGCGGGCGTCAAGCCCGTTCGTTATCTCGAACCCGGCACCCCGACGGGCCTGACGGGCCTCTGGACACACAACAGCCCCCGGTCGACCCTGCTGTACGTCTACGGCAATACCCTCGAAAAGCTTAAGGCAATCCCCGAAACCTCGCTGTACCGCCAGTCCGTCGAAGCCCTGACCAAGCACCGCCTCGCTATCATCGAAGCCGCCGTGCCGCCCGGATATGAGGAATGGGAGAAGAAGGCCGAGCAGATCGTCAAGGAGAAGCCCGAACAGTTCCGTCTTGTTAGCGGCCGTGTCGACGGCAGCGGTGCCCGCACCGTCAAGATTGGCAATAGAATGTTCGTCGTCGCCAAGCAGCACGGGGAGAAGGATATTCGTCTGGAGGAGTGGGATGGCGAGAAGGACGAGGGCGGCACACTGGAGGGCCCGCGCACTGAGAAGGAGCGTCTGGACCACAAGCTCCTTGCTGAGCGCAAGGACTTGAACGATGTTGAAAAGGTGCAATGGGAGCCCGAGCCGCAACTGACGGCCGACCAGTACGTCGCAAACTCTCAAGGAGGGGAAAGTAATATCAAGACTGACTGAATCGCGACTAGGATTTCCGAGCTGGAGACCAAGATTGGAGCTGGTCTCATCGAGGAGGTTATCCAAGTTGCCGAGGGTGAGTTGAAGCTTGTGGACACGATGATCCAGGCTAAGGTGTACGTCTAACGCTCTCTCCGCCGTGTCTACTGCTCGTCGCATACTAATGATTGTTTGTGTCTGCAGTTGGGAGGATTTGGAGGAGAAGCCCGTCGAGGGGCAATGGACTTACTTTGAGCGGAAATAAGCCGAGGTCGCTCGATGCACAAGGCGTTTGCGACCTATAGACAGTGTACATTAGGCGACTATGATGACCGAGTTACATCGAAGTGTTGCTTCCTGGCAACTTGTCCATCGCGAAAGATGCGCTACGGTGCTGGACGTGCGACAACGTAGTCGCAATGATGGTGCAACTTCTACAAGCATAGCTACGTCTTGAGGACCCTCTTCCCACCAGGGACAACAATTTTGCGACTACAACGTTACGTAGACATTATCAAGCTTGTGCCAACCGGACAATAACTGAGAATCGGGGGCTGTGGATGACGAATCAAGAAAGAGCTCATTCCTGTATGGAAAAATGCAGAACATAAAAGCTTCTGGTGTTGTGAAATAATGCCTAGTAGTACTCTACCTAGGTATGGTCTGCTGGATCCAGAACTTAGCTTAAGGCGGTCGGTGGGGTTCCACTTATCTTCTCGTTGCTAACTGAGCAAGGTTAACTACCTTACACAACCTACCTCAACGTCACTTTTTCGTTGCCTAGTCCTTCTTGTCACCCTCGCAAGACATGATCTGATATGGGCAGGGTTTTCCATCAGCAGTCAGTTCAACACCCACCACAACCATGAACCTGCAACAAACCCGCAAAAGATCAGCCTCAGCTATGTCCATGAGCGACAGCCAAGACAGCCATAAACCCCATTTGCCTAAAGACTCCATCAATCCGCTCAGCCATACTCCCTCAGTTCTCACCCAACTCCGTCTCGCGGGACTGGCAGATGCAGACCAGCCACCCTCCTTTGAACAGTCCAAATTCCCGCACCGCGCGTGGCGTGACGCGAACGCATCAACCAGGCGAGGGCCTGCCACGGCAGTGAAGCCTCTAGAGAGCGACAGCGACGAGCAGGATGACCAGCAAGACGATGGCAGCGGCTTGAGGCGCCGTTCGCGGAAAAAAGACGGCGAGAAAAAAACCAAATACGCGTCGGAGAAATCCCATTTCAGGCCCCTCGTCAGAGCCATTTACGGTTTCCTGGACAATGGGGACGTCCCCAACGCAAAGCGCGCCTTCGGCATCCTCACTAGATCGCATGTTTACGGCAAACCGGTCGACCTCAGACGAAACAACTACTGGGCACTAGGCGCCGAGATACTCATGCGCGAAGGCGGCGGCGTGGCTGCACACAGCCAAGAGGCCGAGGCCGAGGCGTACCCTGCGGAGAACATTCCCCGCGTGCGTGAGTATTTCCAAGACCTCATTCAGCGGTACCCGTACAACTTCAAGTGGCGCAAGGCTATCTCGGCCGTCGACTTCTGGCCGGCTCTTTTAAGCTACGAGGTGTACCAGTTACACGTGCGGCAGACTGCGTCGCTCCGCCGGCTGGAACACGAGGCTGAGGACTGGGAAGATGATTCTTTCCAGGAAAATTCTGTAGGCAGTGGTCACGACGGGCTGACGATGGACGATTCCGAGCTCGTCGCCGAAGGTCCAGCCTGGCATTCTCATGCTCGGGACAGGCGGCTACGCCAGGCGAAGGACCAGATCAGGCTACGAGCACTGGACGGCCTGCGGGAGGTGGCTGGACGTATGGACGACCTGCTCGAGGATCGGCCTTATTCGACCAACCCAGAGCTTCTAAGATTGAGGGGAATGGTGTCGTTGTATATCGGCGACTTGCTCATCCCTGCGTACACTGAGAAGGAGGGCCAGGTCGAGGAGGCCACGGCACGACGCGGCGCAGAGAACAACAACGCACGAAACAGCTTTCAGAGGATGATGGAACATGGAGGTCGACCGGACACTCTTATTCAGCAGATACTGGCACCTGCCGGGGAGGGCCATCTTCCAATATTGCCACTGTTTTCCTCGCTGCCCATCAGAGAGTATGGAACAGCGAGCTAGCGGCGACATCAGCCTTAGAACAGCTCACACAAGGTGTCAACCCTCAAACCTTCGCTTCCAAGGGCGGTAGATCCTCTCTGCTGTATTATGTTTCGCGTTTGGGCGGCCATCTCTGCATCACCAGCGCGAAATTGGAACTGCCCACCACGACACACCATTTGCCATCCAGGCTCCACGCCACCTGTCTACCAACAAATGTCGAAGCGCCAGAGATCTCAACTTTGTGAGCTTTCAGAGGAGTCTGGGGGTTTCCAACACTATACATCTCGCCCCATTTGGACAAAGTCTCCTTATTGTATGTGTTGGCGAAAGCAGGGATCCGCTCCAGTTCTGTATGGGCTTTTCCCGCTGCCTTTCGTTCTCTGACCGTCGGCTCTGTCTTGGTGCCACTGTTGATTCGGTGATTGACGGCGTTGAGCCAACCCGGTTTCGTCATCGGCGCGTTGGGGTCTTTCCTCTCCACTTCCTTCACGTGGTCGTAGAAGCCCGTGATTTGCTCAAAGTCCCAGAAGAATATCTTGCCGTTGGCATTGCAGAAAGCGAGAACTGGGTTCTGCTCCGGGACAAAGTGCAACTTGAAGCGCATGAAGAACTGCGGGCCACAGCCGGGGGTGGCAAACTCCATCAGACGGGTGTAGGGCGCAGGGCACTCGGCCGAGACGCCTGGGTTGAAGGCGGAACGGGTGAGGTTAGCTGGGTTGATGGTAGTGGGAGCCATAGATTGCGGCAGGGGGTCGTCTTGGGACGAGAAGCCCTCGATTTTCCAAAGGACGATTACATCATCGTGACAGGCTCGAGAGAGGATATAGTCACCGAAGAAGGCAACACTGAAAAAGGTTAGCAATATTGATACCCATTCGTCACCATAGCCTACCAATCCACAAGACTGCTGTGCACTTCAGACGTCGAAAAGTGAGGGTAGTGAACCTCTACGGGGCGATCAGTCGGTTCGGTCGGAAGGTCCGGCACTGTCCACTGTTGTTTTGGTTAGAGACGTAAAGACAGACCTATGGATGGGCGATGCTTACTAGGTTGATGATTTGGTCGTGGCCGGCCGACAGTATGTACCTGCCAGTATCATGCCAAGCCTGAGAGATAAATTAGCAACGGATCTGCTGATCGTGTTGGGGAGAAAGACGAACGAGCGTAAGGAGATTCCAGTAATGCCCCTCACCACCGAGAATACATAGGCAAGGCTGCTTCTCGTGCTTCGGGTCCAAGCTCCATATACGGACTGTCGTATCGTCGGAGCATGAGGCAATGATTAGAGGGTCTCTGGGCGACGTAACCACGTCACAGATTTCCTAATGTTATCCGTCAGTACCACTCTGACTACATCAGAGGGATAACAACCACAATGACTTACTCCTCCATGGCCAACTAGACACTAGGCGATATGAGTTAGGTGCAACATGGAATGAGGATGTATTGTGGCGTGACTTACGTTCACGAGTTTTTGGTCAATGATGTCGTAGACTTTGATTTTGGCATCTTCGCCGCCGTAGCACAGCAGTGGTTTACCAGTTGCTGCATCTCGAGTCCAGGTACAATAGTAGTTCCTTGCGGCGAGCTACAGTCGAGTCAGTTGTCATAGCCTGGTGGGTGTGGATATACGGGCTGAAAGGGAGTACGCACATCGTCATCCCGAATTAGGCTGATGATTTCACATGGGTGTGAGTCATCAATGGTTTCTGTGAGGCGGCAGACAACGATCTAAGACGGTAAGAAAGATTAGTGATGGAAGGAGGATTGGTGAGAAGAGTACGACGACGTGGTTGTGTCGACCACTTACATGCTTTTTGCTCACCGCCGCGAAGATGGGTTTCGCGTTCAGCGGCTGGTACGGGCAGAATTTGACATCGAAGAACTCTATGGGACCGCTATCAGTTCAGTGGAATCATTCGGTGACAACAAGATGCTGTACCTGCAACAGCGTCATCCTGAGAAAGATATCTGGTATCATCCTGTATAATCCGTCAGAATGGGCAGCATGAAACAACACAAACGCATCTTGGAGATTGTAGAATATTTCAATAGGTATGATTTGCGACGATTTGTGATATTTGCAGGACAATGGTTCAAAACAAAGGGAATACATACGTCGAGATGAACTGAGACTCTCAGTCTCGGAAAGTCAAAAGGAGTCGATGGGACTGTGGGGGCCATGGCGGAATGAAGGATCCCAAGAGTCGAGGTGAGTGAGACGAAGACGGGATAACCGATGGCCTCCCCTTGCTACCTAGGATCTGAAGCCAAGTCAACTTATCCGCCCCTCTGGACTTCAGGTGTTGAATGTGGCACGTTGAGGCCACATGCGGAAGACAACGTCAACCTACCTACCAACCTGAGTGCTAAGTAACCTCCTGGGTGTTGAGACGAGACGGGACGAGACGACAATGGCGGCAGCTGCGGGCTCGATGGGGCTCAGACGTTGTCACGACAGGACAGCTGTCTAAGGTAAGGTATCCGTAAGGTAGGTAGCTGACGGGATGACAACCTGGTAACTTTTCAGCTTGGGAGGAAATGGCAGTTGCAGTGGGCAGCAGCGGCAGGGTGGAGTTCCGAATCGTTTTTTTTTTTTTTTTTGCGGCTGGCAACGGTGCGCTAGCCGGTCTGAGCCAACTTCGGGGTCTTCTCTCCAAATTTGGACTGTCCATTCCGATAGTTGCTGTCGGTAGGTAACGAAGTGGAGGTACCTTTTGTTATACGGATTTTCCAGTACCTAGTTCGCGATGGGGTCATATTGTCCGTGTTTTTTTTTCCTAATTCCTTTTCTTGGTCCTGCTCATGGACGGTCACTTACGGTGGACAAGTTCACGAGGTACCGTACGTCTAATGCTCCTTAAGTTGTGGTGTCAGTATCCGTAGCTGGCCAATGGTGAAGTCGGCAGTACTTTGTATTAGGACCAGTATTAGAAACCTAATGCACATACATGCATTCCTTAGCCTTGTAGTCCAGAGTACCTAAGGTGGCGTACGTCGACTGTATGGGTACCGTGAACGGCTATAATTAACGCCCATTCTCTTCCTCTTATTCCTGATTGACGACCTCTGCCCTATACCATTGGGCTTCCTCAGCCAGCAACCTCCACATCCGCGGCCAATAACTGGCGTACCTACATATGTCTATGTTATGCGTCAGGCATCTCGGTCAGGCTCTCTTCGTCACGACTCACGTCTCACACCGCGCAACTCACGAAGCATACTGCGGCAGATGGGAAATTTTACACAGACGGAAACAGAGGTCTGTGTCCTCCTGCAGCACTCATCTGTGTGAACAGGTGTGGTTCGTCGGCCATTTTTCTCAATCCCGTCTCAACTTTGACCAGGGCAAGGACGTGGGTTTTGAGAGAAGGAGCGAATCATAAGGTACCTTAATACCTGTAGAAACATGGGTCTGAAGTACGTACCTTAGGTTAGGTGCGGACAAGGAGGTATCCGTAGTGGACGGGCACATCCACGTCCTTCCTTGCCTCGCTCGAGACGTAGAATTCATTCACGTCTTCTTCTACGTGTGAGGCATCTAGTAAGTATCTAAGGTAGTCTGTATCTACAACTTTGCGAACATGTCCAACTATAATCAAACTAATACAACTTGAGAAACACATCAAGTCGGGTTGAGGTGGCCCTGCGCTGGGGGTGGAAAATCATTCATGCGCACGTACCATGAATATTGGATACGCTTCATTCATCTCCGCGTAAGGTGTCCAAGGTAAATCCGGCTCGCCATCTGTTAACCTAACCTCAACGAACTTCCTCCGGCTCCGGCCCGCGTCTGCCTCGGATGTTCGTACGCATGTGTAACACGAACAAGAGAATCCCCGGGGACTTCCCCTTATCAAATGGCTGTGAGTTGCCTTCCGGCGTCTCGATAGCTATGGCTTGCCATCCCATAGGCACTGGGATACGTCAGCCAGTATGTGAGAAGTGACTGGATCATCAAACACACAGACGCAAATTGCCCCTGACACCCAGTCGCATCCAATCGTCGAGTCTCGATGCTAGACATCCATCGCTGGATATCAAAATCGAGCTTGCTTCGCTCAAACAACAATCACATTATCAACCGCCCTGTCCATATTACGAATAATTCTACACACCGTACGTAGCATGAGGATCCAGCCACCGCAGCAAGCATTTCGCCGCTGCTCCACAACCTGCCAATATGTGCAGTCCGCCCCCGTGGGTCCTCGTTCATGGTACCCATAGAGACAGACAGGTCTGCCGTGGCATCTCCGTCTTCGTCGCGTGGCCTCGCACGAACCTTTCCTTCGTCCGCCGGCCGCCTGTCCACTTACGGCTTATGTCACGGATAATCACCATGCAATCAATACCCTACGAAATGTGCCAATGTTGATCGAAGCAGGATGATCTGTACGAGGAAGAGCACGAAAACGACTTCATCGCCCAGGATTCACGAGTCCCTATCCGTAACGCCGATGATACCCAAAATACCCCCAAGGTCGAAGCTTTGGATATCGTCTTTGTAACTGACACCAGCAGCATCGTGTTTTGGTTTGGTGACTTGGACATGCTATGATCGTATCTTGCAACCCGGTGGGTAGCAAATGCGACTAACATCCATCCAGGTGGCCGGCTGTTTACCATTCGCGAAGCTGTAGTAGTGTAAGTATGTGTGTGGCAATGAGGCAGCTACAGACTACTACTACTACTACTACTACTACTACTACTACTACTACTACTACTAGTGTACTACATCGTCGACTGGCCTCGATTTGGTGACTCAAGGAGAGCTCGTCGCAAAGACGACAGTGAAATGAAGAAAAGGCAGCTTCCGGCTGGCTCGGGACCCTGGCAGCAGATCCCAACTGGCGAACCAGGTTCTGATGTCTTCACAGCTGTCAACCAAAGATGCACTTCGAGCTATGCCTAGCAGAGCATAGCGCAGCCTTTGCCTGAACATTCAGCCCACACGGACGCCATTTTAGCCTTTTTCTCATTCCCGTTGACACGGATGACGGGCGGCCTGGCAAGGTGAAGGGCAAGCATCAGAGACGAGAGCGTGGAGAAAGAAACAGCCCAAGATGCCCTGCAATCACGATCGGCTGTCAGTACGGATTAGGAAAAAGGGCCGTCTTTTCGCAAGCTCTTCCAGAACGAGATAAGAGCTGTCTGCTGTCCCCTGCGAGATCCCCAGACCCCATGTCTACTGTCGGTATCACGAACATGGATATGGGAAAAGAAGTGGGGAGCTATGGCCAGGGGCCGACAGGCTCAGGCTGTTCGTTGAACTGGGAGCCGTCGTTGAGAATGGAATTATTCCAAGCTCGAACGACAGATGATGGAAGAGTTGCTCTGATCCGAAGCTGTACTACTATGTATGCAGGCCGTTGATTCCGCGTATGCTTCGGAGAGGCGGAGAGACTCCCTATGCTGCATCGAGCGCAAAGAGAATCTCAACAAAACGATCTCGTAATCTATCGTCTCAGCAGACATGACGAACGACGACACAGCGTCACCGAGTTTTTCCGTGGCTCAAATTCCTTCAACAGTAGACATACGGAAGCCGAGATCCTTCAGTCGTTCATTGTCAGCTGCGACGGTTGACCCAATGGTTTCGAGAAGCGACGCCAATCCTTCATTGATGATTGATCAGTTCCGCCCATGTATGAAAACGCGCAGGTACCAGCGGCTGTCTCTTCCATCCATACCGCCATCCAACGCCATGACTGATGGTGGATCATGAATGCTCCACCAGCAGCTGGTGACAGACTGTCGTCGCATCATTACCACCTTAGCTATACTGCCAGTACCGTAGTAGGCATGGACATTCCGATGAGCTGATGGGCAAGCTGCCCGGGTGTCGTATCCGGGGCCTGCAGCGATGGCTAAGGAACGTTTTGAGAAGCCATCCGCCAGCCGACCAACGTGGCTCCTCGGCCAGCCAAGATGCAGAGTGACAAGCGCTGCAGCCATGGAGAGGCCGGCATCAAATCAAACCGGTCTTGTCGATCCCCAACGGCATGTTTGGGTTGCAGTGGTCTCAACTCGCAGTTGGCTTAGAAACCCGGAAGCGCTGAGGATACGGCTGGGAACTGCAGATTCTCAAGCAAGCCGTGGGTATCGATTTGAATGGCTCGCGTACGAATACCAACATGTAATACCGGGATTCTTACCGGCAATGATGCTTGTAATTGCACAATACTATGTATGTACAGGCGAAGCTGCGTGGATTTCCTTCCGATGAACGGGACGTGGAGGGGGAGGAGGGAATCAGCCTCCTCCTCGAAACCCTGGCCAGTTGCGAGGCGGAGCGTGTAACGTTAGTCAACCCTCATCGGTTCAGCTTTTTTGGAGTTACCAGGCCCTTCCGAGTGGAGGAACTCATGTCCAAGGATGAAGTCCACAGCCGACAACCAAGTATATGCGGGATGCCAATACGCAGTGTCTTTGGGCAATGGCAAATTGGCCAACTTCTGTCTTCATCTCCGTTTACCTGCGTGTCGATAGATTTGTTATGGGTATCAATATGGACATAACGTACTATATATGTGGTTGTGGCTGCTGCTCGGCTTCTCAGCTCGAGATGGGGCGTATGGCATACTAGGTATGTATGTATATTGAACGCAGGGAACAGTGTACGAATACCTAGCAACGTTGTCTTGCCCCGCTGTCAACGTCGATCCAACAACAAGTGAAGTCCTCGCGGAGAGTCAAACACATACCTTAGTTGAGTGTCTAGGTAGGTAGGTAGGTACTATGTATGTCATCGCATAGAAGATGGGACTGTTCTTGGTCGATGTGCGCTCCTTCTCCCCTCCCCGATTTTTGTCTGCACACAAGAGCTAGCCCGGGCATGGAGGGACCGGAAGTCAAGTTCCAAGGGCCAGAGTCGGGTCCCGTCCCGTCGGACTGATATCGGCTGCTCAGATGTTCCTTCCATTATTGCCTTAGATTCCCGTCCCGTCTGCCCAGTCGTGAGCAGCCACTTTACATTGGACACCTATCTGCATCTGAGCACCTTACGGATACACATTCTGGGTCAGTCCATGAACCACTTAAGCCAGATAACCCCGGCGCTACGGACACGGGACAGTCGGTACCTACGAACATACCCAGACATCCATCCGTACCTTACTCCGTACACCGGACGGTAAGGTAAGGTACCTTACCTGAGATACCTGTAATAGTAGGTAAGGTACGACAGGTGATGTACTGTAGGCACCTCGCACAGGGGCCGTTGGTGCCAAGCCTTCACTACTCCGTACCTTTCAGGGACGCAGAACAGGTGCCGGGGTCGCATCGTTACCTAGGTAGGTACCTTACCTACCTTACCTACCTTGCCTCAGTACGTACTTGCGCACCTCCACTGGTAGTGTCGGTAGCATGGAGCAGTGACAGGGGCCATGGGCGGCTTCTCCTCACCACGACCCAGATTGCCCTATCCGCTTCCGTTTCTCGACGCCGCTCGCTGCACCATCAGACTGTTGTACCGATGAGGTGCGTCGCGTAGCGGCGTGCCGTGTGTCGTGGTGTAGAAGGTAGGTAGGGAGGAAGATGGATGTAAGAAGGTAGGTCATTAGTACGCGGGATCCATCCGTACAGACGCAGACGCACGTCTTGCCTTCACCAACCGAACGAGTTGTCATAAAAGAATGCTCGTCGCTCCCACCAGCCGCGCAGCACTCGTCTACCGGAGCCTCTCTCTTTCTCTCTCCGTCTCCAGCTGTCTCTCTTCCCCCCTTTTCCCTCTTCGTCTTGCCCAGCTGAGGTAACCGTACACTATTAGGTGTCTTCCTCTGTTGCTGCATATTACCTACCTTACCTGCCTATCGACATAACAACCATCATCCAGCCTTGGACTTCATCGTCATCAAAGATCGAGACTGAAACTACCTTGGCCTGCGATTTACCAAGTACACCACCACCACCTCACCTTAGTCACCTTAGTCACCTTCAACGCTCGTTCAACGTCGGTCCAAGTCCCTGTCACCTTACTTACCTACCTCACCTTACGTCAGGACCGGTGCTTTGTCTTTGTTACAACGCTTACCCGCCCCCATCAAACAACCGGTCTCACTTCCTACGATCGCACCCGACCCTTCAGCGCCAAACCCCAATACTATCAGCAACAGGCTGAAGCTCTGACTGCATTTCCGGCCACCAGCATCACGTCGCGTCTTCGCAATTCGTACAAAACGCCAATCGCTCTGCCCGCCTACAACCAACCACGCCGTCGTCAGGCAATACCAAGGCGCCTGTCGCCCCAATATTCGTACCATTCACTCTCGTCTGTGCGACGCAGTTTCACGCATAACAGCGTTTTGCCGCCGTCCTCGGCCGATTCTCTCAGGTCCGGCAGCCTCTCATCGACCTAGCTCGTGATACAGGTAACCTTTCGTCTGAAGGTGACAGCACAACCTGTGTCTCACGCTACACACCAACTCGAATGAACCATTGAGCTTAAGCAAAGACCGTTCAGCTCAGCTCAGCTCAGCCCAGGCCGACTTTCTCGGACGACAACATTGGTCACCCCGACGCCCAACACTGCCGTCACCTGTTTCTTCTCTCTCCCGCCCCCCCGTCCAGACACCTATCCCACTCTCGTGGTGCTCTTGGTGTAATCTACATCGCCGAGCTGTTTCCAGACAGAACGGTGCCAAGTCTTGTTTTGAAAATATCCTGCCCTTGCAGCCACACGGAGCCACAGGGAATCGCGCGGAGCGGTGGATGCGATATTGCGGCTTGCAAGACATACAACCCCAGACCTTGCTCTATGCCACGGCCCATTCGTCGTTAACCATGGAGCATACGTTTATGACCATTCACTCAACGGACCCTGATGCTGTCATCCTGTTCGTATCCGACTCAGTCTACGACATCCTGGGCTATACTCCGCAGGAGGTGCAGGGAAAATCATGTTTCGAATTCTTCCATCCCGAAGAGGTACCGTTCGCTCGTTCAATTCACAGTCGCGGGGTCCTGCTGGACAAAGCCGCCGTGCTCCACTATGTTCGCATCCAGGCGCGCGATGGTCAGTGGGTGAGCTGTGAGTGTTGCTTCACCGTCGTCCACGATGTTCTCGTTGCCTGTACAAGTATTTACCAACGAGGCGAAAGAAGCGAGAGTACGTTGAGCTTTCTGTTCCGCATCGGTTCAATCCATCTAGCTGACTCTTCTGTAGGGCGAGCCATCGAAGCCCCCCAGATCCGCCGCATATTCTCGTCTTCGCCTCGAGACCCCCGCTATCACATGTTGGAGCACCTGTCGCCAAAGTTCAGGATGCCCCCGGTCGAACGGGAACCGCGCGCTGCTCTTATTCTGAACAGATTCACCAGGACGCTGACTGTTATGTTCGCGACCAATGCAGTGGCTTCTATCCTTGGCGTCCGACCGGATCAGATCAAGGACAAGAGCTTTTACGAGTGCATTCAGGAAAATTGTCTTCCGGATGCCATCCGGTGCTTGGAAAGTGCAAAGGCCAATGACTCGATCGCGTACCTGAGGTTTTGGTACAGAGACCCGCGTCGACCAGAGGACTTTGAGGACGAGGAAGACGACGACGAGCATAACAGCGGCAACTCTAGCGATTCTGAGGGTGGAGGCGTTCAGCTTGACAGTCGTATGGATGTCGACGACGAACCACCAATCAAACAGGAAGACACAGGTCGACCTGATCTTTCGGCTCACAGCTCTGCATCACAGACGGCAACCACCATGGCTTCGGGCTCTAGCAGCAGAACGCAGCAGACTTCGGCTACGACCGCTCCGTCGACTGCTGGGCCGGCAGACCAGAGGTCGCCTCCTGCCGAGCCTCTGAGGAACCGTCGCCGTGAGCCGAACCCTACATTTGAATTAGAAGCGGTTGTGTCATGCACGTCTGATGGACTTGTTGTTGTACTGCGGAAGGCCCGCCCTCCAATTCCCGCTCCTCACCCGCCTTTGCTCACTCCCACTTACACCAACGGCCTTTTCGCGGCGCCATGGGGCCATCACCCTATCCGACCGCAAGCCCCCCAGGACATGCTTTATGCATTTAGGCCTCCTCTCATGCCGCAGTACATGCCTCTTCGTGACAACGTCATGGCCATTGGTGGCCCGCCGGTCGATCACCTGATGAGCTCCATTCGGGATGTCGCTGTTTTCGCGTGGGCCCTGGTCGGTATCAACGGAAATCTTGCCACATACACACGCGGCTTGCCACGAGGCGAAGCGCAGCCTGATGGTTTGCCAGTTTGGGATCCAACTGCCGGCAATATATCATACTCGGGACCAGAGAACCAGGCCGTTCGTCGATGGGCCGATTATGACGAGAAGCACAGGAACGGGTTCGGCCCATCATCCTCGGAATATGAGCAATCGCGTTCTCATGAATCATCATCCGGATACTCACATGCGCCTCAAATCGGCAGGAGCAATTACACTTATTCGCAACCTCCTCCTGTATGGCCCGGGCTGCAACCTGCATACACATCTGCGTATGACCAGTACGGCAGAGACAACCCTAACCAGACCCAAAATAATTCATTGCATCACCAGCACCGTCATAACCAGAACGAGCACCAGCACCAGCACCAGCAACAACACCAGCAGCATCAACAGCAGCAGGGATCCGCGCAACAGCGTCAGCCGTGGGGTGAAACCCCTCCGCCATACAACGGACAGAGTCACTCGAACAACAATCGGTACCCCTGGCAGTAAAAACTTGCTCGTATCTAGCGCGTGGCATACAACAACCCATGTAGTGGTAGCATTAACAATGGCGTTTAGTCTTTTCGTTTTCTTTTTTGAAGGATGTCATGTGAGGGCAGGTGAATGAGTTGCCTAGGTAGTGTGGTGTTTTTACACAGAGGATTTCTCAACACACTTGTTTGTCGTTGACATTTGATGGCCAAGTATTTGGTAGAAAGTAAACTGGGGCGACGAAAGACGGATTTCAGTCCCTCACATTTCATCCGAAATTACGGGAGATTTTCAAAGCATATACCCATGAGACGAGAGAATGTAGAATATTGTTGGAATCTGGTCGACTATGTGTAAGTAGGGCGCTGGTCCCGAAACATGAACCCGGATCGGCTCGGGGTTTCAAGGTGTTGCGCGATCAGCCTGTACAAACAAACAAATGAACAACCCGGAGCGGCTCCGATATTGGGGACGCAGGCCCCACAACGAAACCCGGTAGAGGGCCCGATCACTGTGTGCGGGCGCCGTACGGTGGAGTGTTACCTGAGACGATTGATTGGTTAAGTTCGGTGGGCGCTCGGGAAGCGGGCCAATATTATCCGGATCGAGGGAGCTTTGACCACTAAGACATCTGTTTGAGGAAACCGTGGAGTCTTTGGGAGTCGCAAGCTGGTGCGTATGTTAGGTGGATATCTTCTTCCATCCCATCCCCAATACCGCACGTTCACCTGTGTCTCTTCTGCAGCTAAAATCGACGCTTGACAGACGTCTTTAAAGTACTGGGAGCTTGTTGGCACAAAGAAAATCGACACGCGGCTGTTGTACCTCGCGCAAACGCAATAATGGCAGCTACAAGCCGACGAGACGACTATGCCAACCCTCCCTTGGCCGACGACGACCTCATTGACCCCGACGATGGTAGGTGTCTCTGACAACTTTCATTTCGCTGCATACGACTAACCTGCTGTTCATACAGCTGACCTCGATGACTTTGACGATCCCCTCGGCCACACCTCCTCGCGCCAGCCACTTACAGGTAATATCGGTTCCAGCTCCTCGTCGTCACGGCCTCTCAACGAGAATGCTTGGACGTCGCGCATACCTGGCGAAGACCGCCGTGCACCGCAGAACACAATTGACGAATCTGTGTGGGATACCCTCCGTCGCGATCTCCTGGCGGTCTGGGCGAAGATGAGGGAGGTTCTGTACCCGAAGTATTTGTTGGGTGGAACCATGTTCGACGCTAATGGCCTCCGGGGGGCGTACGCGAATATTCGTGGAGCCGGTTTTTCCGGTGCTCGCGAGGAGATAACAGGGCTTGCGAGTCGATTCATGGACTCGGAGGCTCTGCTGTCGGGGAACAACATGACTCCCGGCCTGCGCGATTGGGATCTGTGGGGACCTCTCATCTTCTGCCTGCTGCTCAGTCTTCTACTGAGCTTCAACGCGCGGGCAGATCAGAAGGATGTGGTGTTCAGCGGCGTGTTTGCCATGATATGGATCGGAGAGGCTGTGGTGACGCTCCAGATCAAGCTGCTGGGAGGAAGCATGTGAGTTGACCCCTTGGAAAGAAGTCACACTGGCAAGAAGCTAAGTGAGAAACACAGCTCGTTTGCGCAAAGCGTCTGCATTATAGGATACACGCTGTTCCCCCTGGTCATTGCAGCGTTGCTCTCAGCGTTTGGCATCCCTACGATCGCACGTGTCCCCGTTTACCTCTTCCTTGTCGCTTGGTCATTGGCTGCAGGAGTAAGCATCCTCGGCGGTAGCGGTGTTGTCAAGAATCGGGTTGGCATCGCGGTGTATCCGCTCTTTGTGTTCTATCTGGGTCTGGGCTGCCTCTGCTTTATCAGCTAAGCTGGGTGATGATCGCAGGCTTCGAGTGTTGTCCGGGAGGCATCTCGGGTGGTTGGACGTGTAGGGCTTCGGCGTGTGTTGTATTTCTAGATATCCACGGTATTGTACGATTGACTTTTATTAGATGATGGCAGGCCAATGAAGAAGCAGTTTGTGATGTTCATCTGCGTTGCCAGATCACTTTCCTCTGTCACCCGAGGTACCTTTCAGTTGTATAAGACAGCCCAGCTTGATAGGAACTTTTCTGCAAACGATATTGGTGACTTTCGCCAACCAGGTATAGCGTTGCCCCGTGGGGATGTCGGGGCCGCCTTACCTGCCAAGGTTCACTGAATATACCTACCTTATAATGACGTGAGGTAAATCGCGAAGGCATCGTTCAGCCATGTTCCAGCCTCAGCTTTTATGATTGAAACAACGATTGGCGCCAATGCAGGCCGCCCTAAACCCAATTGAATTCGGGCTCTGTCGTCGTCTTATCCGAACCGCGCGTGCGTGAGGTGCCTACCTACACTGTACCTTACGGCACCGAATGATTGGGCCGATTGCCGTCGGTTACCGTCCGGGGCGGTCCCATCCAACAGGTAGGTACACTGTAGGTACCTAGGTTCCATTATTCGAGCAGTGAGTGTCCCAGCAAAGCTAAACCTACCTTAGGTGCCTTCCCGGGTCCAGACGCGGCCACTTCAGCGAGGGAAGAGATTCGCGGTGAGGTGAGGGTAACATAAGGTAGGTAGCGGAGGGAAGCTCAGCCGGGACGGCAAAACCTCCAGGGCCTGGCTGGACGGCAGGCTTCTGGCACCCGAGTGTTGTCACCGCATCCACTTCCGCACCCGCACACCTAACTTCACCCTCCGCAGCAGCAACGCCCCAACCCGCGCGAACCACCGACAACTCTTAGGACGAGAAAACGTGCAGCGTCGACTGCTGACCAGCAACGACCAGTTCGGCACCCATCTCGCAAACAATCTCGTCTTTGTCGAGGGTTACGTTCTCTCGTTTCCTTCCTTGCGACTCCGCTGCCCATTGTGGCCAGCATCCACATCGCTTGTTCATTAGGTATTGTCGTTTTTTCCGGCTTGACCTTCCATCTGCAAAGTCGACACACCCAAGCAAGTACCCAAGACGAAAAGCAAACCTGCACTCCACCCACCACGACATCGAAAATCGGCCCTCACGAAGTGCCACACAACTCACCATCATTTCCTCACTATGGCCGACGACACTCAGAGCGGGAGCCCGAAGTCGGATCCTGTCGACGCCAAAGAAGACGCCGAGACTGCTGCCGCCCGGAAGGAACTGAAGCACACGGCAATCTCAGAGAAGTCTGGTGGAGCCGCCGGCGCGACGACACCGAAACTCTCCGCCACCGACGAGCACAAGGAGCAGGTCTCGTCGCCAAAGAAGAAGCAGAAGCGGGCACACGACCAGGTGGACGAGGACAAAGATGCCGAGGACGTGGACAGCAAAAGTGTCGCCTCGAGCGACTCAGCCAAAGACAGGGCTTTGCGACTGGAACCTGAAAAGAAGAGGCACAGAGACGAGGTCGCAACCGACGCTGCAGACTCGTCCGTACGTTCAATACTTCCCTTCGCCTCATCTTCTTGCCGGTCTCGGTATCGTTCAGAGCCCTGTACTAACATTTTTTTCCCTTCCCGTAGGCTTCGTCGACCGTCAATGCTGATATCAAGCAGACGGGCATCGCTACAACCGATGTCACGTCGGCGACATCAGAAGGCTCTGGAAAGAGAGAGAAGGAGACTTCGGCAGCGGCGTTTGCGACTTCCGGCTTTGCTAAGCTGGCAGCCTCGAATGCCTCGCCGTTTGGTTCTTTAGGACACTCCACCAAAAGCAGCGTATTTGGCGGATCGACCTCCTCAGCCTCGCCTTTCGGCGCCTTGTCTCCATCCAAGCCCGCCGCAGCTCCTGTCGCAGTGCCCACTCTGAGCTTCGGGGGCGCCGGTGCTGCGTCGTCACCTTTCGCAAGCGTAAAGCCCGCTGGCGCGAACGGATTTGGCTCGACGTTCGGAAGCGGGTTCGGTAGCGCGCTGTCAGGCAAGCCCCTGACGAGCTTTGCCAAGGTGGGGGAGTCTTCCTTCAAGACCGAGAAGCCCGCGAAGCCTTTCGGTGCACCAGAGAGCGATGCCGAGGACGGAAGCGACGAGGAACCCGATGCCGAAGAAGAAGCTGCTTCGGAGGCTGGCGACAAGGAGGAGAAGGAAGACTCGGATAAGGAAGACTCCAAGGCTGGCGACGATAAGAAGCGGACTAAACTACAGAAAAGTAAGTGGGGGAGACATGCGCCACGTAGAGGTGCTCTGCTAACGAAACCTAGTTGCTGTCGACGATGGCGAGACGGGTGAGGTCACGATAACCCAAGTCAGAGCCAAGATGTTTTACCTGGAGAAGGAAGTCGGCTGGAAGGAGCGCGGTTCCGGCATGCTGAAGATCAACGTCCCTGACGCGTGCGTTTCATTTGACGATGCTGGCGTCCCGATACCCGGTTCTTTTGATATGTCAGGTCTCGAAGAGAGCAGTAATGACCCCGAGGCTGGTGGCATCAAGAGCCATAAGGTGGCTCGTCTCATCATGAGGCAGGATCAAACACACAGAATACTCTTGAACACGGTCATCTTGCCGGCTATGAAGTTCCAGGAGAAGACTAGTCTCAAGTCTGTCGGCGTCATGTTCACCGCATTTGAGGGCGAAGATGCCAAGCCCGTGAGCGTGCATATGAGGGTAGGCACCTGACTCCCCTTCCTCAACCAAGTCGTCGTGACAACTGTTCTGACTCTGCTTTACAGATGAGCGCCGCCAGCGCCAGGACATTCCTTAACGAGGTCGGCGTGGTACAACGAGAGCTTTCGAGCAACTAGGTGAACGGCATAGGTTAATGGCGTTGAGACAGGCGGTAGCTGTCTGTTTGCTGGTCGACGCATAAAACATAAATGGATGGCCGGCTTAAGCATTACTGGGGTAGGGGCTGGGGATCGAGCAAAGATGTCAAGGCGAAGGCATACAGTCGGCAGGACAGCAATTGTGTTGTATTTTGGAGTCCAGTCTGACTTTGTGGATATCTTAGGTCGCTGTCCTGTCATGATACCAGGAGACCGGTGTTCTTTGGCACACTTTAGATATCATTTACACGCATTTTCAGAAAATTCGTCTCCCATGACACTTAGTCAATCGTCCAGACAGACTAGTCAAGGTGGATGGAATGAGTGTGGTTGCATGCCCGGATCCGGCCCACGTGACGCGGTGTGGATTACGTGACGCAACGACACTAAGGTAGGTACTCTTTATCCCGCGCGCCGGTGGCGTCACGCGTGTTCAAGTTGCTCTCGCCTTCTTTCACCAGAAAAGTAAATAGTGCATCACGTTTGGTCGCCTCGCTACTTACAAATGATGCTGTCTCGTCGCTCACCACTTACTTTCTTGTCAACTATCCATGTCACTCAAGTGATCGTCGATTAGACGCCGCTCAGGCAACCGTCCACTCATCGTCCATGGAAAGTGGACCAACGGCCGCCGTGCAAAAGGCACGAGGGAAAAGGAAGAGGGAGAACGTTGAAACGGATATCGCCGACGGGAAGCCGAGCAATGATGCATCGGCGAGCACCCAGCCCAACTCTGGAGAGGCCGTCTCCGCGGTTAGCCAGAAAGGCAAAAAAGCTCGCAAAAGAGGGCCCAAGAAAGCTGACTCAAGCCTGAGCCGTACAGAAAGCGCCGCGTCTGCTTCGGAATGCAAGATTGAATGGCCTGAGTGTTTCAAGGCGCTGGAAAAGACGCATCGCGCCCTCAACTTGGTCTTCACCTTTTGCTGCACCCGGAAACACCTAGCTACCACCTTTGAAACGATCAAGTCCGCAGTGGAGTCGCACACTAAGAAAGTCTTGACGATCGAGGATGTCGCCGCCATCGCCGCAATCCGTCCCGAGGGCGTCAACTTCGCCTATGTGGACGAGATCATGTTGCAAACCGAGGTCAGGGGCGCGGAACGTGATGTGACGTTCAAGACTGGAAGAGATTTTCGCTCTCAAGCCCCAGCTCCAGATGCCTCCGTCGGAGGTCTTTCTGGCCTCGATAAGCTGGACCACCATCCTGACGACCCACTGAAAGCTGGGAAAGAGGTGTTGTACTTCGAATTTGTGGACGGTGACTTGAAACGTCAAGTCAAGGATAACAAGACGGGCGAGATAACCAAACCGAACAGGAAGCTGAGGGATGAAACCCTCAAGATGCCGGTCTACAGTCAAAAGCAGATGACAAATCTCATCGAGAGGAGGAACCAAAGGTTCAATGACGCGATCAGCTTCTTTCTCAATCAATGCGTTTCCGATGGTCTTGATCCCGAGCAGACTCTCGTCACAGCGCGCGAAGCCTACATCCCTGTGCCGACAGCTCCAGAAGAGCCCGCTGAGAAGAGTCTGGGGGCTCTTCCCGAATCGATTCCAGCGGAGCGCAAGAGTATCCCGGAAATCGTCCAGGAGCTGAAGGAGGTCCCTTGGTATACCGGACAGATTGTGCCAGATGGCCATCGCGTATTCGAGCCGCAAGAGGCTGTGTACGGAGATCTGAACTTTCTCCTCAGCCAGGACTTGGTGAATGCGCTGTACAATTCCAAAGGAATCACGCAATTTTTTGCGCATCAGGCGGAGGCCATCAACGGACTTCTTGAAGGCCAACATGTCGTTGTCGCCACCTCTACGAGCTCGGGAAAGTCGCTAATCTACCAGCTTCCAGTGATACATGCCCTGGAAAAGGACTACAGCACGCGAGCAATGTACATATTCCCGACGAAGGCTTTGGCACAGGACCAAAAGAGAAGCCTGCGAGAGATGCTGAGCTACATGCCGGGCATGGAGGACGTTCTCGTGGAGACATTCGATGGAGATACCCCGATGAAAGAACGGAATGCCATTCGAGAGGAGGCGAGAATCATCTTTACCAACCCAGACATGCTTCACATCACGATTCTGCCGCAGGAAGAACGGTGGCGAACATTCTTGAAGAACCTAAAGTATGTTGTGGTGGATGAGCTGCACTATTACAACGGACAGATGGGATCACATGTGGCTTTCATCATGAGGAGGTTGAGACGTATTTGCGCTGCGGTAGGCAACCGTCACATCAAGTTCATATCGTGCTCAGCTACTGTTGCAAATCCCAAGCAACACTTCAAAACCATTTTCGGTATTGAAAATGTCCGACTGGTCGACTTTGACGGATCCCCATCAGGTAAGCCCTCCCCCACTCTCAGTTCGCTGGGCACATTAGTTGACTTCGTCAGGTCGGAAGGAGTTTCTGTGCTGGAATACGCCATATCGAGATCCCGGCGATCCAGCTAGTGGCCGAGGCGACGCCATGTCGGAATGCGCTCGCGTCTTCTGCCAGCTGATGCTCAGAGGCGTTCGTATCATCGCCTTTACAAGGGTCAGAGAGCAGTGCGAGAAGCTAGTGACCGCCGTGCAGGCAGAGTTAGAGTCTCTCGGACGGCCTGAATGTGTCAATCGGGTCATGGGTTACAGAGGAGGCTATACTGCCCAAGACCGGCGCAGAATTGAGTCGGAGATGTTCGAGGGCAAACTCCTCGGCATCGTCGCCACCACCGCTCTAGAGCTCGGAATCGACATCGGAACACTGGACTGTGTGCTGACGTGGGGATTCCCTTATACTATCGCCAACCTGCGGCAGCAAAGTGGACGAGCTGGGCGAAGGAACAAGGACTCTTTATCTATCTTGGTAGGGGATTGTTTCCCAACCGACCAGCACTACATGCAGAACCCCGACGAACTCTTTACAAAACCGAACTGCGAGCTACAGGTCGACCTCGAGAACATGCTAGTACGAGAGGGTCATATCCAATGTGCCGCCTACGAGATGCCCGTCAGGCCTGTTGAGGACGCTGAGTATTTTGGCCAGGATCTCCCCCAGATCTGCGGTGAGCGATTGCTGAGAGACGCAATGGGCTTCTACCACTGCCACGACCGGTTTCGACCAGTCCCCTCAAGATTTGTCGCCATCCGAGACACCGAGGACGATCACTTCGCCATTATTGATATCACACATGGCAAGAATGAGGTCTTGGAGGAACTCGAGGCTTCTAGAGCGACATTCACAATCTACGATGGGGCAATCTTTCTACATCAGGGAAACAAGTACCTCGTCCGAGATTTCCAACCAGACAAAATGATGGCACGGGTCGAAAGAGTCAAGGTCGACTGGACTACGACGCAGCGAGACTTCACCGACATCGATCCCATCGAGACAGAAGCTATTCGCCGGATATCCGGATCCCTGTCGAGAGCCTTCTACGGCACCATCAAAATTCAGCAGAACGTATATGGCTTCTTCAAGGTCGACAAAAAGAAGCGCGTTCTTGACGCCGTGCACGTTGACAATCCCCCGGTCATCAGATACGGCAAAGGCATGTGGTTGGACATACCCAAGAAAGCCTTACAGATCCTTGTCGATAGGAGGTTACACGTTGCCGCGTCGATCCACGCCGCAGAACATGCTATTCTGAGTCTCATGCCTAACTTTGTCATCAGCTTGCCGGGAGACGTCCGGACCGAGTGCAAGGTGGCACTGAAGGAATTTGCCAAAAAGGAGTCGCAGAGGAAGCGGCCAGGACGACTGACGTTCTACGATGCGAAAGGGGGCGCGAGCGGATCGGGAATCAGTACCAAGGCGTTTGAGCATATCGATCACCTGCTCCAGCAAGCTCTCAGGCGGGTCGAGGATTGCTATTGCGAGAACGGCTGTATCGAATGCGTGGCGTCGGAGCAGTGTAAGGAGAACGACGTTATGAGCAAGGCCGGTAGCAAGGTGATTCTGAAAGCCATTATGAACTTGGAGATCGATGTCGAGGCCCTGCCAATGGGACCCGAGGAACACATGCCGGCGGGGTTCGAGACGGTAGTGGTAGCTCAACCTGTGCCGCCGAAGGATCGTAATAGCCTCAGGCTCGTTGAAATCAAGGAGGAGGAGTTCGAGGAGCACGATGCGGCTTGTCTAGAAGAAGCGGAGAGGTGGACTGGAGAGACCGATGCAGGGCGTGATGTGTAGGACTGGCGAATCGCGCGTTCAAGCGGGTAGTGCGAGATCAGCAGCCGTGCTTTTGGGGACATATTCTTCGCGATAAGGTAGATCGTCTAATATTTGAATGCTGGCTGAAGCTCTACCCGGTGGTTTGTTGGTCATCCGTGACTGCTATGTGTACGGACAGGTGGAAGGAACCCTTAGGCTGCTACAATTCGTCTCAAGTTCGCCATGTTCACAACAAAGAGACTTGACAGAACTGCGACGTTCGAGCTCCTTCCTCGCCCTCGACTTTTGAATGCTCGTCGAGTTGGATGCCTTAGAATTTTTTTTCCTCCCTCCCCGGCTCGGTAAGCTGAAATCTATTTCTTGGTCTTGTTTTTACGACCTTTTCTGCTCTCTTCCCGCCCAGCACCCATCCACAGCATTGTCTTCCTCTTCCTCTCCGCTGACCTTCTCAACGATCTCTCATATTCATTGAGGTTCTTTCCCTATCGATGAGAAGTTCATCATCGTGTACGGCGCTTCTTATTTTTTCTTTCTTCCTCTTCACTGAAACTCACTGGTATTCCTAGTGGTCTAGACGAAGGCAATCATACACACTACTCTCCTGTCGTCGAAAATCCTGCCCCTATCGACAACGACGTCTTCCACATCACCGGCTTCATCTTACAAATATCTTCCGCACTCGCAACGGTGATCCGCCCATCAACGATATCATTCTCCTCCAGTCACCCGTTCTGTATCTTTCTCCGTCGCCAGGACTGCTTGCGTCGACCAAGACGTCGGGCTGACATCTTTCTCACCTCGTCACGATATCTTCGAATCAACAAAGCGTTTTAACCAGCATACTGCAACTCGGCCTCGGTTGAGGGCATCGTCTTTTGTGAAAATCGCCAGTATCGCGACCACCTTCATTTCTCGCGTCGTCTCCCCACTTGCCGTCGATAAATTATACGTCTCCCCGGTCTCGTCGACGCCATTATCGCTCTCGAATCATATTTCCGACAGTCTACGACAGTCGAATCCTCTCGAGTGGGAAACGCCACGCAGGCTATCTCTCTCTTCGCTGCCATTGCCGCAATCTCTCCTTTCCCGTCACACCGCGGCTTTCGTGCTTCTTCCCCATATCACTTCATCTTCGTTCCCCTTCTTCCTCTTATACACCTTGTCTCCGCCTCTCTCTCCCTCTCTCTCTCTCTCTCTTTCTTTCCCCTCTGCAACTCTGTCATTGGTACTCGTCAAGTAAGTCTTTACTTTCATCCACTTACAAGGACAAGAAGTCACTGACAGACGTGGTCCTCCAGAATGGCCCAATATGCTTCCGACCCGTACGAGCTGCGCCGCCGCGCCGTCCCTTGGCACGATCAAGTCCGAGATGATCTCCCTACATGGATAGTTGAAGAGCTTCGCGCCGGTGCCTCGCTTAAAGAGGTTTTTCCTGAGATGGACCCCAACCGCAACCACTTCAATGCCATGAGAAGTGTTACCCGAGACGAAGACCTCTATGACTCTCTCACCCCAGAGCAGGTGGCGAGAAAGCAAGAGTTCCTTAGAATCATCCGCAAATGCCTGGACTTCTCGCCCAACTACAACGGCGACACACGCAACGAGCGGAACAAGAGCGCAGACGTTCCCGACAGCCAGAACACTTCGGTGTGGCTGACGGGCCTGCCTGCTGGTTGTGACACTAGCATGCTCATGGAAGCCATCGTTAAGACCGGCAAGACTGGCAAGATCTGGGCATCTCACATCAATAACGCCGACCCACGCGACCACAAGCCTTTTGCTGCGGCAAAGATTGTCTTCTTCACCAGGGATGGTGCTGACAGATTGATGGCAGCAGTTCAACAGGGACGGTTCCGTGTTGGAGGCCGCGTCCCGCGGGCGGCATGGAACCGCATCAAGTCAGCCACCCGCCCGGCCAAAGACAAGATCCACTCCCGAGTTCTGATCATTGAGGGTCATATCTCCATTGTGAACAAGGAGTCCCTGGAGGAGTGGTTTAAGTCCAAGTTCGAGTTCCAGACCGATCAGGTCGTCCAGAGAAAGTACAACGCCCGTCTTGGCATCAATGTGCTTGAATGGCGCTTTGGTAGCTACCGCGCCCAAGCCGAGGCTGCTGCCATTGCCATAACCAAGGAGCTCGGTGGTAAGGTGAAGTGGACGCATGGGGATGACCCTTGCGCCTAGTTTTTGGTTGTTGGCTCTTTGGTCTTTTCTCTGGATTCCCCTTTTTGGCCCCTTTCTTTGTGTCTATCAAATCAATAGCGTTCTCCAGGTGAACAAGGTGGCACCAGGTTTTCTTAATGATGGCCAAGACAATAACAGTTTGGAGGGATAGCAGAAAGGAAGAAAGGGCAAGTTCTATGAGGACAAGGAAAAAGGTCTCTATGCAATTCTTGCGCTATAAACAGCTTATGATGTCTAATACACCAAGCTGACCGTTGTTTTCCCCAATGGATGGGATGTGCACATGGTTGTGCCAACTTGTATGATGATGAAAGCGTGCAGCACGAGAGGATGAAAAAAGCTTTTGCCAAGGGTGCCTGGATGAGATAGCTTAGGTTGTTCCCCAAGGGGAAAACCGAGGTGGAGAATTTTGCCCGATGCTCAATTGTCTCAGCCTGTGGGCACTCACTTGGTTGGTTCTTGGTAGCAGCTTGGTATGCTCTGGGATGACTTAGCTCTCAATCTTGCCTTTTGGAACACCAAACGTTATAGGATGGGATCCTGGAAGTTGGGGTTTCCTTGGGCCGTTTCCCGTTTTTGGCACCTACCACGCAATGCTGCATAGTAGGTCTGTCTGGCTGCCTCACTCAACGTGTTTAGCTTGTCAATATACATGATATGCGATTCGTTTTGTCTGTCTGGGATGTGGTCTGTAGTCGTATCTCGTTCCAATGAGGCCGCATTGATCCACGCCGCGCCCCGCGCCCCGCGCCCGCCAAATAGTCATCTCTGCCCAGATACCAAAAGCCTCCACTACCGTCTGCCTGGTGACCCTCAGGCCTCGGGGCTTGTAGACACGTGTGTGTGGCTGCTGTCATTTGGGCTTTCGAGAGGGACGGGGGACGAGAACGTGTCATCATCAGCCGCCAAGACAATTGTCTTGATTCGATATCAAAGGACACGGGACGGGCGGTCGTTGAAATTGCGTCAGTGATGTAAATAGAAGGAATCGTCCAGCCAGGGCAGCGTAGTATTTGGGGTGGGATTTGTCTCCGTCCAGGGGTATTCGTACACCGCAGCCCGCGCCGGTGACGTCGTCGGGCCAGACTTTACCGCCTGTTGTCTGCAACTTCTCGCTTATGCAGGCTTCTAGGTGCAGCATTGGACGGGTAATATAAACCGTCTAACTTGCTTACCTAGGTAGCAACGTAAATAGAGGAGGCATAATACAGCAGTTTATAAGGGGCACTAGCTTAAAATTTAAAAATTACTATATTAAGTTGTAATTTTATATTAAGGTGATACCTCCTATATAGATCTAAAACTCTATTATTATACTTATAATTATACTACCTACTAAATAAGATTAATATAACTATTATATAAATATTTAGGAGATATAATATTTCTATATTAAATCTTTTTAAATCTTACTTTTTTTTATTATATTTTATTTTTCTATTTTATTTATAGCTAAAATATTAGATATTTACCCTAAAAGGGCTAACTTTAGCTACTTCTTAATAAATTTTATATTAAAGTAGCTATTTTATATTTTTTATAGCCTTAATATTTAGAATCTCTTACTACTTTATATTATTAACCTCTCTTATATAGATAATCTTAAACTTATTAAGCCTTCTATTTATTTAATTAATATTATAACTTTCTAAATAGCTTAAATTAATAAAAATATAAACTTAATTAAATAGGGACTTTATATCTTAAATATTATCTCTATTTAATAAGCCTTATTAAATATAATAAAAAGGTTTAATAAATATATAAAAAGTATTAATAATATAGTAAAGTAATAATAGCTTAACTTAATTATTAATATTGATATTAACCTATAGAATATATATTTTTATAAAGTAGTTATTAATAGGTTTTCTATTTAAATTTATATATAGGTTTTCTATATAAAGAAGTTTAAAGGAAAGTTTTAGTTTTTATAAACTATTAAGTTTAAGTTATATTTTATATTAATAGGTTAAAATATTATAAAGTTTACTTTAAAGATATAATATACTTAATAAGATTAAAAAGTAATATTAATTAATATTAATTAATAAAGATTAACTTTAAGCTATATAGTACCTTATTAAACTATTTATAATAAAGTAAAAGAATATAAAATCTAATTTAAAGCTTATTCTTAAAGCTTAAGAGGTAATTAAGTAAGCTAAATAATTAGCTTAAAGCTATAAATATATATACTTAAAAGTTAAAATAATAAAAATATCCTCTAAAATTAAAGCTAAAAAGAAAGTAGTTATTTTAAAAGTAACTATATAAAAGGAGGCTTAATTAGAAAAAGCTATATAAGAAGATATTTAATAAGAGGATATTATATTTAAAGGGGAGGAGTTATTTAATATTAAGCTACTAGATCTATAAGATTTTATACTAAAAGCTATTAATAATAAAGAGACTACTTAAATAGTTTAATTCTTATTAGTTCCTAAAGAATTATACTTATCTATAGGTATTATTATAACTTTATTAATATTAACTCTATAGCTATAAAACTACTCTTTAATTTAATTTAAATTATTAAGTTATTTATTTAAAAGACTAATAGCTAGCTTATAATATAAATTAATATAAACTTATAGTTACTTTTATAACAAGTTATATACTTTAAACTATAAATACTTTAAGCTATTAAACTTTATAATAAGAGTAAAAGAATTTAGAGGTATTAAGTTAAGAATCCTCTTATATACCTCTATTACATTAAATAAAAGATATTAATTATATTTAAACTCTTTTTATAAGAGGATATTTAAGAGTTTTTAAATCTTTATTAAGTTAAATTTCTTAATAAAGTCTTATATTAAAGTTAAATTAAGATATTTAAATAGCTTCTATAGTTATTTGAAAATAATATAAAGCTTACTTCTCTAAAATTAAATATAATAGTTATTTTAAAAGTTAATATAACTATTAAAATCCTTATAAATAAGAGGTATAAAGATAAAGAGTATAGTAATATAATTATAGAGGTAGTTTTTTAAAAATAGATTAAATACCTAAAGATAAATAAAATATATTTAAAATAATTAATAAGAGAAGTTATAAAATAATAATGAATATACTCTCTATACTTTAGTTTAAGCTTAATAGAATTAATTTTATTAACTTTTAATTTTAATATTATAAATACTCTTATTAAAGATCTAATAGTTATAAAACTTAATTAAAATATCTTTATTTAAATAAAATACTAGCTATTTAGTATAGCTTTAAAATAAATACAAATACCCTCTTATAATAAGAGATACCTCTATATTATAATCTAAATAAATAATCTAAAGCATAAGGCTATATTAAGATATAATAAATAGGTATTATATTAATATAGATCTTATAGTATATATAGAGAACTTAATATAGAACTATATAATATAATAAAAGTATATATTAATATTAATATAAACCTTAAACCTATATAGGAGAAGTTTATTATATATATTAATAAACTAAATAAAGTTAAAGCTAAATATAGTTTATTCTCTCTATTAATATTATATCTCTTTTAATTAGTTCTTTACTTCTTTAGGAAAGACTTAATAATAAGCCTTATAGAGAACCTTTTAGCTAATAATATAGCTATATTATTATATAAATATATAGAGGAGTTTTTAGCTATAGTTCTTTATAGTAAATATATTATTATTATTTAGATTACTAAGGAAATTTATAGCTTTATTAAATACTACTTTATATTACTTAAGGGTTTATTATTACTAAAGTTTATAATATCTCTAGATATCTTTAAGATTAATCTTTAAGATTATAAACCCTTCTATAGTTAAATAACTAATTATATTATAATTTATAAAGTAGTAATTAAAAAAGAGCTTAAAAATATACTTTATTACAGTAAATATAAAGATTATATAAGTCTTATATTAAAGTTACTAATTATAAAGGTATTATTTTAAAGTTATAAAAAAGACTTAAACTTTTAATTTAATAAGAAGTTAGAGAATTAAAGTATTTATTTAGCTATAATTAAACTTCTTTATAATAACTATATACTATAGCTTAAAGTTAATATATAGCTACTTTATTATAGCTAAAAATTAAATATATATATATAGTTTTATATAAAAAAGAGAGAAAATATATTATATATAAAAAAATCTATTAGATATCTTAAAACTTAAAAACTTAAAAGGTAAATATATTTTATACCTATATATAGGGGTTTATACCTCTATATATAGGTACTTAACCCTAAATACTAACTTATAAAAAATAATCTATACTATTAGTCCTATAAACCCTTATATATCTCTACTTATTATTATTTCTATATATATTATCCTAAAGATTAATACTATATAATATATTAAGGTATATAATATTATATAGATCTAAACTTACTCCTCTAAATTAAAAGAGGAGGTATTTAAAATATTAATACTATAGTTTATATCTATAAGAATATTAATAATACTATATAGAGCTATATAGTTATATATAGAACTAATTATAACTATTCTCTTTAAGCTTAATTACTATAGAAATAATTATATTTTTAATATAATATAGGTATTTAGGCTTAACGCTATAGATTAAGCTAAAGAAGTTTATTTTAAGCTTAATTATATATATATACTTATAAGTCTATATAGATCTATTAATATAAATATATTTATAAGTAGAGCTTAAAGTAGTCTTACTATTCTCTCTAATAACTATATAATACTATTAGATATTATAAATAGAGGTATAAATATATATAGAACTTATTAAAACTATAGTTAGTAATACTTAATAAGTATATATAATTTCTATATAACTTTTAGCTAAACTTAATATTAAGGAGGTAATAGCCTTTAAATAGGCTATTTTCTTTTTTATAACCTATATATTAATCTATACTAATTTATATAGTACTATATAACTAAATAATAATTATATTTAAGTTCTAACTATAAGTTAGATTAATAGATTTATATATAAGTTTATTATTAGTAATAATTCTATATAGGATAATAAAATAGTTTATTTAGTTATAAAGAAATGTTAATATATATATATAGGTAGTAAGATATATATAGAACTATACTATAGCTTATTTATCCTTAAGGAGTATAATAATTAAGCTTTTAGAGCTATAAATACTAGCTTCTATATAGAAGTTAATATAGAACTATATAGTAATATAGTATAATAAACTCTTTAAAAGAAAGCTAATAATACTATATATATCTTTATTTAGAAACTTATTAAGAGTAATAAGTAACTTTTTATTATTAATAGTATTAAAAACTAATACTATATTATATAATTCTATATTATCTTAAAGAGGTATATAAAAAGGTATAAAGTTTATAATATATATATTACTCTATATAGATATTTATTATATTATATAAATAAATAATATTAATACCTTAAGTTATATAGATCTATATAGAAAAGTTAGCTTATAATAAAAAAAAGAAAATAATATATATCTCTATAAGCCTCTATAGCTTATATTAAACTATAGAGGCTTATAGAGATATTTAGATTAATATAAACTTATAGAAAGGTAAGTATAAAGAAAAAATAAAAGAGAAAGAAGATTTAATACCTTATTTAATTTAAATTTATATTTTCCTAAATAGTATATAGACTACCTTAAGTTTATATTAGCTAAAGTAAGTTTAAATTTACCCTTATATTTATATATTCCTACTTAAAAATTCTAATTATACCTAATTATATAAAAAAGAATTTTTATAAATTAAATTAAAAGGTATAACCCTTAATATATAATTACTAGATAAATATATTATAATAATATAACGTATTATAGAGGTATATATATAACTAAAAACTAAATTTTAAGCTAGTGCCCCTTATAAACTGCTGTAGCATAACACACAACACATAACATATAATACATAACACTATAACAACACAGCGGGCGCTGCTAGCGTGATTTTAATCCATTGCCCGCCGACGACCCAGCCAAGAAACCCTTCTCACACAGGCATCAGAAAAGTATCCTGTACCCCCGGTTTCACGGTGGTTACGGTGAGGCGAGCCGCGTCCTGGGTGTACCCATACACGCCCAATCTTCAGGTTGTCCACGTCCAGCAGCAATCAGCAGCAATTAGCAGCAATGCACCAGGATGTCTGCCAGAGGTCTTGGCATGACTGCAAGCTTAGCCGTGCCTTGATTCAGCCCAGAGGCACCTCTTCCTTCGATGATCTGCGTAAGGCATTGCGATGTGTTCTCTCTGTATCCGTATTCGTCCGCTGGCGGAACCGCCCGCGATGTCTGCCTCATTGGCAATATCTTCCGTAGTAGAGTATCCGGGGGATCCCTCGTCCTTTGCCCTCCTTGCTAACCTACTGCGATACCGAACTTGTCAGAAACTCTCTTCTGGGACATACCCTCAACCTCGGGTTGCCGAATGATTTTCTGTTTGCAGTCCATTGAGATCACCCGTTCAGGAATTGACATACTATTCGACTGCTGCCCTTAGGAAGCTGAAGTTGAAACACCCGCGTCCGAAATCCTCAACCGTAGGCCTAGACCAGCCCCCCTCAGGTACGACCAGGGGCCGTCAACCCGAGAGACTGGTCCACGTTGACCCAAACTGGAGAACAAGATCCCCTCAGTTCCCATCTTTTAACCCTCCTGCGTCCTTCCTTTCTTTCCTCCGCCGAGCCACACTATCAGAAGCCTTGGTATTGGGGCTGTCCCATGTCTCTGCATCTCCCTGAACCCAGCAACACGACTCTGTACCCGCTTGGCGATATTTCTCCCGATCACCGTATATACTTCTGGCAGACTCCGTCAACAGCCCGCAAGACTCTTTTCGTCGTCCATTTGCCAACACGTCGACTGTGGTCTAGGCTCCTAGACACTCATCCGCCGTCATGTCGGCCCCGAGGTCTCCCTACCGCCAAACCTACCGCGAGTCCGTATCGAGACGACGAGAATCAAATCACCCCATCATTCCTGAAAAGGCACGAACATCGGCAATCTCGGGCAACGAGTCTCTGCCAGTCTACAACAATGCCCCTCAACATCGTCGTCCTCCGCCAGGCAAGAAAGTCCGGGTCAGGCCTTCGGGCGAAAGCGGCCGCAGCGGCTTTCACCCGTTCAAGTTTTTGAAGATTACCTGGAAATCATCAAGTAGAGCTTCCCTGGTCTGCAACTTCTTCTGGCCGGTTGTGCCAGCTGCTTTTGCTGTTAGATGTGAGTAACATCCCTAGCTCGTGCTGCTTGGGGCCACCTGGGGCCACTTGGGTGGGATGCTGACACGGGAGCATCAGATGCTCTTCCGAATGAGCACGTATTGATCTTTGTTCTGGTTTACATCGCCATGGTGCCGTGCGCCAACCTGGTTGGTTTCGCAGGTCAAGAGCTTTCTCGGAAAGTCAGCCACGTCTTTGGAGTTCTGATGGAGACAACGTGAGCGAGTTCTCGTAATGTCTGCTCCGGAGACTCCTTGCTGACAGTGCTCTAGTTTGGGGTCGGTGGTCGAACTCATCCTCTTCATGGTTCTTCTAAAGGACTCCCAATTCGTGGTTATCCAAGCCGCCATCTTAGGATCCATCTTGGCGACCATGCTGTTGTGTTTGGGAATGTGCTTCATCGCTGGCGGTCTGCGACGCGAGGAGACGGAGTTCAGCGACACCATAACCGAGGCAGGTAGTGGCCTGCTGCTAACTGCGTAAGTGGCCACATCCATCTTGTCGACATGTTGGATGCTGATGACGTTCACAGTGGTGTAGCCCTTGCTATACCTACGATCTTCGACCGCTCGCTGCAATCTATTCTTCCCGTCGAAGAAATCGACAAGAAAACCCTCCACATCTCCCGTATTGTTGCCCTGCTGCTCATCATCTCCTACCTGGTCTACGTCTACTTTCAAGCCCGCACCCACCACGGAATCTACGACGCTGTCTTTGAGCAAGACGAACATCGAGACAACGACAAGCACCGGGATATCAGAAAGGCCAAGCTCACTCTCACCGAGTGTATCGTTGCCCTCGTCTTCTCCGTCACGCTGGTGACCTTCATGGCCATCTTTCTGGTGGAGCAAATAGCCCCCATCGTAGAGGAGCACAGCATCTCCGACCCCTTCATGGGTCTCATCCTCGTGCCCTTGGTCGAGAAGGCGGCCGAGCATCTGACGGCTGTCGACGAGGCCTGGGACAACCAGATGAACTTCGCCCTCTCCCACGTCCTCGGCGCCACGTTGCAGACGGCTCTACTCAACGCCCCTCTCGTGGTCATTGTGGCTTGGGGACGACACAAGCACTTCGATCTCGTCTTTGAAGTGTTTGACATTTCGATGCTCATTCTCGCCATCATCACCGTCGGCAACTTCCTGCGAGATCAGAAGAGCAACTACCTCGAGGGCTTCTTGTGTGTGATTGTGTATCTCGCCATCGCGGTGGCGGCCTTCTACTACCCCAACCCTCCCGGTCACGGTGCCGGCGCAACTCGTGCCGGCACGGAGGGTGAAGTACACTGAGACGCAAAAGAATTGGTGTGAACTGGGTATATCACTACTTTGGGCCATGGGCGAGAAGAGGAAGAATTTGTACAAATGGCTCTGATGATCCAGTGGGCATGACGTGCTAGTCCTCTATTTTGGATCTGCTTTGAGCGATAAGTTGCCCGGCTTTTTTCTAGCAAGCGTAGCGTATTTTGGGATCAACCCCGACCGAGTACCTCCGATGAATAATGAACATGTTGAAACGAAACTCCTCCGGTGTTATCTGTAGTTCTAAAACACTAATGCCGTGCTGTACCAATGAATTTGGCACCCGTTCGAATGTGAATGCCTCCATGCCCCCCAATGTGCAAGATGCAATCTAATGACCAAAATCTTGCTCTTCCGCGGAGATGTCAAAACGCCGTGAAGAGAAACGAGCAATGACCCGCTGATAAGCACCCGAACTCCAAGTTCCCCGTCCCACCCCTCCTCTATCTACACAATCAAGGTTCGAGCCGCTTATCAAGCTTACTCCGGAGATGCTCGATTCCATCTCTCGCTTTCCAAATACCGGCTCTAGGATCGATGGCCCCCCCCTCGCACGCACGCCGCGCTCGCGCTCGCGCTCTCATAACCCACATTTGTAGCCGGTGACAGCTACGCGGCATGACGGCCCGAGGCGAACGCGGCTCTGCTCCAACGCCGCTCCCACCCTTTCCCCTGCCGAGACCCGAGATCTGCGAGCCCGTTCGCGGGACGGCGCTTGCTGACGTAGAACGGGCTTCAGATCTTTGCTTTCAAGCGACGTCCAAGTCGAGACAAAGTTACGCCGCTTAAAAAATGAGGAAGTCCTCATCCTTCCAGCCCATTCCGGCAAGAATGGTTCGCGCACTCGCCTCCAGTGGTGGCGGGCCGCAGATCAGCACCATCTCCTCGCCGTTGCCGTCGTTGCAACATGTGCCGACCTCTCTCTCAAGGACGGCCTGGTCCAAGTAACCGGTCAGCCCCTCCCATTCGGGCGGAGGCTGCGTGAGGGTATAGACCACCTTGCACTTATCAGGGAATGCGCTAGCCATGGTATCGAGATCTTGCTTGCAGAGAATGTCATTCTTGGCGCGGTTGCCATCGAGCACAAGACATTGCGTCCGGTCCTCTGGATCCTTCATCACAGCGCGAAGAACCTGGAAGATGGGTGTTATCCCAGAGCCACCGCAAACCATGATGAAGCGCTTGATGCGCCTCTCTTTGCCCGAAATGTTGCAGAGACCTTGGCCGAGATACTCGAACTTGCCGACAGGGCCCTTGAAGTCGACCCAGTGGCCCACGGGGATGGCGTCAAGAGCCTGCGTCATCTTGCCGCCTGGCCGCCCCGGGAGGTCGTAGTAAACCTTGATGAGCACATCCAGTCTACCCTTTTGGCTGCTCTCTGAGAGGGGCGTGTAGGCGCGGATGATGGCCTCGCGGGTTACCGGGTCGCGTAGCCTCATCATCAAGTGCTGGCCGGTCGGCAAGCCGATGGCCTGATCGGGGTGCTCCAGTTTGAAGCTGAAGATCTTGCAATCGGGAGATGTTTTGATCTTCTCCGTCAAGATACCCTTGGTCCAGACCTTGGGCTGCAGGAAAACGTCCCGCGGACCCTTGTCAATCTCCTCCTCAATGGCTCCCAAGGCGAGTGCCTTTCGCCCGGGCTCGTCCAGGGTGCCGATGTGGTACTTTGGCATCATGGCCTTCGCGTTTTCGCTATCTGATTGGGCGAACGTTAGTTCACACCATGTTGATTCATGTGGAGATGCACTTACGAATAGTCAAGAACTCCTCCGACACGTCCTGGCCCGCGGCGCTTGTGATCGACGTTGCACCACCTGGATGACCCTCTAGGAAAGGGGTGCCATCGTAAACCTCCCCGTTGACCACGAACCAGGGCTCGTTTTCGCCGTCGTGTTGACGAAGTTCCTCGATGGTAACACTCCGATTAACGCTTTCTTTGGTCATGCATATCTCCGTTGCCGGCTCTTGCTCGACTACGGTCTCGACCTCTCCCGCAACCTTTTCGCCCCAGAAACCGTTGGAAAGATTGCCACCAGCCTTCTTGACACGCTCCATCCACCCGCCGCCGCCCAGAACCGGTTGGGTTGGGTGCTCGAACCGCAGGAGGTGACCCTCCTTATGGATGATGATTCTGAACCAAGGGTTGTTCATCATGCCAAGGACACTCCAGTACATATCTCTTGGTTGTGTCATCATGCTCTCGTCCATAGCGCGGACCATGACGTCTGCTGCGTCAGCGAGCTGGGCGATAGGAATGTCCAGGTCCCAAAAGCACCAGCAGAAGCACGTTTCCCTCCAGTCCATATCGATCCTACCGCCGTAAAGGGTCTCGCCCTCGGGTGCCAGTCGATAGGAGTCTTCGGGGTAGTTGAAGTTCGCAAGCATCCAGGTTTTGCCGCGGTCGAGGGTGATTTCGACTCTTGTAATACGTCTGCCGCCGCCGCTGTAAGCATAGCCTCGGACTTTGTATGACTGAGAGCCACCGCCCAAGGAGACGACCTCGTCATGAGCCGGGAATGCAGTAGCGCTGTTCGTATTGAGGTCGTAGATTGCGTACCGTTCGTCTTTCCATGTGTCGGGCAGATCGGCACTGGCTTCAGGGGATACCATGGTTGGTAGAACACGGTTGTCGTAGATGTGGTACCAGTTGCTGCTCGGCTCTTTGGTGACTATGATTCTCTTGAGCCACTTGACACTTCTGCCACCGATTTGTCCGGGGATAATGATGCGAACGGGCTTCCCGTGGTCTGGGGGAAGCAATTCGCCATTCATGCGGTAGCAGACGGTGACTCCACGGTTTGGATCCATGCACCAGTTGAGCTTGATACTTGTTCCGTAATAACCGTTGGGAAGTTTGTCGGCGCCTTCGAAGCAGACGTACCGTGCACCCCTCTTGGGTTTGGCTCTGGAAAGAAGATCTCCGATGGCGACACCCGTCCAGATTGCCGTCGACAGCCCGGCGGCGCCCCAAGAGAAGCCTTTCGTTTTGCGGACGACGTTTTGCTCCTTTCGGCGGTTGCCTGCACACACGAGTGTAACTGGGTATGTGATTTGCTCATAGTCTGAAATGAGGTCTCTGACGGACATTTTGATGGGGTTCTCGACCTCGCCTTCGACGGTAAACTCCCAGTCAAACATGTCCTCGTCGTCACACTTGGGTACGGCTCCATGGTTTCGAACATAGTGTAGGTCCTTGGTAGTGATGAAGCCTTCGTTGTACAGTTCACTTAGAGGAGCCTCGACGTTGAAAGGGTGGACACCAGTGAGGCGTATCAGCCGGGGGTCTCTGATAACATGATGATCCGGTGTTTTGAGATCTTCTGCCAGGACTTTGTTGACTCTAGACTTGGGAGGTAGGGAGTATCCGCGGGTCCCTTCGAAGTTGGCTTCGTCAAGAAGGTCTGAGTCCGAACCGGCGACACTGTGGGACTGACCTTCCCTTACTGTCGTTGCTGGACTCGGGGGAAAGGTCAGATCATGTTTGGAAAGAGGCTCCCGAAAGGAAACGGGAGCTGGGGGCCCGAGAACGTCCATGGTGACCGGAGGGCCTCCTCTGTGGGGCTGAGTTTGGGTTGTTAAAGGTGAAGAGAGATTAGGCGTTGAGAGTGTATGAGGCTCGGAGTCTTGAGCTGTTTGGTTGTCTGAGCGGTAATCACAAGCCAGCTGACGATAAGAACGAAGACATGAATCGGTCGTAAAGCAAGGCAATAAACAGTGATTTGGGGGGATGATATAGAAGGATATGTCTGCGGACCAAGAAAAGGCAAGCAGATTTGGTCGAAGCTGGGCTTATGGCGAATAAGTACCACCAAAGGTGGGTTGGTGGAATAGGATTGGCTTTCCTGGAGCCGGAGTTGGGTGATTGTGGTGTGGGCGGGCCGCATGCACAACGGGAGGCGAGGAAGGGAGACGTGCGGTATGAGCTGGTCTGGTATGGCATGGCAAAGCATGGGATGAGACGGTACAGCAGCACATCACCAGACGAGATGACGCTAAGGTAGAGTCCATCAGTCCTATCCCAGTTGACGGAGGCTTTGATCGACTCGACGGAGGCTTGCCGCGGGTTGAACGACGGAGAGGAAAAAAGGACCCCAAACTTGCATTCTTACGGGCAAGGTCACCACACTGTACCAACCCTAGGCACTGTATTCCAAAAACCCCTGGTCTTCTATTTCTCTTGAATAAGCATCCTGGATGGCAGGCATATTGCCGTTTGTGTCGTAAGAACCACGAGGACAATAATTAACTCTTGGCTTCGTACGTTACTCACACGCATCAACGAAAATCCAACACAGACGAAGTGATACGGCACGGCAGCTGGCGAGGAGATGTCGCATTTGATCACTACCAAGCCTGGGCGCATGAGTGCGTTCCAGCTCCAACGTCCGCGGAATTTCGAAATGAACAGACGCGAGTTCTTATCAGCAGGCGTCATATTATTTTGGACAATGAATTAATGTTGGCGGTTTGACGGCTTCCATTGGGGCGATAAGCACAAAGCAAGGGACGACGTCGCAGTTGTCTTTTCCAGCGCGGAGATGCGACAATCGACCTTTTTTTTTTTTTTTTTTTTTTTAATACTCCCCAAGTAAGGTCGCTATCCTTACTTATCCTTATCCTTATCTGACTGCTCTCCACTGAGGTAAGGTAGGTCTGGAAGGTAAAGAGATTGGACGAAGCGAGTCGGATCCACGCCCCTGGGCCTCGGGCGGTCCGGGAGGAGGGTGGATGGAGGTTCTCTAAGCTAAAGGGGAATCCCTGTCGACGCTCCTGCCGGCTTTTGTTGTCTCTCGTGTCGGCCTGTGACTTTGAACCCGACGTATGTCACCACCAAGAACTCTTCATCTCGAAAACGCCTGTAAGCGGTGCAACGGCATGGGAGGTTCGCGTCTTCCTGTTGGTTATTTGCCTGTTAATTACCATGCAATGGTCAGCAGATGCAAAGCTCAACTACCGTTGCAGAACGTATCTGGTGTTGCGCGGTGTCGGGCCTCGTCTCCCGGCTTTGTTTCCGAGGCAAATCATGTTGTCAGCGCGAAGCTACAAGCAAACCCATAGATATCTGTCCTCGGCTTGGCATCTAGGATTTTCGCGAACATCAGAGCCTAGATCATAACGGTATGGGTTGGCATTTTTTTCATCGCCACGTGCTGCGTTCACGGCACGTACAGGTATCACAACGGGGATGCAGACAATTCTGGTCTTCATGCTGCTTCCGCCCTTCTGTCGTGCCACGCCGAATATGCTTGTCGTAATGGATGAGATTCCTGCACAGCACAGAACCCGAATGACTGGGTCCTGGAGATGGACGGAGATGCAACTTTCAAATATACACAAGAGAATTGCTGTGTCTGTCGAGGGTTGCCAGATGCGTACCTTGTATCGTAAGGTATTTAGTCATAAACAGCGTGGCAATGTAGCTTCTCGCCTCGAATTCAGACTCACAGGGCTTCCCCAAAAACCTATTCGCTGTTGATGTGCTGCCAGCAAATCCACGATAGCTCATCATCGACAAGTTAACTTTCAGCTCACGCCATGTGTCAACTGATGAACGTTTACTTGATGACCATAGATCCTGTTTGGTGCCAATTGCCTCATTTGACCGTTGTTAGCCCCTTCCCCTGTTTCTTTCGTCATGCATGCAACTATCTGGTTAGTTTCATGAGAAACGTAGAGTGAGAACGCAAAACTATTTCTCGTACCCTGGTTCACCTTCGCTCACCTTGACAAGGCTGCCGCTCACCGAGGACACTGAAGACGGCCCGTGCTGTCTATTGATCGTTTTGGGCTTGACTAATCAGGATTAACACGGTTCCTTTATTGGATTTCACCGACATCAAACTATATCTCTCCGACGTAAATCCATTCGAATTCAACTTGTCTCAACCTGGACGACACCTACCTTACATCTTGACCGAGGAGTGAATGAGCGAATAGCAGAACGGCATGGATAGGATGCATGTCGATAAGTAGTATTCTTGGAACTTGGTCACTTACACATCGCTCGTTGTCATTCACCATCGGAGTGTCTGAAAAGAGCGCAATGAGAAGAATACCAGCAAAGACAACAGATATAAGTCAAGTTACTTACACACAGAACAAGCCAGTATCCCACGGATACCAGAAAGACAAATGCCGTCCAGATCATGACGCTCACCGCCCGAACCGCCGAGACGACCGTGGTTTGTCCGGGTGCCTGCCTACCTTACCTGGTACCTAACGTAGGTACCCACCATCCACATTACCTTATGTAAGCATCGAGTGCACCTTAGGCAGGGAGGTACCTACCTAGAAGGTTTCAGAGCACTCAGGCACCCGACTGCTCACTCGAGGTACCTACCTACCTTACCTGTCTTATGAGGTGGAATCTACATCCAAGGTAGGTAGGTAGCGCGGTATTGACGCACCTTCTGTGGAGATTGTCCCTGGAAATTCACACTCGTTGCTAACCTCCGCTGCCGAGTTCATCGACACATAATACAGATTTGCGCCAAATCCCGCTGCAATCCTAATCCAACTCTCCACCAACGACTCGCCTCGACAAGGCCTGCCGCTCCAGACGCCTACTCATGCCGGCTCAAGTTGACGCCCAGAGTCACATCCGTTCGCTACGTTCCATCCCATAACATCGTCCACCGTCAACACCTGCGATCCTGCCTTATGTAGCGCCAACCCGCATCTACACTCTCCACACCGAAATATTCCCACGATCCGCCATGGATCGTGCAAGGAAGCGTTAGTTCTTAGCCTGTTGCAACGACTGACGTCGCTTTGGAGCTGACCTCATCTAGGCGAACTGCGCTCCCTGAACACTCGCGCCTGGGATGGCGAGACAGGTCAGTACACGATGCCCACCCCACCATGCCGGATCGCCCCTCTCCTCTAACTTCCCTCCCTGCACAGATTTGTTCGCTGTCAGCAAGTCCCTTGACTCCTCTTTGAAGAAGAACACTGCCTTCATCAAGCGCCTTCGAACCGCCATCTCCGCCGCGACCCTGAACACCTTCCTGCAAGAGATACGCGCCCTCAGTTTACACAAGTACCTCTCCGAGATTGTCTCTGCATGCTACGAGGGCCTTTGCAAGCTCAAGTCACCAGGCGAGATCGAGGCCGGCGTCGAGATTGTCAGCGCTCTGCACCAGCGTTTCGGTCCCAGCGAGTTTACCGAATACCTAGGATGGCTGCTTGGCAAGGGAATGGCCACCCCCGACAAGAGCTTGCTCAAGTCACTTGCTCCAGAAGTGCGCGAGAAGGAGGAGAAGGAGCGCCTGACGCGCCAACGAGTGCTTTTGCGAGTTGTCACCGAACTCTGGCTTGTCGATGTGCTCCGAACCCTCGACGACGTTACTCGACCCGACGATGCTACCAAGGGCGCCACGGGCAAAGTCCCCGAGTTGAAATTGAAGGCTCACTCAAACAAGAGCGGGGCGGCTGAGCCCTTCCCTCTCGAGGTGCTCAAAGATTTGCTTGGCCATGACAGAGAGCATGTGAACCTGCCCTTGCTTGTCATCTTTGTCAAGGCCTTTAGCTGGGATGTCTTGGGCGTCAAGCCCACCACAGGTGAGGGCCGAAAGACGGTTGAGGAGGATGGCGCCACCAAGATCACCAACGGTGCTGCACAAGGCGAGGGCACCGAGGACGCTATTGACGTCGACGACCACCCTTTTACCCCTCCCGAACTCCAGGAAAAGTTCAAGAACATCCTCAAAAAGTACTTCGAAGATGTCAAGAGTCACGTCCTCCGCGACCAGAAATCGATTCACTCTCAAGCTCGACGAAACGCCGAAGCTTACGTCAAGTCTGGCGAGGTTTTCGAAGATCGGCAATCAAACTTTGAAAAGCAGGTCAAGTCCCAAGAGAGACTGGTAGCCAATGCCCAAGCCATCGCGGACGCCATTGGCTCTGACATGCCCGATCTCAAGGATAACGATGACACTCTCGCAGCTTCCAACGGCTCCATCGGCTTGGTAAAGGCTGGTGATTACCTTCGAGGTCTCGGAGATGGTGCCGGCATTTGGGAGGACGAAGACGAGCGTCGCTACTACGAAAACCTCGTTGATTTGAAGGGCAAGGTCCCCGGCATTCTCCTTGATGATGGAAAGAAGAAGAAGCCCGACAATGAGGAGCAAGTTGGTAGGAAGGCCGATCCTACGGATGCTCCTGAAGCGCCCAAGGTTCCGGACTCATCTGACGACCAGTCAACTGCCATTGCCAACAAGACAATTGGTGCTCAGGTTGACGCGGTTCTTGCTCGATTGCCAGACCTCACCAATAAGGACGTCATCGATCAAGCCGCCATCGACTTCTGCTACCTGAACTCCAAGGCTTCCAGAAACAGGTTGATTAAGGCCTTGACCGAAGTACCCAAGGGCCGAGGCGATCTTCTTCCTTCATGGGCTAGACTGGCCGCCACTCTGGGCAGATACATGCCAGATATTCCAAAGGGTCTGGTTGAATATCTCGACGCCGAGTTCCGCAGCCTTCAGAGACGGAAGGACAAGGACTTCCTGGGTCAAGTGCGTTTGAGCAACATCCGATATCTGGCCGAGTTGACCAAGTTTGGTATTGTGCCGGAGCACGTTGTTTTCCATTGCCTCAAGGTCAGCCTCGATGACTTCTCGAGGATGAACATTGAGATCATATGCAACCTCTTGGAAAACTGCGGACGCTACCTTCTGCGCAACCCCGAGACCTCACCGCGCATGGCAACCTTTCTGGAGACGCTCCAACGCAAAAAGTCCGTCCAGCATATTGGTCAGGCGGAGCGCATGCTGATTGAAAATGCTGTATATTACGTCGATCCGCCTGATCGACCGGCTATCCAGCAAAAGGAGCGAACTCCAATGGAGCAGTTCATTCGCAAGCTGATCTACATGGATATGACTAAGCGTAATTACAGTAAGATCCTGAAGCAAATTCGCAGACTTCATTGGGAAGAGGCCGAGGTATGTACGAAGGATCTGGTATACTGGTCAGAGACTGATTGCATCGTGAAGGTTGTCCGCATTCTCGAGAAGGTGTTCTCCAAGCCGGGCAAAGTCAAATTCGGCAACATTCATCTTCTAGCTATCCTTCTCAGCGCACTCTACCGATACCACCCTGCATTCGTCGTGAAGGCCATTGACAATGTAATGGACTCCATCGCTTTTGGACTGGAACAGAACGACTTCAAGTTTTACCAACGGCGTATCTCCGAAGTTAAATACATTGGCGAGCTCTACAACTACAGAATGGTTGAGCACCCAGTCATTTTTGACGCCATGTACAAGATCATGACCTTTGGCCATGGAGGAGTCCCTGTGCACGGTCGGTTGAACCCCTTCGACCTTCCCGACGATTTCTTCCGTATCCGGTTGATCGCAACAATTCTCGAAACTTGCGGCATGTACTTTGCCAAGGGTGTCGCGGGCAAAAAGTTGGATTACTTCCTTTCTTTCTTTCAGGTTCGCACATGGACAAGCTCTGGACATGAAAGGCATTGACTAATATTGAATAGTACTACATCTACACCAAGCAACCTCTGCCGATGGATATCGAGTTCATCGTGCAAGATACCTTCGCTCTCACCAGACCTCAGTGGAAGCTTGCTTCGAATCTGGAAGAAGCCTCTAAAGCTTTCCAGCTTGCCATCGCCCAGGATCAGAAGGTTTCGGGAGCTGATAAAGTAGTCGAGACTGACGACGCCTCCATTGGATCTTCTACGGATGACGAAGACGGAGATGCAGATCTTCCCGAAGCGGAGGCGGATGAGGAGGAGTCCGATTCGGAAGACGAAGGCGAGGTAGGGCAGCAGGATTTGAAGCTTTGATTCTGGCGGCTACTAACGCATACCCTCTAGGACCACGAACTCGACCTTTCCCACGGCGATTCCGAGAGCGAAGATGAGGCAATTGTCGTCACTCGACAACAAGAACAAATCGATCCAGAGGCCGAGGCTGAATTCGACCGTGAGTATGCTAAGATGATGGCTGAGAGTCTAGAGTCGCGCAAGTTTGAGCGAAAGCCACTATTCGACGTGCCGCTACCGGTACGGGGCAAAAGCAAGGAGACAACTTCAGGGCCCGATTCTGGAGAAACTGCCGCTCCTGCCCCCAGTAGCACGATGGCGTTCTCCCTATTGACGAAGAAAGGAAACCGTCAACAGGTATGCACAGATTTGGCACGTTTCTTGCGCATATTGCTGACGTTGTGTCATGTCAGACTCGGACTGTGGAGTTGCCATCCGACTCAACTTTCGCTGTGGCGATGAAAAACCAGCAACAGGCTGAGAGGGAGGAGCAGCAGCGCATCAAGAATCTTGTCTTGAACTACGATCTTCGGGAAAACGAGGATCAAGACGGTAATCACAGCGCAAAATTACTGCAGTCAAACCCCAATATTCACAACTCCGGAGCAGGCCACGAAAAGCCGACCTCATACCACCATAATCGATCGGATCGCGGCAAAGACCGCAGCGGACAGCGTGTCCGCAAGCTTCAGCTAAGTGATGTAGACTGGTACGAATCCTCGACCAAGCGCGGAGGCAGCTTTGCGCGGACTCGTTCTTCATGCTCCCAGGCGATGGCGAACGAAGATGAACGAGAGCAGTTGATAGCTGCTCCAGTGCATCATGGCATTGTTGACAAGCGTGGCAAGCCAATCGCAGACTACAAGTCTCGGCCAACCGCTCGCATGGAGCAGTTCCGTAAAGTTCGACCGAAGCAGGAATGATTTGCTAACGATGGGAACCTCACCCTAATTGCAGGACGTGAACGAGAGCACATCTCACGGAACCAGGTTCCGGGAAAATTACACATCCCAGCCTACTAGGCGCCACCCTACAAGTCCGCCGCGACAACGCAGTCGCCGAGAGATTGGGGGCAGGCAGCGGCCTCGAAACTTGCGTTGACACTGAATGTACACTGTGCCACGGGTTGATTGACGGTCGTCGACTGCTCCAAGGGATTGCCGTCAGCAGCGTAAGCCATTTGGTTTTAGCAAAGCACTTGGTGGGCCTGGCAACAACGACCCTATATGCATCGGTTGGCTTGCACGGCCAGCGCGCAGGAAACGACAGTGGCGACGGCCGGATTGGGACTTACGCAGTGGAGAGAGCGTGCGGTGGAGAGAGGAGGAAGGCGGCCAGACACACGGCCGGGGCAATCATCGACATCTCTAGCATGATATTCCAAGTATATGGCGTGCGGCCTCCATCAGCTTGATTCTGCTATCAGAGCTGAGCATCTGGGTCAGGTTATCGTCCATTCTGCTCTCCAGGAGAAGAAGCTAGGGTACACAACACTCATTCAGTAGAGAGGAATTAGTACTCCACGAAATACATACAACGTTTCGCGTAAGGAAGGAATGCTGGTAGGATCTGGAATCCAGACGCCAGTGTACACGCCGACGGGCTGGCCGGAGCGGCGATGCGGACAACCCGGACTCGTGAACAACGTGGTTTACCGGGCAGCAAGCAACTGCGGCCTTGCAAACGTGATGCTCGGAGACGACGGCAACAGACATAACAGTCAGCGAAAGAGTCGGTTAACTCTCTGAACACACTGGTTGCGGGTGTGGCTTGCACCAGTGTCTCTTTAGAGTGTATGTAGTGGAGAGCACAGCTGGTCCTGGATAGATCAAATGTGACGCGGTGCTTCTTGGCAAGCAGTAGTACGGTTGTGAGGTGCGAGGAAATGCGAAGTGTACATGTTTCAGTTGGGGCAATTATCTGGGAAGCCGCCATCAGAAAGCTCGTTTTACCTGCTGGGTAAGAGAAGAACATCAAAGTTGAGGAGCATTGTCACAGTGAATACGACCGCTCAATGTGTATTCGTTTGACAACCAGAAGTTGCTACGCCCGACTCCTCAACATCGCGACAATGTATCCCTAGGCAACGGAGACAAACTAAATCACTATTTCAACTAAAGATTCGGACGGCTGTAGATCCAGAAGTAAGGCGAAGGTGTGTTCGGGAGGGTTCATGCAGACACAAAGTATGCTGAACCGGTAATGGCGAGAGAAGATCAGAGCACGAAGCACACACCGGCTGACACAGCTGCGCAGTAATGCATGCACAGACCAAATAGGAGGGGAAAGATGAGAGGATGTGGGTGGCGACAGAGGGTGTTTGGTTCGGTTGGATTTGGTTTGGTAGGGTTGATGGCGGGGTATCATCTCCGCCGCAAACGGAATCGAATATTGCGTGCGTGGGACGCCTGATTTGGACGACGTAGGAGACTTGGCGGATTCTGTAGAAAGAGGCAGTAAATTGAATCTGATCATACGAACCCCGAGTCAGTCGGGATGGTTTCTCGTGCTAATTAATCTAGGCTGAAAACGAAGGCGTGATTATTTTTTTCTTTTCAGTTTTTTCTTCCCGCGAGGCGGTGGCAGGAAAGGTAGATATCGTCTCCCCGCCGTTGTCCCATGAGATCCTCAAATACCACATTCCAGAGTCGATGTAGAGGTCGCTCGGACGTCCACAGACATGTTGGGACGAAGAGGATGGATGGCGCCGTCACCATTTTCACGGACAGGCGGCTATGGCGACATTAGGCTAGTTTAGCGAAGGAGAGAAGGATGAGAACGCGAGCGTTGATCTGAAGGTTCGTTCAACCCGCTAGAGAGCGAATTCTGGGGACAAGAAGAAGAAGAAGAAGAAGAAGAAGAAGAAGAAGAAGAAGAAGCAGGAGAAGAAGATGATGGTGATGATATACCAAGAAACGTTGGACGCAACTGTCGAGGCAGACAAGTAGTTTTCCTCGAAGGATTGAATGACGTGCATCTGGGGGTCGGGGTCGTTCCTGCGTGGATCGATGCACCTGCCGACGGGAGGATTACGATGGGAGGGAGTGGAGGTACAGTCAGCACCGGCTCTGGCCCTGTCTCACGGATTGAGAAGTGGTTCCCCACAGGGCAAGGTCGGGATCTTCGGTTCATCTGCAAGATCCGCTGCCCCTGGACTAGACTACGACACTGGACTATAGACGAATCGTCTTAGTGCGGCACAGAGATCCATCTGGACGAATGCACCAATCATAAGGTAAGCCGTAGGGTAAGGCGCCTACCTACCTACCTCAATAAGTAGTAAGGGAAGGTAGAGCTGGAGCAAGCTCGTGTGGGTACTACGCGCTCCAAACACCTTCTTTCAATGTCGTTTCCCACCCGTCTCGTCTGTCTACATGGTAATTAGGTAGTTAACAAAAGCACTCAGAAATTGATGATTTCTGTGCTTCTTGGCAAGGATCGATTCAACTTCGGTCAGCTCGATTCACCCGGACCCTACTAGAATGTCACAAGGTTCAAAGTCGGAACATGGCGCATCGACAAGAGCAATCGCAGAGGTCACGTTTGTGACCAACAGACCCCATTGTTTGGAAAGCATGATATCTGTGGCAACACCGCGCGGGTAAACATATTTTACCCTACCTTCCTTGCCTATGCATGTACCTCGGTACAGAGGTATCTTACTTCAAGCACCAGGTAAGGTAGGTGGACGACAAGCCGAAGCGCGGATGGGTCAGACTCTGGCAAATAAGGAAAATAAGGTACGGATAACAGGAGACCAGACTAGCATATTGTGGCGCCCACGAACACAAGTTTAACACAAAACTTGTGTTCCACATCAAGGCTGCCTGCCTGGTGGTTTTCAGCAACAATATCACTTCAATATGAACCGGGGCGGCCCAAGCCCAAGTCACAAACAATGTATCCGTACCCATCTACCTAGGTTACCTAACCTTACCTGGTAGGTACCTACCGTACATAACCTCATCCCGCTCTCCGGATGCTCTTAGCGGCCCCCACCCCCCGTCCCCGGCTACGGGGTTCGGGACCCCCCCCCCCCCCCCCCCCCTCCTTCCTTGGCTCTCGCCTGATTCTACGGTACTTGAGTTTGGCAGGTACACTACACCTCACACCTAGGTATTCGTCGATGGGCTACGGTCTATTTCAGTAAGATGGAACTGAAGCTTGAAGCTTTGCGTACTACTATGTCGCGACTTCCCCCTCCCCCTTTCCTTTTTTTTTTCTACCCCGCTTGGACTTGGATATTCTTGTTTGAGCCAACCTAGAACCCTTCGCGCACGCCACACGTTGCTGCAGTCCTGCTTGGACATCAACAACGGTGAGTATTGATAGGTCTGTTGGATAGGATAGATGAGCTATTCCATCCAGGCTTATGAAGACCCAAAAGCTGAATGGAGAATGTCCCGGGCACGGCTTGGTAGGCACGTAGGCTGTGCATTCCACAAGCCCGTCCAACTCAACCTCTCTGGACTTCGACTTATTCACGTTGCGACATTCGCTCGTCTTCTCTACGATTGCAGCACAGTGACGGGGCAACAGATGTGAAAGAACCGACAAATGCGCACGATTTCCATTCCGTAAGCTCGCTGGCTTCATGGCAAACTGAGAACCACGAGGCAACTAATCTGTATGAAGGTTCCAACTGACACACCACATGCCTTCTTGTTTGAGTCCCAAGACACCCATACAACATTTCTGGGCGAGGCTATCGCCACGATGACAGCCCCAACGTCAGTGTCCCCCCCCTCCCCGGCGCTCTACAGACGCAGCCGGAGGCGTTCCGTAACATGCAGCAGAAGACGGCCTCCCCTCCCCGAGCGAGACGCGAGAGGCGTGTACTTTGTGCCTCGAACCGGCCGGTCGCAGTTCCAAAGAAGCCAGCCCATGTGTGAATCCGGGCGGCCGTCTGCGCTTCACGTTCACCAAAGTTGCCTCTAGCTCGACATCGGCGTCCACACACACCCCTCCCCCGAATACGCACAAACTGTCCGTCCATCCAACAGCAACCTGACCCGTGCATGCCAGAGGTCCCCGAACGTCGTTGACTTGCCTGTCTTCTTGTTTGCTTGTTTGCTTGCTTGCCCGCAGCCTGTTTATTCACACACGGCGGATATACGCCATCCAAAACCCTTGCAAGCTTTCCGTCGTCAGTCTGTGCCGGATCGATCTAAATCGGGTGCATTCCCAGATGTCGAGTCTCGAACCCGTCGGCGCCTCTCCGTCCTTAGGCCTCTTTCCCCTTCCGTCGCCCTCCACGCCAGGCCCTGGGCTTCTTAAGAGCAGCACAAGCCGGCCAATCCCCCTCCAGCTGATATTCCCTCCAGCGTCTCTTTCGGTCCTTCACGGCCATCGTCTTTTCTTTGTCCTCGGCTGCTGATCTTCGTCGATGATGCACACATTGACTTCATAGCACCACTTCAGCAGCAGTAGCGACTGGCGTTGTAATACTTGACAAGCCCAAGAGAAAAGGCATCGGTTCTGGAAGGTGAGTCGCTTCCTCATCCGGCCGTTCAATACCTCGCACTAACACCTCATCAAAAGGGCAACGGTTCCCACCAAGATTCACGCCTTAGACGAGCTCCATCCGTCAACAGGGAACATCAAACCCAGTATCAGTTGCCAACAATAATCGCCTCGCGACGTGCCTTGCTTCGAAAACTCTCTTGCCTGGTACTCCGGCTCGAGCTACGACGGCAACATTCCTGGGTCCGAATTTTCGTTGTCCCACCAGCTCTCGGGAATCAGTGTTCAAGATAGTACGCGCCGAATAAGCGAACTGCAACCACCCGACGACAGCACATCGCATCTGCACGATCCCATTTCCTTCACCGCGACTTGATCCTTTTCTCAAGACGGCTGAAGGACGACCTTCTCTCTGGCTTCTCGCCCACTTGGGTTCGCCAATCGGGCTTGCATAGCTTCTCGATACACGATCCGGCAAGCCAAGCGAACCGATACCCTTGATTCAAGATGGCGGGCGACGTGGAGTATACCTGGGCGCCGAAAGACGTAAGTCTGGAAGTATTAGCTCGCCAGAGAATGTACTGATCGTATGTCTAGATCGTATACACGGTGATTGTTGGCATAGTGATGCTGGCAGCCATTCTCGAATGGTTCCTATGGATTGCTGCATTCTGCTACTGCTTGTGGAAGGTCTTCCTCAAGGCTGAGCACTGGACGATTAGGGTGCTCGCAGTCATTGTCGGCATCTTGTTCACATGCTTCAGGTGGGCATGCATTCTTCGAGAACACTAAACAGACGTCCGTTTGCTGACCGCTGTTCAGAGCAATCTTCCTCCCTATCATGATTGTTACCTTACCGCTACCAAGCGTGGTCGTCGCGGTTTGGCCCGATCAAATGGTCAAGGGCCTACAGTGGTTCGCTTTTTGGAGTTTTGCCGGCCTGTTGACCATTCCCTGGCTTTTCTGCGTTTACCAGCTGGTTACCAACCAACTGGGCCGAACAAAAAGGATCAAACGAGTCCTCGACGAAGTTTCAGCCCCCAAGGTCGTCATTGTGATGCCGGTGTACAAGGAGGACCCTGACGTTCTCGTCGTCGCCATCAACTCCGTCGTGGACTGCGACTACCCGCCGTCGTGCATTCACGTCTTCTTGTCCTTTGATGGCGACCAGGAGGATGAACTATACTTGAACACCCTTGAAAAGCTGGGTGTTCCGTTGACTCTCGAGACATACCCCAAGAGTATCGATGTCAGCTACAAATCCGCCCGCATCACTGTCTCCCGTTTCCCCCACGGAGGAAAGCGTCACTGCCAGAAGGCCACCTTCAAGCTCATCGACAAGGTCTACGAAACTTACCTCAAGAGGAACGATAACCTCTTCATTCTCTTCATCGACTCGGATTGTATTCTCGACCCTACCTGCCTGCAAAACTTCGTTTTCGACATGGAGCTGAGCCCGGGCAACAACCGAGACATGTTGGCCATGACGGGTGTTATCACGTCTACGACTAAGAAACACAGCTTGATCACCCTTCTTCAAGATATGGAGTATATCCATGGCCAACTTTTCGAGCGTACTGTCGAATCGGGATGCGGTGCCGTTACTTGCCTTCCTGGAGCCTTGACGATGCTTCGATTCTCCGCCTTCCGTCGCATGGCCAAGTACTACTTTGCGGATAAAGCTGAACAATGCGAGGATCTCTTCGATTTTGCCAAGTGTCATTTGGGCGAAGACCGTTGGCTCACCCATCTGTTCATGATTGGTGCAAAGAAGCGGTACCAAATCCAGATGTGCACGTCTGCTTTCTGTAAGACTGAGGCCGTCCAAACCTACCGATCTCTCATCAAGCAGCGCCGACGTTGGTTCCTGGGTTTTATCACCAACGAAGTGTGCATGCTTACTGACTGGCGCCTCTGGAGGCGTTACCCTCTTCTGGTTCTCGTCCGTTTCATGCAGAACACCATCCGTACCACCGCCCTGCTGTTCTTCATCATGGTTTTGGCCATTATCACCACTTCCAAGAAGGTTGAGAACCTCCCGGTCGGGTTCATTGCCATTTCCCTCGGACTGAACTGGTTGATGATGCTGTACTTTGGCGCGAAATTGAGGCGCTTCAAGATCTGGCTGTATCCTATCATGTTCATTCTCAACCCCTTCTTCAACTGGTATTACATGGTCTACGGCATTTTCACCGCTGGTCAGAGAACTTGGGGAGGGCCGAGAGCCGATGCCGCGACTGCTGACGTCGACACTACCCCGCAACAAGCTATCGAGCAAGCCAAGGAGGACGGGGACGAGCTCAACATTGTGCCAGAGACCTTTATCCCCGCCGCCGAGGCTCGGAAAGAAAGCATTGCCGGTGGCAAGGGGAATATGGGCCCCATGGGTCGCAAGCACAGTGTCGTGCAGCCGCCGTCCAACCTCGAGGGTCGTTTCGCAGCCAGAGAGAAGACGGCCAGCGGATGGTATGTCAACGCAGACGACTCGGTCACCGTCAACCGTTCCGGACCAAGCGGGTTCGGGCCGGCGTGGGCTTTGCAGTCGCGCGATTCATTCGACAGCATGGTGTCATCGCAAACCGCTGGCAACTCGGTCTACGTGCCTCGTCGCGTTGAAAGTATCATGGGTGATGAGGACCGCAAGAAGTACGAAATGGCACAACAAAGTCAGTTCAACCAGTTCCTGGCCAATTCTAAGCGATTTGGCGGACAGAACCAGCCTGGCCAAGTGTATGAGTATTCAGATGCCGAGATGAAGCGAGCCGGCTACCACGACACTGATCCGCTGGATGGCGGCCCATACACAGACAACGTCAGGCTCGGCGATGTCAACCCCCGACCAAAGTCCTCAGATGGTCGTCAGGGGCTCAGCGCCTCGCACTCGGCGCGGAGCGGTCGAAGTCCATTGGCACGTGCCAGTCTCGTCCGCACTAGCAATCTCGAAGACGTTCAGTCCGAGGGCGAGAGCTCCAGCAACGGTGGCGGACGCAGCCGTGACCACTCCCCCAAGGGCGGCGGCCGGTGAGACGACGGAAGACGAGGGTGAATCTTATCAGAATACCTGAGAAGAATGGATTTACAGGCATGAAATTGGCGTCGGGTCGGATTTTGAAGTTTCGCGAGCACTGGTCAAGATGTGTGGGCACCATCAAACTCCATTCCTTTTGTACAACCAGATCGTTGTGCCCACACATCAACCATGTAAAAGCTGGAAAGCAGTCTATTTGTGTGTGCGAATCGGCAGATCACATTACCTGGCCGACAGCTATTAGCAAGATTTACCTAATACAATTTGGCTTCGTGGCAGATGATTTCTTGGGGGTTGGTGACGTTGGCTAATGGAAGATGATGAAGCGTTCGGTGGTAGGTCAGAGAAGGAACAGCCATGCGCGGCCAAGAACTTCTCCCGGCCGCTTTCCCTGGCGGAAAGATATTACATCGTTGGCAGCGGAAGGCCAGATCAAGGTCCGGGTCGAGGGGACGGAATACCGCAATGATGCCGTGTTGCAACTGGTGATTTGTTGGTCCATGGGATTGGTCCCGAGGTAGCATCTTAGGTAAAGACGGAGAGTCTGGGGGATGGATATGGTAATTGTCGCGGCTTTGAGGGATTGCATTACACATTGGGTGGACCTTGCCAAGATCAGATTAGATAAATTGAGTGGGCTGCTGCGAAGCCGAGTCTGGAAATGCCCCAATCTGAAGGTCTCACCGCGACAGACTCTCCGGGCTGATCATCTCGTCGTGAAGTACTCTGTAAAGAAGAGGCAGCCGAACCGTGCTCGTGCTGGTGATGGAACGTCGTGTCCTGAGTTTTTTTTTTTTTTTTTTTTTTTGTGATCGCAGTTGGCTCGGAGCTATTGCACCGGAACTCAATCTCTGGATACCTAATACCTAAGTTGATGACAGATGAGGGGTCCCCGGCGCAACCCCCGGCGTGGCCTCGGCCCTGGCGATGGCTTAGGACGGCCTTTCCACTCATACACAGTTGGTATCCGTGAACCAAGGCACCTATTTTTACGTAGGTAGGCCTGCTATCAGTTTTCATCGCAATTGGATATCTTACTTTGGGTACCAGCTTGGGTACCTCACATCCATCACCTTGCCTCCCCACAGCAATGAGGCTTGTACCTTGTGCTGCCTTGAACGGTGCTATCGGTTTGTGTCGCCTTCACTGTCGCCTTATTAATCGCCTTACCTTACGTAGCAGGCCCTACGGATAGAGCCAGTTGCTGGAGAGAGAGGCAAGTTTGAAGTGAGGGGCGGAGGGGTGGAGGAGGCGGATGGACCACCTCATGGAGGGGCAGGGCTGGAGGGGTGACGAGAGACGTGGACGCTTGGAAGAGAAGAGGAACAGCAAAGAACGAGGGAGAATCTTCTTTCCCATTCGGCGCCCACCAATATTTAGCCCCCCTCGACACCTCCTCTCACAAATCCCGGTGGGGCAATGCCTTACCTACCTTCCCGCGACTACCTACCTACCTTACCTTACCTACCTACCTCCACTAGGTATTTCCAGCTTCCTTCCACCGTCCGGCCCCTAAGACAGACTCGTTTTACTGAGTGCAACCGCTACAACAGCCGCTATACTGTTTACCTACCTAAGTTTGTCCACGTAAGTACCTTATGTGCCTAGATCCCTGCCAACGATACGTACATCCCAGACTGGGCCCCCCTCCTTACCTCACTCGCCCCGAACTGACTAGGCGCTGCCAGGAAGCAGCCTCTGCAACTTTTTTTTTTTAGCCCACGTCGACTGGACTCCCACACATCCCGCCTTCAGGCTCTCTCTCTTCTTGCATATTGACAAACTCTTTAAACCTTGCAGTTGGCTGTATTCTTGTTTCTCCCAAACAAAAATCCTCACCGAGACGACACTTCGACTCGACCGCTTGCGTATATCCTCCCGGCAAGTCGGATAATCACGATTCCAACAGACCCCTCCATCTACCATATCACTGTGAGCGCACCCCGCCACGCTTTACCGATCAAGACTCGGCCGGACAACCCTTGTTTACACATTCTCACAGGAATTGAACGCCGCCGCCCATCATGAGTGTCGTTGGTAAGTCGTGCGCCTGCGACCCTTTGACCGCCTCTGGCGGTCCTTTCCAACGCAACGGACTGCTTGCTAATGCGCCTTCCCTTCTATAGGTGTTGATTTCGGAACCCTCAAGACGGTCATTGCCGTCGCCAGGAATCGCGGTGTCGATGTGGTGAGTCCCAAATATTGCCCCTCCCCCCTCCGCGGGGGAGGGGGAAAAAAAAAAAGACGACGATTTGCGCCGGAACGACGACTGACAATGGCGTTTGACAGATCACCAACGAGGTTTCCAACCGTGCCACACCGTACGTACATTCCCGATCGAGACAACAAGCCGTACAATATGTCCAGCTCAACTGACCGTCTCCCGTAGTTCTGTGGTCGGTTTCGGTCCCAAGTCGCGATACCTTGGCGAGTCTGCTAAGACGCAAGAAATCTCCAACCTCAAGAACACTGTCGGCTGCCTCAAGCGCCTTGCCGGCCGCACCTTTAACGACCCTGATACCCAGATTGAGCAGCAATACATCACCGCTCCCCTCGTCGACGTCAATGGCCAAGTCGGTGCCGAGGTCTCCTACTTGGGCAAGAAGGAGAAGTTCACCAACACCCAGCTCATTGCCATGTACTTGAGCAAGATCAAGCAGACCACTACCGCCGAGCTCAAGCTCCCCGTCTCTGACTTGGTCATGAGCGTCCCCGCTTGGTTCACCGACATTCAGCGCCGCGCCCTTATCGATGCCGCCGAGATCGCTGGCCTGAAGCTCCTCCGCCTCATGAACGACACCACAGCTGCCGCTCTGGGCTGGGGTATCACCAAGCTCGACCTCCCTGCCCCTGAGGAGAAGCCTCGTCGCGTTGCCTTCATTGACATCGGCCACAGCAACTACACTGCCTCCGTTGTCGAGTTCAAGAAGGGCGAGCTGGCCGTCAAGGGTACTGCTTTCGACCGTCACTTTGGTGGCCGTGACTTCGACAAGGCCCTTGTTGACCACCTGGGCAAGGAGTTTAAGGGCAAGTACAAGATCGACATTCACACCAACGGCCGCGCCATGGCCCGTACCATCGCCGCTGCCGAGAAGTGCAAGAAGATTCTGTCTGCCAACCAGCAGGCCCCCGTCAACATCGAGTCTATCATGAACGACATTGACGTGTCCGCCATGATCACCCGTCAGGAATTTGAGGCCATGGTCGAGCCTCTTTTGGCCCGCGTCCACGTTCCTCTCGAGCAGGCCCTCGCTGACGCCAAGCTGACCAAGGACGACATCGACGTCGTCGAGATCATTGGTGGTGGTAGCCGTATTCCCTCCCTCAAGGAGAGAATCCAGGACTACTTCGGCAAGCCTCTGTCTTACACTTTGAACCAGGACGAGGCCGTCGCCCGTGGTGCTGCTTTCAGTTGCGCTATCTTGTCACCCGTCTTCAGGGTTCGCGACTTCACCGTCCAGGACATCATGAGCTACCCGATCGAGTTTGGCTGGGAGAAGGCTCCCGACATTCCCGATGAGGACACCAGCTTGACTGTCTTCAACCGCGGCAACGTCTTGCCCTCTACCAAGATTCTCACCTTCTACCGCAAGCAGCCTTTCGACCTTGAGGCTCGCTACGCCAACCCGGCAGAGCTTCCTGGCAAGATCAACCCCTGGATCGGTCGTTTCTCCGTCAAGGGCGTTAAGGCGGATGGCAAGGATGACTTCATGATCTGCAAGCTGAAGGCTCGTGTTAACATTCATGGTGTCTTGAACGTGGAAAGCGGCTACTTTGTCGAGGACCAGGAGGTCGAGGAGGAGATCAAGGAGGAGGATGGCGACAAGAAGGACCCTGATGTGAGTGTTGCGGTGTCTCAACCTGATATTTTCACTTCCGAATCGGATGGCTGTCGGCCGTCAGCGCAGAAGCGCCGACGTCGTGATGCCAATCCCGAGTCTCGTTTCTTCCCTGTCATTGTTTCCGTCGAAGGCGTTGAACAACCAGAGCTAACATTTCCCCCCTCCCCCCCAAGGCTATGGAGACTGACAACAAGGATGATGCCCCTAAGAAGACCCGTAAGGTCAAGAAGCAGGTCCGCAAGGGCGATTTGCCCATTGTCAGCGGAACGGCATCACTCTCCGATTCTGCAAGGACTGCTCTCTTCGAGAAGGAGTCTGCCATGGTCATGGAGGACAAGCTCGTTGCCGACACGGAGGAGAAGAAGAACGAGCTGGAGGCATACATTTACGACCTCCGCAACAAGCTCGATGACCAGTACGCCGAGTTCGCCAGTGATGAGGAGAAGGCTAAGATTCGCGAAAAGCTCGAGCAGAGCGAGGTAAGCACTTCATTCGCTTCGTAAATCCATCAGAACTCCTGTTTGGCTGACCGCATTACTACAGGACTGGCTTTACGATGAGGGCGATGATACTACCAAGGCCGTCTATGTTGCCAAGATGGACGAAATCCGCTCTATGGCCGGACCTATCGTTCAGCGCCACTTCGAGAAGGTCGAGGAGGAGCGCCGGATCGTCCAGGAGAGAGTAGATGCTGAGAAAGCCGCGAAGCGAGCCGCTGAGGAAGAGGCTCGCAAGGCTGCTGAGGCCGAGAAGGCTTCCGAGGCTCCCAAGGACGAGGAGATGACGGACGCCAAGCCAGAGGTTGAAGAGGCCGGCGAGGGCACGAAATAGAATCCCGTGAACTTGGCCGACGTCTGAACGCGACAAGAGAGATCGGAGAGGGTGCGACGGGATGAAAAGAAGCAATGAAGATGATAGAATAGACCCAAGTTATGGTTTCTTTCGTTGGCATAGGGTTATTAGGCTAGAGCAGCCTCGACGGTTATCATGGAATGAGAGAAATGACATGACAGTTTTATGGTGATCAATTATATCATTATTCGCGTATGAGACGGTGCGCACATGTCGAGTGCCAATCTCATCTCGGCATGCCATGTTTTACGAGACAACGAATCCTGAAGATCTACTTTTTGTAACGACATAATTACCACGGTAGATGCTTTTGGGGCTTCATGGGAAAAGAAAAGATGAAGACGTTAGATCTCAGACACGAAAAAAAACAAGACCAAGCTTCTTCCATTTTCCCACCATCAATCCGTCCATGCCATGCGTCTTGATTTTGCCCCCATCCCTTCATCCCTTCACATCCATGCCGCCACCAGCCATCAAAACCAACGGACTCTGTACCACCAATAATCTGCGTTGCGTTTAGTGGATGTCGAAAAGGGGCTTGAGCTTGATGATGAGCTGCCACTCGTCGTTGCTGACGTCCTTGCGATAGAACTCCTTGAGGGTGTCGATGGAGGCACGCGAGATGAGAGAGTACAGCGTGTCTGACTCCTCGAGCTGGCGGCCGTACGTCGGCTGGTGACCACCCATTTCGATCTTGACGGCGACGGAGGGCTGGCCCTTTTTGCAGACAGGAATCTGCTTGTGATCACGCTCGATCGAGGTACTAAAGGGGGAAGGTCTTGTTAGTCCAACGGGTGCATACAGAGGGGGGTACAGGGGTGGCGATCGGCGAAACTTACACTCTGCCCATTTGGATGACCTCCTTCACACCCGTCACAGCGTTGGTCTTGACGGCGGCGATTGGCGTGTTGACCTTAAGCTGGCCCTCCACCACGTCAACACCGACGACGATGGGGTTGGTCTTGTTGAAGACGGCGACCGTGTTGAGGACGCAAGGGAAGACGGCCAACATCTTGGATTCCTCCTTCTTCTTCTCCAAGAGATCAGCCATGTGCTTGGTGAAGGCGTCGAAGAGATGGTAGATAATGTCTGCGGTGAAGATCTTGACGCCGACTTCGTCGGCATAAGCCTGCGCTTCCTTGTCAACCTTGACATCAAAGCAGAGCATCACTGCAAAGTCTGCGGCCTTCTCCAACATGATGCCAGCCTGCATGACGTCGCGCTTGTAGACCGGGCCGATTCCAACGTTCGCAACGGGAATCTTGCAGTCCTTGAGGAAATCCAGCAAGGCCTCAAGAGAACCAAGAGTGGAGGCCTGGACACTGACACCACGTCCAGTCTTTTCAACTCTGCTGAAGAGAGTGGCCAAATCAGCCTCGACCTCATCGATCAGGTCATCCTCATCGTCATCAGGGCCGACAACCATCATGCGGGAACCGGCGATGGCACCCTCGAGCCCCGGGGCGCTGATCTTGACACCCAAGGCGGCCTTGACCTCCTTGTTGTGGACATAGGCGGACTTGAGACGGAGCTCACGCAGCGGCGCCGGCGTAAGAAGAGCACGAATGTTTGTGACGATCGCTCCTTCCACGCCACACAAGACTATCCTATCACCTTCGCGCAAGATACCGTTCGACAAGATGACATCGATAGTCATACCGAAACCTTCGATGGCCTTGACTTCGAGGACAGTAGCCTGAACCTCGGAGAGATACATGAGAGACCCAACCATACGCTCTTGAGTGAGATGGACGATGAGCTTGAGCATGTCCGGAATACCCTCACCAGTGTGGGCAGAGGTGGGAATGAGGGAGACGTTCCTTGCCATGGACTTGTTCTCGTAGAAAAGCTCGGCGTTGAAACCTTGCTCGGCGAAAGCAAGCTTGGTCTGCTCCAAACGGTTCTTGAACTCGTTCTGGACGCTCTTGGGCTGGAGTGCCAAACTCTCCTGGAAGCCGTTGTTGTCAATCTTCTTCCAGCCGTAGAGACGGTCGATCTTGTTCAGCGCGACGACGAAGGGGGTCTTCCTCTCACGAAGCATCCTCATGGACTCCAGAGTCTGGGGCTCGAGACCGTGCATGATGTCGACGACGAGGATAGCGATGTTGCAAAGAGAAGAACCACGAGATCGCAAGTTAGAGAAAGACTCGTGACCAGGAGTATCGATGACCAGCAGACCGGGAACCTTGAATTCGAACTCGCCGTTGGGGTTGACAACGGCCGTCTTTTGCTTGATGGCCTCGACAGGGAAGTAAGTGGCACCAATCTGCTGAGTGATACCACCGGCTTCGCCCTCCTGCACGTTGGTTTGACGAATCTTGTCCAGGAGTTTGGTTTTTCCAGTATCGACGTGACCGAGAATACAGCAAATTGGAGACCGGAGGTTGTCCTTGGACCTGGCAGCCAAAGCAGCCTGATGAGCCTTTTCGCGACGCTCTGCGGCCTCTTTCTTGCGCTGAAGCTCGGCTTGGCGGGCGGCGGATTCTCTCTCGTCCTCAGAGTCGGTCTCAGACTCGGATTCGGACTCTTCGTCCTCATCCTCATCATCGTCCTCCTTTTCATCAACCTTGCCGTTGGCTTTGGCCGATTCTTTCTTCTCTTGCTCGTCCTCAGTGTCAGCATCCCAGCTGTCCTTGACGTCTTCGTCTTCGGCGGCGGCAGCAGCTTCCCAATCGTCTTCCAGCTCGCTCTCTTCGGCAGCCTTTTTCTTAGCCTCGGCAGCCTCGGCTTCGGCCTTTTCCTTTGCCGCCTTCTCCTCCGCCTCCTTGGCGAGTTGCTCCGCTTGTTGTCTGGCGCGCTCTGCAGCTTCGGCAAGGGCCTTCTCCTCGTCGACCTGCGTATTAGTTGGTTAGCACTGGTGAGAGAACACAAGCTAATGATCTGGCCGTACCTGTGCCTGGGCCTTGCGGCCGCCCTTCTTCTTGTTGTCGTAGGTAGGCTTCTTCTTCTTCTCGCCTTCCTCAGCGGGTCCGACCTTGATACCAGCAGCAAGCATCTGCTGAAGCTTACGCTCGTTGCGCGCCTTCTCCTCCTTCTGAGCCTTGGTCAAGAACTTGCCTTCCTTCTTGAGCTGCTCGATCTTCTCCTTCTCCTTTTGTTTTTTCTGAGCCTTGGCCTCCTCTCTGCGCTTGTTCTCCTCCTCCAAGCGGGCCTCCTCTTCAGCGATCCTTGTTTTCTCCTCTTCAGCCACGCGGGCGTCTTCCTCCGCCTTGCGGCGTAGCTCCTCCTGTTGCTTCTGGATCAGAGCGAGGTGGGCAGGAATCTTCTTCTTCTTGCCACCCTTCTCTTCCACGGGAGCTGGGGCTGCAGCGAGTGTCGGAGACTCCTTCTTCTCGGGGGTTGCCTTGGCAGGTTCGGCAGCCGGGGCAGCACCCTTCTTCTTCGCAGCCTGTACATCGATTATGAGTCTGAGGAAAGTTGTACAAGATTGGAAACCAGTCGAGACTTACCTGCTCCTTCTTACGCTGCTTCTCTCTCTCCTTTTTTAGCTTCTCCTTCTCGGCCTTGGTTAGGACACGGCCGCCATTGTCGTCACCACCGTCGTCGGCCTTCGGGGCGGGAGAGGCAGCGGCAGGGGCAGCTTGCTTGCCCTTACCACCCTTGCCCTTCTTCTGGGGCAAAGCGAACTCATCGTCCATAGTCGCTTCTTGGGGAGCCTTCTCGGCGAGACTGGGAGAAGGCTCAGGCTCGGGAATGGGCTCGACGGGCTCCTCGATGCCCTTCTTCTTCCTCTTCTCTCTGTTCTTGCGCATGGTGGCCATCAGGCCGCCTACTTCGCCGTCGTCCTCTTCGTCGGCTGGCGTTTCGGCAGCAGCCTCCGGGGTGGCGCTAGCGGGGGCGATGCTCTCGCCGAGCTCATTCTCCCAGTCGTCATTGGCGCGGGCCTTGTTACCCTTCTTCTTTGGCGGCATTTTGGCAGCTGTTGCAAAAGAGGACTGGAGTCCAAAGGTGCGGTCCTAAGTGCAAGGTGTGCCCGGTGGGAAAAAAAGTTGCCGGTTGTGGGCGAGGCCAGAAAGTGAGTGACGGCAGAGAATCGATGGAAATTCCCCAGGATGGGTGGGGTTGGTTTTTTTTTTGGCGTCTTGCGCAAAGAAAATGCTTTAAACGAGGTTTAGGTGGCAACAAAAACCGACTGCTTCGTGCGATGGAGTGTGCTGTATCGATACCAACAAGACATAATACCTTACGGACGACGGATTTGTTTTCCACGCGTGGGTAGAAGAAACGCCGTGGGATATTCTGTCGAGGCACGAAAATGAATGACAAAGTCTGGGGGCAAGATTCACTGCGGGGCAAAAAGTTCGGTAGGTACTTTATCCTAGGGAGGGAGACCTGAAGTGGTGCGGCAGCGACAGCGGCAGGGCGGCAGTGCGCCAGGGCAGGCCTCATCAGTAAGCCTGCCGCCATTCGGGCATTGGCACCCAAACCTCTCATCCTGGGCTACCTACCTTAGGTAGTTCTCGCTGATTCGACAACTTCAAAGGCACTTCAACTCAAACATCTAAGATTGACTCTTCTTTCGTGACTCTTCGCACTAGTATCATAACCCTGAACTCCTGTTGTGTCAACGCCAATGTCACAAATTGGGGAGCTGCATGACAGGGTACTTTGCTCTTCTGGTCGAAGTACCTCATGTTGAAAGTAGTGTAAACCACCCGAACTCAAGTTGTGAGACCAATCCGTGGACCTGGGTAGGTAGTAATCTGTCGCCCAGCCACTGCACCGCCGCACGCACGCACAATCGAGAGCCTCAACACAGCGCAACCCAGCGTGATTTGCTTCCATGTCACGACGTTGCCTATGGCAATCCAGAAAAACCAAAGCAATTCTTGGCCTCAGAAGAAAAAGACGGCCCAATCTCTGACCTGATTTCCATTCGCTGGGAGCAAACCAGCTTTCGTGTCGAGGACTGAAGTATCTCATCAGTTATTGATATCTATATACGCACGTGTATTGACTTGCCCTTCTTTTTCCTCCTCTTTTTTCTTTTCTTTTCTTTTTTTTTTTTTTTTTGGG